AATCTATATGTCATTTGATTAGGATGTGTTTTTGGCTGGAGTGAACGCGGGAGCCATCACGATGATATGGACGATGACAGAGCTAAGCAGACACCCTAGAATCATGAAGAAGCTCCAAGAAGAGATTCGAGCAACACTCGGATCCAACAAAGAGAGAATCACAGAAGAAGATCTAGAGAAAGTTGAGTACTTGAAGCTAGTGATCCAGGAAACGTTCAGACTGCATCCAGCAGCTCCTCTTTTGCTTCCAAGACTAACAATGTCCGACATCAAGATTCAAGGCTACAACATCCCCAAGAACACCATGATCCAAATCAACACTTACACGATAGGACGTGATCCCAAATACTGGACCAAACCCGAGGAGTTCATCCCCGAGAGGTTTGTCGATAACCCTATCGAATACAAAGGAAAGCATTTTGAGCTTTTGCCGTTTGGAGCCGGACGTAGGATTTGTCCTGGGATGGGCACGGGGATCACCATCGTCGAGCTCGGCCTTCTTAACCTTCTTTACTTCTTCGATTGGAGTTTGCCTGAGGGAATGACCATCAAAGACATTGACATGGAAGAAGACGGAGCTTTCGTCATCGCCAAGAAAGTTCCTCTAGAGCTCTTACCAACTCTTCATCGCTGGTGAATCATGTAATCATTTTAATAAGATGCAGATTTCTATATGTTTGTCTACTTACTATCGGTTTGGTTGTGTGTTTCTACTTGTTTTACGCTTATCCTGTCTTGTGATCTAATAATGTTTCAGTAATGTCTTCAATAATCTTAATCTAAAACTGTTATCGTTCATTGTTTATTTACTGAAATGGTCTTTTGACTAAAAAAAATCGTGTTATGCTGACTTAACATAGTTGACAATACAAACCAAAAAGAAGTTGACACGACATTAAAGTGACTGCTTCCGCAAGCTTTAAGAAGAAGAAAAAAAAGGCTTAGTTTAGTATAGTAGTCAAAACTCATTACTCATAGTTTATAATAAAATTGGTTTCAAAGATCATGATCAGAACTTAGTTACTTGTAAAATACATTCCCAAATACTAAATCTTGGAGTCAAACTTCTCTAATGGTCTTCAAAGATTGAACTGAATTATATAATTAGTAGGACCAAAAACGTTTTTATTTATGAAACATAAAACAGTAAATTTGAAAAACTGTAATTTTATATTATCATTTCACTACGTTAAAATCATTTTTATAACTAAGATTTTAATTTTAATTAGCAATAAAAGTTATCATATTTTAAAGAAGAAGCTGAAATATCGTTAATACTAGAATTTTAAAAGGCCCTGCATAATATGGTAGAAGAAGTGGTTTTAAGTTTAGAAACTTTCGTTGCACCAAAAAAAAATAAATTTGGAAACTTGAATTGACTTGGGTCAGTTAGTTCGTTTGGATCCACAAAGGGATGTTTGGTGGTTACACAAATCTGTTCCATAAAAAAAGAAAACATATTTAGCTTTTTGATCGCCACGTTATGTTGTTGGTTTGGTCAGAGAAAGGTCTTTATATCTAAATTGTTTTTTTGGGACCTCTCCTTCACCACCCATTAATCACAGCAACAAGATATTATGCCTTGAGAAAGTTCCTGAATTCAACATTTTCTAAAGTAATAGTAAAAACACTTTGATTTAGTACAAAAAAACATAACCGTATGCATTGCTTTTAATACTGCCTCTTTGAGAACAAATATGCTCTTCACCTGAAATACAGAGAAAAGAGAGCTAGAAAACAAAACAAGAATAATGAGTTTCTTCCTAGCTTTCGTCTTCCTCTTCCCTCTCTCTTTATTCATCTTTAAAAAGCTTTCACCTTCAAACAGGACTCTTCCTCCGGGACCTACAGATCTTCCAATCATAGGAAACTTTCACCAGCTTGAAAACTTTCTTCACAAATCTCTTCACAATCTCTCCTTAGAACACGGACCAATGATGCTTCTCCACTTTGGGGTCGTTCCTGTGGTCGTGTTCTCCTCCAGAGAAGCAGCTAGGACTCATGATCTTGAGACTTGTGGCCGACCTAAGTTGGTAACGACCAAGTTGTTTTCTTACAACTTCAAAGACATTGGTTTCGCTCAGCATGGTGAGGACTGGCGAGAGATGAAAAAGCTTGTTGGTCTCGAGCTATTTAGTCCCAAAAAGCAAAAGGTTTTTAAGTATATCAGAGAGGAAGAGAGTGACTTTCTGGTCAAGAAACTAACAAATTCTTCTCAAACAGAAACCTTAGTGGATTTGGGGAAAGTCTTATTCTCCTTCACGGCTGGTATCATATTTAGACTCGCCTTTGGACACAACTTCCGCGAGTGCAGTTTCATCGACATGGAGAGAGTAGAAGAGATGGTGATAGAGTCGGAGACCAACGTAGGCACTTTGGCAATCACTGACTTCTTCCCCACGGCTCTCGGATGGCTTATAGACCGGATCTCCGGTAAGCATTCGAGGCTGAACAAAGGCTTTGAAAAACTCAATAATCTTTTTCAACATGTGATCGATGATCATTTAAAGAATGCAAAACCTGAAGATCAATCAGACCTCGTCAGTGCCATGTTGGATATAATTAATAAACCCACCAAATCGGGTTCTTTCAATATCACTCACGATCATCTCAAAGGAGTCATGTCAGTGAGTGTGAATAAATCTCTTAGTACCATTTTTTAATGTTTCTATTGGAGGTGATTTGGAGAGCAAGTTAAACTGGAATAGTATTTGAGACAAATACTTTTTGATGTATAGATATGTATAACTTTTTGTATTTTGGTTCACCAGATAGATATCTTATTTGTCACGTTATTTTCGATTCTCTTTTAAAATCAGAATTATAAAGTGTATTTACGAGGTATGTTACATATTCAGGATGTGTTTTTGGCGGAGTGAACGCAGGAGTAATCACGATGATATGGACAATGACAGACCTAACAAGACATCCGAGAGTGATTAATAAACTCCAAGAAGAGATTCGAACTACACTCGGATCCAACAAAGAGAGAATCACCGAAGAAGATCTAGAGAAAGTTGAGTACTTGAAGCTTGTGATCGAGGAAACATTCAGATTACACCCACCTGCTCCTCTCTTGCTCCCAAGACTAACAATGGCTGACATCAAGATTCAAGGCTACAACATTATATTCCCAAGAACACCATGATCCAAGTCAACACTTACGCCATTCCCAAATGTTGGACTAGCCCTGAAGAATTCATTCCCGAGAGATTTTTGAATACCTCAATCAACTACAGAGGTCAGCATTTCGAGCTCTTGCACTTTGGATCTGATCGTAGGAGCTGTCCCGGGATGGCCTTGGGAACCACCATTGTCGAGCTAGGCCTTCTTAACCTTCTTTACTACTAAGTGACAAAATATTCTAAAGGGACCCTGCTAGAATTAACTGAGGAATGTAACAGGTTAAAGGATCTAGGAGTCGGATTTTTGAAGCTATAAATACAACGCTTATGATTTGTAATTATTCATTCATACAAATAATAAGAAAACCCTAAACGAGTGTTTGCCTCAATTTGCGATTTCTCTCCTTAAGTTTATTGCTTTCTTTGTGCTTGATTCGCCACACTACTTCAATTGGAGTTTGCCTGATGGAATGACCATTGCAGACATTGACATGGACGAAATCGGAGCTTTAAATATCGCCAAGAAAGTCCCTCTTGAGCTCGTACCAACTCGTCATCACTTGTAAACAAATACAATAATATATACACATCCATACTATATATATGAGATCAGGACTTGTATGTTTGCCTCATTTGTTATTGGTTTGGTTTTCATTTGGTTTTTGTTTTACGTTTATACTGACTGGCTTGTATCGTGAAGTAAAGTATATATTCAGGTTCATAATGCTTATATCTTTGAGATATGTGAAATTGTTTTATTTAATCTAAACTGATAAATGCTCTTAGTCTCCAATGGAAATAGAGGGAGTGAATAAATGTTTAGTGATTCAGAGAAGCCTGTCTCTTTGCTATATATTAACTTTTGTTTGGTTTTATTTTTTTCTAACCTATGGTAACATTTTACAGAAGTAATTATGGATTTACTAAGCATTCAAAATACAGCAGCAAACATGACTAAGTTTATAAAATTTCTTGGGGATGAAGAAAGTACTACTAAATATAAAAGCAGAGAAGCGATACTAAGCCTTAATACTCATGATAATGGTGATGGTGATGGAGAGGGTGATGATGAGAGACTCAACCACGTTTGATGTGGATCTTTATAGTGTGAACTAGCTTCCTGTTATGAAGACTGTGATAATAGATCATATTCTATTATCACAGTCTTCACATACAATTTACCTCGATGTTGTTTGACCAAGGACTCGTAGACGCGGTAAACCTCATATTGCCCATACAAACACACACTTTCACCTTCTTGTTTCTTTTGTTTTTGAAAGGTTCATTGTACTAAATTAATGATGATAATTTACAGAGGCAGGTTACATACACAAAACAAATTAATACAAAATTATAGAGAGTTTGCTTTTATAAAAAGAGTGATTAACTGGATCACTTTGGAGAGAGATATAGCAATAATGGAGTCTGGTATTATTGAGTCTGGTAGTTGAGCTTCCTTAATGGAGAGAGATATAGCAATAATCGAACGCCACTTGTGAAGGCTTGAGCTTTATCTTATGATAACGATAGAGTAGTCAATTTTTCGACCAATACAATACAACATATATATAACCATCCAAATATACTATCGTTTACCCCTTATATGTTACACAACAATCTATAATATAGGAAGTACAAAATTATTGGTTCTTAACTCAAAACCAATTAGTAGACAATAGAAAAGCTTATAGCATTTCTATATTAATATAAATTAACATTTTTCTTATTTGAACGTGTGATTTATAATATAAGAGATTCAACAGGTAACTCACAAAAGAAAAAAAAAAGAATCTTTGATTTAGTCAAAGCCCAACCACATGCATTGCCTCCATGGCTCTATATATTGAAGTATTTGAGAACTCACTAATTACTCTTCACTTCAAACACAAATCAGAAGAAAGTAACCGACCCAAAAATAAATGTCTACCTTTCTTTGTTTCCTCTTACTCTTCCTTATCTCTTTGATCTTCTTTAAAAAGCTTTCATCAACGAAAGGGAAGCTCCCTCCGGGACCCAAGGGTCTTCCAATCATCGGAAACTTGCACCAACTTGGAAGATTTCTTCACAAATCTCTTCACAAATTCTCCCAAGAATATGGACCGGTGATGCTTCTCCGTTTTGGGGTAGTCCCTGTGATCATTATCTCCTCAAAAGAAGGAGCTGAGGAAGTGCTCAAGACTCATGATCTTGAGACTTGTAGCCGTCCCAAGACGGTCGGAGCAAGGTTGTTTACTTACAACTTTAATGACATTGGTTTCGCTCCTTTCGGTGAGACATGGAGAGAGATGAGGAAAATCGCTGTGCTCGAGCTCTTTAGCCAGAAGAAACTCAAGTCTTTCAGGTACATTAGAGAGGAAGAGAGCGAAGTGTTGGTCAAGAAGGTATCATCAAAAGCTGCTGATGAGACACAAACCTCATCATCAGTTAATCTGAGGAAAGTCATTTTCTCCTTCGCAGCCAGCATCATTTGTAGACTAGCTTTTGGACAGAACTTCCACGAGTGTGACTTTGTCGATATGGAGAGAGTAGAAGAGTTGGTGCTCGAGTCAGAGACTAACCTTGGTTCCTTGGCGTTCGCCGACTTCTTCCCTGCGGGATGGCTCATAGACCGGATCTCCGGTCAGCATTCAAGGGTCAAGAAAGCCTTTGCTAAACTCACCAATTTCTTTGAGCATGTGATCGATGATCATTTGAAGACTGGACAACCCCAAGATCACTCGGACATCATCAGTGTCATGCTGGACATGATCAATAAACCCACAAAACCTGATTCCTTCAAAGTCACCGATGACCATCTCAAAGGAGTCATGTCGGTGAGTAAGATATTAAAGAAAAAGTAATTCTTTAGTAAAATAAGATTTTACATTTTTAGTAACTTGAGGAATATAGTTATAGCTTGGGAAGCAAGTAACTAAAGACGCAGACAATTATCTCGTTTTGACAACAAGTCCATTTGATTAGGATGTGTTCTTGGCTGGAGTGAACGCGGGAGCCATCACGATGATATGGACGATGACAGAGCTAAGCAGACATCCGAGAACCATGAAGAAGCTCCAAGAAGAGATTCGAGCAACACTCGGATCCAACAAAGAGAGAATCACAGAAGAAGACCTAGAGAAAGTTGAGTACTTGAAGCTAGTGATCGAGGAAACGTTTAGATTGCATCCACCAGTTCCTCTCTTGCTTCCAAGACTAACAATGTCCGACATCAAGATTCAAGGCTACAACATCCCCAAGAACACGATGATCCAAATCAACACTTACGCGATAGGACGTGATCCCAAATACTGGACCAAACCCGAGGAGTTTATCCCCGAGAGGTTTGTCGATAACCCTATCGAATACAAAGGAAAGCATTTTGAGCTTTTGCCGTTTGGAGCCGGACGTAGGACTTGTCCTGGGATGGGCACAGGGATCACCATCGTCGAGCTTGGCCTTCTTAACCTTCTTTACTTCTTTGATTGGAGTTTGCCTGAGGGAATGACCATCAAAGACATTGACATGGAAGAAGACGGAGCTTTTGCCATCACCAAGAAAGTTCCTCTAGAGCTCGTACCAACTCTTCATCGCTGGTGAATCATGTAATCATTTTAATAAGATGCAGATTTCTATATGTTTGTCTACTTACGATAGGTTTGGTTTTGTTTTCTCTTAACTTGTTTTACGCTTATCCTGTCTTGTGATCGGTATGTTACTAATAATGTTTCAATAATGTCTTCAATAATACTTATGTTGATCTAAAATAGCATCGTTCATTTATTGTTGAAATGGTCTTTTGAATATATAAAAATAAAGTCCGTGTTATGCTTACTTAACATTGTTGACAATACAAACCAAAAAGAAGTTGACATGTCATTAAAGTAAATGTTTCCGCAAGCTTTAACAAGAAAAAAGGCTTAGTTTAGTATAACTTCGTCACAACTCACAACTCATAGTTTATAATAAAATCGGGTTTCGAAAACATGATCAGAAGTATGAAGTCTTCTTTTAGTTACTTGTAAAATACATTCCCAAAGACCAAATCTGTGGAGTCAAACTTCTCTAGTGGTCTTCAACGATTGAACTTCTAAACCCTGAACATAAAACAGTACATTTTGAAAACAGTAATTTTTTCTTGTAAAATTACAAAAAAAAGAAGAACAATGTTTAATATTATCATTTCACTACATTTAAATCATATATATATATGCATATTCTTATATTTAAGAACATATATATATATATACATACTTTTTAAGAAGCTAAAATTTCGTTACTACTAGTATTTTAAAAAAGGCCCTACATGATTTGGTAGAAGAAACAGAAAAAAATTAGTGAAAACATGGAGATACTTGATAAGTTTGAAGAGGGTTTTCAGTGATTTTAAGTTTAGAAACTTTCGTTGCACCAAAAAAATGCTTTAGAAACTTTGATTGACTTCAGTTAGTTCGTTTGGATCCACAAAAGAATGTTTGGTGGTTACACAAATCTGTTCCACAAAAAAAAAATGTTTAGCTTTCTTATGACCACGTTCTGTTGTTGGTTTGGTCAGAGAAAGGTCTTTATATCTATCTAAACTGTGTTTCTTGGGACCTCTCATTCACTACCCATTAAACACAGCAACAAGATATTATGCCTCGAGAGAGTTCCTTAATTCAACATCTTCTAAAACGATAGTAAAACATTTTGATTTAGTACAAAAAAACCTAACCGTATGCATTGCTTTTAATACTGCCTCTTTGAGAACAAATGTGTTCTTCACCCTAAATACAGAGAAAGAGAGCTAGAAAACAAAAACAAGAATAATGAGTTTCTTCCTAGCTTTCGTCTTCCTCTTCCCTCTCTCTTTGTTCATCTTTAAAAAGCTTTCACCTTCGAAAATGAATCTTCCTCCGGGACCTACAGGTCTTCCAATCATAGGAAACTTTCACCAGCTTGAAAACTTTCTTCACAAATCTTTTCACAATCTCTCCTTAGAACACGGACCAGTGATGCTTCTCCACTTTGGGGTCGTTCCTGTGGTCGTGTTCTCCTCTAGAGAAGCAGCTAAAGAAGTTCTCAGGACTCATGATCTAGAGACTTGTGGCCGACCTAAGTTGGTAACGACCAAGTTGTTTTCTTACAACTTCAAAGACATTGTTTTCGCTCAGCATGGTGAGGACTGGCGAGAGATGAAAAAGCTTGTTGGTCTCGAGCTATTTAGTCCCAAAAAGCAAAAGGTTTTTAAGTGTATCAGAGAGGAAGAGAGTGACTTGCTGTTCAAGAAACTAACAAAATCTGCTCAAACAGAAACCTTAGTGGATTTGGGGAAAGTCCTATTCTCCTTCACGGCTGGTATCATATTTAGACTCGCCTTTGGGCACAACTTCCACGAGTGCAATTTTATCGATATGGAGAGAGTAGAAGAGATGGTGATAGAGTCGGAGACCAACGTAGGTACTTTGGCAATCACTGACTTCTTCCCCACGTGTCTCGGATGGCTTATTGACCGGATCTCCGGTCAGTATTCGAGGATGAACAAAGGCTTTTCAAAACTCAACAATCTCTTTCAACATGTGATCGATGATCATTTAAAGATTGCAAAACCTGAAGATCACTCAGACCTCGTCAGTGCCATGTTAATAATAATTAATAAGCCCACCAAATCGGGTTCTTTCAAGATCACTTCCGATCATCTCAAAGGAGTCATGTCAGTGAGTGTGAATAAATCTCTTAGTACCATTTTTTAATGTTTCTATAGAAGGTGATTTGGAGAGCAAGTTAAACTGGAATAGTATATGTATATATATTATTTTTTGTATTTTGGTTCACCAGATAGATATCTTATTTGTCACGTTATTTTCGATCCTCTTTTATAATCAGAATTATAAAGTGTATTTACGTATGTTACATATTCAGGATGTGTTTTTGGCGGGAGTGAACGCAGGAGTAATCACGATGATATGGACAATGACAGAGCTAACAAGACATCCGAGAGTGATGAAAAAACTCCAAGAAGCGATTCGAGAAACACTCGGATCCAACAAAGAGAGAATCACAGAAGAAGATGTAGAGAAAGTTGAATACTTGAAGCTAGTGATCAAGGAAACATTCAGATTACACCCACCTGCTCCTCTCTTGCTCCCAAGACTAACAATGGCTGACATCAAGATTCAAGGCTACAACATTCCCAAGAACACCATGATCCAAGTCAACACTTACTCCATAGGACGTGATCCCAAATGTTGGACTAGCCCTGATGAATTCATTCCCGAGAGGTTTTTGAATACCTCAATCAACTACAAAGGTCAGCATTTTGAGCTCTTGCCCTTTGGATCTGGTCGTAGGAGCTGTCCAGGGATGGCCTTGGGAACCACCATTGTCGAGCTCGGCCTTCTTAACCTTCTTTACTATTTCAATTGGAGTTTGCCTGATGGAATGGCCATTGCAGACATTGACATGGACGAAATCGGAGCTTTAAATATCGCCAAGAAAGTCCCTCTTGAGCTCGTACCAACTCGTCATCACTTGTAAACAAATACAATAATGTATACACATCCATACTATATATATGAGATCAGGACTTGTATGTTTGCCTCATTTGTTATAGGTTTGGTTTTCATTTGGTTATTGTTTTACGTTTATACTGGCTGGCTTATATCTTTGAGATACTATGTGAAATTGTTTTATTTTTTATTTAAATTGATAAATGCTCTTAGTCTCCAATGGAAATAGAGGGAGTGATTAAATGTTTAGTAATTCAGAGAAGCCTGTCTCTTTGCTATATTAATCTTTGTTGGGTTTTTTTTCTCACCTATGGAAACATTTTACAGAGAAAAATTATGGATTCAAAAATTAATAAGCATGACTAAAGTTTATAAAATTTCTTGGGGATGAAGAAAGTAATACTAATATAAAAGCAGAGAAGCAGTTACAACACACTTGAAACAGACAAAAGCGATACTAAGCCTTAGTACTCATGATAATGGTGATGGTGATGGAGAGGGTGATGATGAGAGACTCAACCACGTTTGATGTGGATCTTGATAGTGTGAACTAGCTTCCTGTTATGAAGCATCTCGCATATGACTTGATCTTGCTTATTAAGCCTGTTCCTTCTACAAATCCTGTCCCATCCTTTGAAACAAATCCTATCATCTGACCATCTCACTCTGATCCCTACCATGGTCCCTTCTTCATCAATGTAAGTGATGCTCTCACCAAATTTAAGCCTGTATTCCCTAGCCAGTTTTGCTGGAATCAGCTGCATAGAGCAAAAATAACAAAAACGTGTAAAAAGCCATATTGAAATAGAGAAAGATAGTAAACAAATCAAGAGTCTTTTTTTTTTGTACCAGCTCATATGTCCTGTTCTTGAGGTTTGTTTTAAACCATGGATTAGTCGTAACTACCAAATCTGAGATATCTGCAACAATTAAGACAAAAAACAAACTTTCTTTAAGGTTGGTTTAAGTGTATGATTTACACAATGTTAATTACAATAAAAATAAAACTCTTACCTGAAGAATCTGATTCTGTCCCTTCGCTGTCAACAGTGTAATTACTCTGACTAACTTCTTCATCTTCAGCATAGCTACTGTCATCTTCACCTTTCACTGAAGGATCTTCTTCTTCTTCTTCATCAGAATCAGAATCAGCGTCAGAAAGCTCGACAGCCTCCGTCACAGCTCTTGTCTCTTTACAACCCAAACCATCGTAGACGCTGACTTCAAACGTGTGGTAACCGTCGTAGACAAACGTCAAGAACTCTCCGTCTTTGAGATCATGGTCCTCTGCGAATTTGGACCATCCATCAGTGAAATACACACGTTTGCGTCTTTTCGTGAAGCCAACTGTCCAAATTCCTCCTCCGGTACCGTGGAGCTTAGCGGTCCGTGGCAATGGATCTTCAAGATGTTCATTGAAGGACACAGGGATTCGCTGACAATCCAGCGCAGAGGTATAAACATCAGAAAGTGATGAACACAAGTAAACTAGTTAAACGTCATCAAAGTCACATGAGTAGTCTCTTTTCTCAAGTTTAAGCAGCGCACAGATTTAGCCTAATGACTAGTAACAAAGGAACACATCCAAAATCTCTTTTTTATCACTTTCACTCGTCCTCTATCTTCCGATTTGCTGCAGTAAACATGATGAAAACAAATACTTAGAGCCATAACTCTCCCACAAATACTTAAGTTTCCTCAAAGTCTGAGACTTTTTGCTTGCTACAGTTATGGAAGAAAAGAAGGAAACAAATCGACTTAGAGAAATTCTACTAAAAAGAACCAAGTAATTCCACTTATCGAATGAGCAACTAGGCAAAAGAGAAACATCGAACTATAAAGAGTGAATAGCTAAACAACAACGTCACACCGATTAACAACATCTAAATTCACGAACCTAAAAGGAAGAAACTTGGAGAAAATGTGACTCAATTTGGAGACAGCAAGACCTAGTTCTCTCACTTACAAACAAAGAAGACGCAAATTTCTGAGAAATTAGTTGAACCCGATGGAGAAGAAGCTAAACTTGCCTGAGGAAGAAGTAGAGAGCACCGAGAGAGAGAGAGTGTTTTACCATTGATTCAGAGGACGTTTCTGAGAGGAAAACCTTGAAAAAACGTGGAAGAACAGCGTCATCTTCAGTTTCAGACATGGAGGATGTTGGAAGAGAGTCTCTCAAATGGCTCGAGAGGGAGTAATCTTTCCTAGAGAAAATTATGTTTCAAGGAGAGAGAGAAATGAGTCGAAAGTCTAAACCTTTGGAGCTTAAAAAAATAATAATAATAAACAGGGGAGTTGTAGTAGTTCTCGTATTTACAGTTTGGCCCAGTATATTGTTACAAATTACTGTAAAAGCAAAAAGAAACTGATTTTGAAATTGTGTTCGTATTATATGAAATCTCCTCCAATCCGTACATTACCCATCTCTTTCCTCTGTTTTCACTTTTCATCTCCTTTTTGGAAAAAAAAAGAGAAAACCCTATCTTCCATTCATTTATTTCCTATCCTATAACAGAAGTAGGAGAGGCTATTTAATGAGATATAATGTTTTTATGTCTAAGAATATGTACTCTGTTTTTGGTTCAATGTTATTTTCTCTTTGAAATTGTTAAATAACACTGTATACTGCTGATACTGCAAAGGAAAAAAATTAAATAACATTTATACACAACATCTTGAATATTTCAACCATAGTACAGCTTTGTATATCACTCTTTGCTATACAGTGTCACAGTGACATAGAACATGCAATTCTGATATGCGGAAATAAAAAATTTAAAGTCCAAAATAATAATACTGAAAAGTTGAATACCAAGTTTGGGTGTCTTTGTAAAATAAAGAAAAAAAGAGACTGTACAGCAGCAAGCCTAGGACTGTAGTCCACTCAAATCTCTGTTCCATTTTTTTTTTTTTTTGACGTCATGTTTCTTTACAAAGTAAAGAAAAGTTTAAAGTTGAATTTTAATTTTAAACCCTTGATATCTAGATTAGAAAATGTCAATGTTATGACATTTAAGGGTAGTTTATTTGGAGTTAACTTTGATTGGTATGTCCGATAACAAAAGTTTTTTTCTGACCTTTTTTTGTTCTTGATATAATAAATTGTGAGATAATGCGTAAGGCGAGATATTAGTACCTGTAGTTATGAACCAGATTAAAGGTCCACAATACTAGAGAACTCCTGTTGTCCACAATACTAGAGAACTCGTTAGATTGAAGTTTCATGCCGCACAATTTTTATAATATTACTTTTTAAGGGTTGGGTTACATAAGAATCTGAAATACAGGGAAATTCCTACTAAAAGAGAGAAGATAACAGAGCTCCATTATATAAAGAACTACTGATTCCTTCAGGCATCATCTGATTCTCATCACCCCTCAAGTTGATCTTCTGCATTGATTTTGGAATACAATTTGTTTTGCACTTTTGGAGACGAGGCGGAGACAAGCCTTGTACCTGCCTTAGTTTTTGAATTCGACGACGACGGAGACTTTGTGAGTTGAGACTTTCCAGACCTCTTACTGGCAGATGAAGATGATCCATGTCTTGCCTGTTTAACAGAGAAATAGAGAGATCAATTACCTACTAATTGCATAATTGTTCTCTATGTTTGTCACGAACTTTGGAAACTTACTCCATCAAAGAAGCCGATTTTTGGTGATGGCACACGGAGACCTGATGGTTTCATGGATGTTGGAGGAACCAAACCACCACTGATAGCTGAAACACGTATTGTGCCCTCCTTAGCATCAGCTTGAAGAATAGATGCATCTTTAGAGTTCTTGAGAGGCTTCACAGTCTGCAATGTATTATCATTTGCATGACCCTTTTCACCAGAGACAGTTTTCTGATTATCTTTAGCCATTTTGCTAGTTGCAGAAGCTCGTGATGGACGTTCGCTGATCGAACCATCAGATGGTACACTACAGGAAAGCTTGGATTTGGATGTCTTATTGGTTGGCTGAGGTGGGATTCGCGGCTGGCCCATAATACCTCTAGATGTAGATCGATTTACCAATGAGTGGGAAGCTAATCTGGAACTTGAATCATTCTTCTTCTTTATCGAATCCAAAGAAGATTTGTGAGAAACGCTAGATGAAGCACTAGCACAGCTCTCTAGTGAAGAGCAGGAAGATGTCAATTCATTCTTTGAGGCAGCTGAAGAACGCAAAGATGACTTAATCACAGCAGGTTTTGGCAACGTGGGTCTAGCACTTCGCGACATGGATATTCTAGGACCCAAAGGCTCTTTCCCTGTATACTTCAAGGTCAACAAATAATCAAATTTGGACGAAAGAGACACGTAATACAATCTTCAAGATAGAGTTGTGACTAACCCGCAGGTAATTTGGAATTCTTCTCTTGTTTGGCTTTGTTAATATCTAGTGATGCCCTGCTCATCGACGTTGTTGACAAGTGCCTGACTTTGCTGAGTCCGTTAGGTGGCTTGGGAGTGGATGTACTAAGACCTCTTGCACCCACAGGCTGTATCAAATGTATCGTTGACAAATTATTAAATATCAGGGTAAGCCAGAACAAGTTATGACAAGCTCCTTATTCATAAATTCAACAGAGACAGTTCGAGTTCGTAAATCACTAGACACCTCGAAGAAACCCATTACTCTCAAGTTGTCAGATTAAACATAAGACTAAGACATAAATCCAATAGTAAATATGCACCTGAGAAAGTGAATGAAGTTGATATACCTGTTTTGTTGCCTTCCCTAGTCCTTGTGCTCTAATACTCGGCTTTTTAGGACTGGCTTTGGGTTTCATCTAAGAAATATAAATAAAACAAAGAAAGCGTCAGCCGAGGAGGGAGGTAAAGAGAAACACAGGGTGCAGTTATTAGCAGGTTTACCTTTTCCTCGGAGGCAAGGACGTCCACTGTACTAGAAGCTGGAATTTCAAACAAGGTATGCAAAGATGGTTAACTTGGTAACAAAAATTAACATGAATTAACTATTGCTACCGCAAATGTGTACTATCTAATGTAAACACCTTGAAATAGAACTTCCAATGACACAAAACTAAAACACATTATACACTTCACAAAGTGTGATGGAAAACTTGGCATCTAAGAGTAGCTCACGTTAGACACTAGCTCACTAAGAAGCCATAAAGAGAAAGACAGAGAGGAACTGCTTCATAATTGTGAAAGCCCTGATGGTGGAGAAAGCACAAACACAAAACTTAAAAGTAGACCTTCTGCTTTAAAGTAGACAATAGCTCGAGCTAGATCATAAATGCCAATGTTTCGTAAATGCACATATCTGCTTTTAAAAGTAGACCTTAGGCAAAGCTAGTTTCTTTTCCTCTACGCGAGATAAACAATAAAGAAGACTTACTAGGGCTGGTTTCTCCCTGTTCATTTATTTTTCCAGGTGTTGCAGCATCAGATGCTTTAGCAGACCTTTGAATAGACGCTCTTACATCTTCAAACAAAATAAATTCCTGACTGTTTTCCACGGTGCAGTCGCTTTGAAATGAAGAAAGGGATTCTGTTGATCTATTAATATCTTCTTGAATGGCCGGTAAGCATTTCCTTGCACTCTTATGATTGCTTTCCATCATACTGGATAGTTCTTCGGGTTCCAAAACACCTGATTTCGACAATAGATCTCAGCAAAAGTAAGTGATACAGTCAAACTAACTGGAAACCTGAAAAGGTAACAAAAGATACCTGGTCCGAAATGCACTTACCTGCGCTCGTGAAAAACGCATTGTCCCAGGCAAGACTTTTGCGCAAATTATACTTTCCAGCCTTCACCGCCTTCTGAGGTTCAGGTGACTCACGAGGTTGAAGCACCTCTTCCTTCTCTTCTACTGAAGAAACCAGTGTCTCTTCGTCACAGTATTCTGTATCTTTCATGAAGTTTTGATCTTTGTCATCATTCAAGTCTTTTTTATCCTCATCTGCCTCTGAATGATATCATTAAATAGGGTGTCCAAATGTAAGCACATGACCAAAACCTTCAACATGCAATGTAAATGCAATGCCAGCAAATTCATAACAATAGTCGCATTCCAAGGTCTGAGTCTGAGTCCCACATCAAACATTGAACTGAGCAGTAAAGAAATCTATAAACCCACATCGAACTTCTCGAAGTACCAATCAAGCAGATTCGAGGGATTAACACAACCCAGAACCCATCCCATCTAATGACAAAAATGAAATCGGAAATCAAACGAGAATGAAGATAATTTACAATTACCGGAAAACTCGTAGCTGGTGGGATCCGGAAACGAGGAGAAGAGGAGGCTATCGTCCTCAGAAGCGACATCAATCAGACCAAGGCCATCGACCTCGACCTCGCTTTTCTTGGTCTCGTTGTCTTCCATGAACAGAAGAGATTAAGAAGAAAGTTTCGAAATACCCAGATGTTGTGTTCGCTCGAGATCCCAAGGATTGAGGAGGAAGAAGAAGAAGAAGAAATTTTGAATGAAGAGAGATTTTTTTTTCTTCCCCCTTCTCAGAGATCGAGGGTTTTTGAGTTAGAGAGCGCGGTTGTTCTTAATGCTAAATGGCTTGAATCGATTCTCGAGCGTTGGATTTTGTTCCACTTCCCAATTTTTTTTCATTTTCCTTGAATTGAATTGTTTTGTTCGGTTTGATACGGATTTTTCGGTTCGAGCTAATTCGTATCGGTTGAACCAATTCGCACTAAATAAATCGTTTCCGTTTTGAGACCTCATAATTTTATCAACTGTTATGTATTCTTCTTTTATCAATCGAAGATGCCGAATGAAACTCGAAAGAAACAAAAAATAAATAAAATCTGGATTATTTAATCTTTAAAATGTTTTTAATGAAAGTAACGGCTAAACAACATAACACTAGCATGATAAATGACTTTTCCTTAAAGACCAAATGCTAGGAAACTCAACAATCAAATGAAAAACAAAAGATGCTTCAAGCAAACCAAACTCTCTTCCCTACCAACACAATCATATACAAATATCCTCTCTCCCAAAACTGAGACACCACAAGCCAAATCTATGAACAGTGGATCACTCAGATTCTCAGAAACAGGAACAGGAATAGTTGAATCTCCAAAGATTGTGATGAATATCGTCCTACCACTACTACTCTGTGTTCGGCATTTGAACCATCATATGCGAAGCCTACAGTCATAAAAACAAGTTTAGTCAATTTTTCGATCACTATTACCATAAATACCGATGCTCGATGCTGTGTTGTAGCAATTCAGAACAGGGAAAGTATGCTAGCCTAATCCGAGTTCATACCTTCTTATCTTGATTACAAAGAGAGGATATGCATATACATTGCTCATCGAATATATTGAACATGTTATATCCATTAATTGTTTTTAACATTCTCTTGTCTACTCCTGTTTTTGCTGTATCTTGAGAATGTATAAATTAGTCTTTGTTTTATCAAAACACTTACTTGAGAGTTTCCATAAGGACCTTGTGAGTAAGAGCCTTGCTGACCAATCTGTGGGAACTATTCAGAAGGTAAAGAGAAGGAAAATGTTAAACTAGCTCGCACAAAACATAAGCAAAAAAGATAGGTAGAAATGATGCTGCAAAAAATGAACATGTCAACTTGAGAAGATCGAGAGTCATCATTACCTGAGCCACTTGACTTGGCTGACCATCTCTTTTAGCACTCGGTTCCGCGCCTTTTCCTGATCCCTTAGTGTCACCCTATCAAACAGATAATGACGTAACCAGACAATCCTACTTAGATGCAATCAGACAATATATGCCCCAAAAAAGGAGCCACATATAAAACTGGACTATCAGAAAGATTGTGATAAGATAAAAAGACAAAAATTAGAGAGGTAAGTAAAAGAGGAGATTCACTGACCTCCATCTGCAAAATTCCAATCCATATCGGATAAAAGAAATAAGAAAAGGAAAAAAAAAAAAAGAGTGTCAGTGAATGAATTGCAGAAATTCTATTGATGCCTAGTACTATCAATGCCACATAACTAAAAACATCAAAAAATTCACTGGTGTCTTTTACTACCCCATTTGTTCAAATAGAAACTGAATAAGGAGAAGTGGATCATACCTCTCTATATCTCATGAGGTAAACCTTCAGGGGTTCGATGTAATCTTCGAATCCTAAAGTGGTCATTGCCCAAAGCAAATCATCTCCATTAATGGTCTTCCTTTTCTCTCTTTGGCACTTATCACTCGCTCTGCTTGTCAAAACACGCACAACATCATCATAAATCTCATCAGCATCCCAAATTTTGCAAGTGAATTAACAGAATCCTAACTTCATAATCCAATATACATAGAATTAAAAACAGAAAAAAGGAGAGATTTTCATAACAATGACGGAAACAAAAAAGGTAACCCATCTTTAAGGATCAATTCTCTCAACCAAATCAGATGTTGATGCAACCCATAATTCCAATTCACAGAACAAAACCTAATTCAGTCAAAAATTAAAACTTTGAGAGAATTGAGAAAGGCATTACTCGCTGGTGATGAAGCTGATGAATTCAGAGACGCATTCCTGCATGGTCTCTTTGGCATCTTTGGCAATTTTGCCATTGGCAGGTAAACCCCTCTTCATAATACGGCTTATGTTAGCGATGGGAAGAAACCTATCCTGCTCACGAACATTCGACGACCTCGGGCTCTGATCTCCGCCGCTCTCATGGCTTCCACCGCCTCCTCCGGGACTCATCCCCGACGACTTTGCCTGCGAATCCGCCATCTCAGAAACCCTACACACAAAACAACGAAGATAATCAGAGACGTAACAACATCCCGGCGGAAATCGGAAGAATCAAAGACGAAACCAGAAAATGGAGAAGTGAGATAGATTACCTGAGTGATTTTGAAAAAAAGAGCGGGATTAGAGGGTTTTAAGAGTTTTATCGCCGTTCGTTAGAGGAGAAAGGCGATGGAGAGAGAGATTGATCCGACGCTGGAGAAGAGAAGAGGGAGACAAGTATCGTCTGCGATTTGAGAGATTAGGGATTTAGACTTTTTTTTTTTCTCTTTTCTTTATTTATCACCGTCCGTTTATTAATAGTTTAATACTATCATCTCTTGTCTTCTATTGGTTTCTCAGTAAGTAAATAAATAAATACAAACTTATCATTGATAGATATATTCAAACTATCATCATGGAAATTTATTGAAATGGGATATAATAGCTTAATGTTTAATGAGTATTTAAATGATAAACTGTTAATTCTAGTAGTTTACAGCATTTATGGTTTTATGATATTTAAAGTCTTGATTCTTGAATGCAAAAGATCACATCTCAATACAGTTTTGATTTTTGAATACCAAATGTGACAACGATTACAGGAAGAATAAAAAGACTTACAGAAATCAAATCAAATGATACAAATTTACAAACAATGAAAAAATGCCATTTATTAATTATCATAAAGAAAAAGAATCATTCATTATTGCTTATGGTTTTTTCTTGAGTAACACACCAAATTTCTTCAACATTTTGCCATTCTCAATAGAATCAGTTCTCTCTTCGTCATTGCTCAGAATCGAAGCTGCCGTCTCAGCTGCTTTCCGCCATTGCTCACACTGAACTTTCACTCTTCTAAGCTCAGCTTCCATAGCTTCCGTGTTTGCTGTTTCCACTTTCTTCTCCATTTCACTCCTCAGACACTGCAACTCCATCTCCTTCTCCATTAAACTCCCTCTCACTTCCATTAAATCCGATTCAAGCTTCTTCAAGTCCTCTTCTTTCTTCTCATCCACTAACCCTTTGCGCAAAACCTCGACTTCAGCTTTCGTTCTCTTCAATTCTTCAACTAACTCGGTCTCTCTCTGAGAATATCTTGATTTCACTGCCTCTGTTTGTTCGTAAGCGTTTCTTATCTGCAATGTGCTCTGTATATACTCTTCTTGATACCTTGTCTCTGCTACTTCAACCGCAGATTTCAGTTGGCTTATCTCATTCCTCGCGAGATTCATCGCTTCCTTCAGCTTTTCCACTTCCATTGATGATGATGATGAGTCTCTGCTGCTTCTTCTTTCTTCCTCGAGCTGTCTAACAAGTTTCTCTAACGACTTTGTCTCAAATTTAGACTGCTCTAACTCGGACTCGGACTCAAAGAGCTTCGACTTCAGTTTCTGGACCTCGTTAATAGCAGAAGACAAAGCAGCTGAATCCATTCCGTGTTGTCTCTGCATAGCTTCAAGCTCAGATTGCCATGTCTTGTCTCGCTCCTGCGAGAGTTTACGCAGCTCCTCAATTCTTGAATCTTCTGAGGCGTTGATCTCCATTAACTGCTGTTTGGTCTCTTCAGCTTCTTCTTGAGCTTCCTTCTTTAATGCTTCTGATCTATTTAGCTCTTCCTTTGCCTTCTTAAGCTCATCTTGAAGCTGAGATATCTGAGATTCCAATTCCGGTATCCTTCCTGTCCGCTTCTTCTGAATCTTGAAAAAGCAACAATCATATATACAAAAATAACTCAATTATGAAGCTGAGTGCTTTCCCAAATCAAGAATCCAAGTAAAAATGCATACACCAAATCAACAATCTTTCATATAAGTATAGCTGCAAAAGTACCTCATTAAGAGGGATTCTTGGAGAGCGCCGATCAGTTGCCAGTTTTGGGATTTGAGTTTTCGGTGACGTCTTGGTTTCTGTTCCGTTTGGCTTGAGTCTCCGAGCAACTTTGGCAGTTGGTAAAGAAGATTTCTTTTGTGGCAGCTCCAATGAGCCCGGCCTATCACAGAATCACAATCACCATTAACAACATTGAAAACAGATACAAAAAACTTACAAGACCATCCACAAAACAGAGAGCAATGCATCACCTTGATTTTGAAGTTTGCATTTTTTGGGGAACAAGTGGTTAAAAAAACCTCTCTTTCTGTGTGTAATCAATTGCGTTATGATTGCTTCTTTGAAGAATCTGACAAATACTAACTACATGAAGACAAATTGAATCAATGTGTTAGAAAGAAGCAAAAGAGGAAATTGGAACTATTAAGATTATCCTAAGCATATATACAACAAACTGAGAGGAAATAGAAAGCTTAAGCAAGTGTACAGAAAAAAACAATAACAAATTAAAATAGTTAGAATACACATCGTACGTTAGCTTCAAAGAGACTACTACTGCCACCAAACGAAGGTAAAGAGATAGGAAATGTATATTGAATTTGTTTGGAACAAATAAAAAAACATTTTGAAGTCTATTTAGAAAAGAAGTAGCCGTCACTGTGATTCATCAAATCACAGAAATAAACCCTATTACAAGCAAAGAAAGAAAGCTCCATATCTTCCACATAATCTTTTTGGTTGTTAAGTCACCAATTTTTCTGTTTTTTTTTCTCTCTTTTAAACATTTTTGGAATTATGAGGGAGAAGAGACGATTTCTTGTCATTTAGCCAATGTGAGAGTTTGTTTTATTAGGTGGATCTTCCCAAAAAAGAAACACAGATCCACAAGTAAAATTACACAGAAAACAATCATTTACATACTCCTAAAACTAGAATCTTTTAACATTTTCTGAAAATATTAAAAGGATTAAAAAACACAACAGAAACACTTTTGCTTTTGCAGGAAAACATTAAATTTTTGACTGAATGTTTAAACTACCAACCAAAAAGGAGGTTGATTTAAGCATATTAAAACCCTGAAGTCCTAAACCCATCAGAGATTTACAATTCTGCAGCAAATCAGCAAACAAACTTGTAAAATACCTAGAAACGCAATAAGAATTTCGGGTTCTAATTTGCTCACATCATAATAAAGTAAGACTACCCCTAAATGCTAAAATTTTCAGAAATCAAATAAAAAAGAACTCTAATGAGAATTGGGAACAAATCATGTGAATGAAAAATAAAGAGAAATTTGAGTCTTTGACAAAGTCGTGAAGAAATATTCACCTGCACCGTCGATCTAGTTTCCTTTTGTAGGAAAGATCGGCTTTAAAAAGACAAAAAGAAAATGAAGAATTGCAGAATCAAACAAGAACTTTAGATGAATTGATCTTCAGACATCTCTCGTTCTGATTTGCTTTTCTCACTGACTCCCGAAGTTTTTTTCCCTCAGTGAGAAACATCTATCATTTATTTTTAATTTTGGTTAAAAGATATATATATCAGAAATAACCCCTGAAGTAATGATTGTGTTGTTCCCACCTCGCTTCTTTAATTTTCAATACTTTGAAAGAACTCGTTACTTTATCTGTTATTTTTTAAAATATTTATTATATAGTGGCATACACTTGACCTTGGATTCGTTTTGGTTCAACAGAAAACAATACTTGATTTTCTCTTTGGAATGATTAATTTCTAGTGGGGTGGATTATGCAAACAATAAATATTAGGGGTTTTTTGAAAAATAATTGAGAGAGTGAACGAAAATAGAACGTGGAGGGTGCGTTTTTTTAGCTACGCGCTTTGTTGACGCGCCCGAGTCACGTGCCACTGTTCAGCCTCATATTGCTACTTTAAACCGAACCGTCACGCAACACAAAATACAAACAAAGACACAATCTTAGCATTTTCTTGTTTTTTTTAATATTTATATAAATCCACATTTTTGTAGAATAAACAGCCTTATTAATCATGTTATCATGTTATGGACCAGATGGTCCAAATCTTCGGTATGTATATCTTACATCCGAATTATTATTCTTATGTTTTTATACGTCACATACGTATTACATTTTGGTCTTATCCATTGATCAAAAATACTGGTTTTTGCTAATATATGTAGAACTATCAATTAATCATCAAATCTCTCAATTTTATTTCGGTATTCTTTGGTTCTTCTGTTGTTATTGGTTATTACTGGATCACTCCATCAAATCTAACACCAAAATCAAATTAAGAGATTTAATGGATAACTCAATAATCCAAAAGGTAGCAATTCAAAAAGTATTGACGACATGAATCTTCTATTTAATATACCTGATTTCTAAACCAACCAAAAATAAATTCCATAAAACTAATTTTTTGAGAGAAAGTATAATCAGAATTTATGAACACGGCATATTCACTTGCTTATTAATTGACTATACAGTCTGCCTTACTTAAAATTACATTTAAAAAATGGTTTTGACTTACTCTGTTTCTTACTCTATTTCCTCGTTGTATCAGCTCAGACTCTTTCTTCAATCATATCTTCAACACTAAAATAAAAGCTGATCTGACTCTTTCTTCAATCATATCTTGAACGTTGCACGTGTCCTGATTTGTTGATAATAGCGCTCATTCATTGTCAAATGGATGTAATCATCTCTGTTTGCACGTGTAACTTGTTTGTTATCACCACTCTAACACAGGTTTTCTGAGAAAAAGTCTTGAACTGATTCTATATCAGTTTGACAAGTTTTGCAAGGAAAATATTTTATTTCCAGCTAGGTGAAAGAGTGTCAAACAGAATACCAACTAGCACATCGTGCTTCAAAGCCTGTCAGCAAATTTATACTTATGTAGATTATTTTCTTATATTAAGAGTTTTGGATGCGATTAGAGACTAAATGAAGAGCTTGTTTTCAGGATCAAAGAGTTTGTTGCAAGACAAAAAAAGTCACTCAAAATACTTTATCACTTTCCGTTTGTTCATCTGCAAACTGCACAAGGATTGTCCCAACATGAAAATCCAATGTGTCTGCAGCCATTACCTGAATCAAAGAATTTTTAAAAAGGTTAATCTAAAAATCACACATGTAGTTGGATCTGTTCAAGTCGTCGTTTTCAATTTATAATAAGATTTTAATTTACAAGTAGTTTTAATAAATTCGACAAACTTATGCAAAATATGAAATATATATCTTTTTATACCATAAAAATATAAAATTTATTAAATCATTATGTGTTGATTGGTTTCGTATATATTTGTAGTATCATTTGTGCATACTTTGAACATATTTTATTATAATAACAATTTCAAGCATGTAAATTAATCATTGGATTGGTAATAATTGTGGTTGTCTATTTTCAAAGTTGGGTCAAAACATATTTTTTTATTATAATTTGAACATTGATGAATGTATTTTATGACAAAATGAATGGTTTTAATGCTATCTATGTATTTTATGTTTTTTAGTGTATGTTACCAGTACCATGCATATATTACTTTTTGATGAGTTATATTTGTGTAGCTAGCAATCCATTTTTCTGTCATATTTTATATATATGCTTTTAAGACCATAAAAGTTCTGATATGTTCACATATGGAAAGACTCTAATATTATTATAGTAAATCTAGCGCCACTTGGGTGTTCATGCATTAGAGAATCTCCGATACGAGGAGAATTCTTGGCTGTACGCAAAACATCCTCTCCAGTCTCCACATATGTGAAATTATATATTCTGTATTATATGTTGGATTTTTTTGGCTGTTATTATTCATTATTTCATTTGTATTTTCTATGAAAGAATGTGCAACAATATACTATTATATATTACTGACTATATATCTAACAGACCACAAAATGCTCAAATTCAGTGTTATGTATTCTTCACGTAGTACATACATGATGCTTTGAAGTTGTATTTTATATTAACCACATTATATATAAATACAAATGAATGGACACGGAAGGGGCATCACGAGTCACGACCAAACAACGATGGCTAAAAACTGAAATTGTTGAGCAGATTTTGCAGTACATCCTGAACAGTCATGTCCACATTGTGAAGAAGAGTCAACAATGCTATTCTATTGCAGCCACATATTACAGAATGCTTCGCAATTCCAATTCTATTTTATATTTACCACATAGTATAAAAACAATAGGTATGAACTACATTATCTATGGGGTGATCGTACAAACCGAAAATAACCACCAGACTGGTTTTTCAGGGAAATCATTGTTAACCGAAATTTAAACTAAACCAAAGACTAACCACAACTTTATCCCATCACAGTTTTCGATTCGAGTCTTTCTCTATAGCATCGCCTTCATCTATTTTCCAGTTATCATAATGGGCCATAGCCAAAGTGAGGTCCTTTTCTCAATTCTTCAATTTCAGGCACGATCACATGTATTCATCACCGCTTCATGCGCAAGATTCCAGGTTCTCAACCTCAGATATTGTTGAAAGGGAGCAGAATCCGACGTCATTGGTTTGTGTTTTATCTTTGTTTTTAAACAAACTTGGAGGATTATATGGTTGCCGCATAGATATATTGACTTCGTTTTCTATATACTTTTGCAGTCTCTACTGCACATTTGGCAAACTTTCTTCATGCTGATTAAAAAGGTCGAATTTTTATAAATATCGCTCATGTGTTTCTAACATTGTACACCACCTGCTCGATCAAATGCCTGTGAGATATATTCGTTGACATTGCTCACCTCATTTCCCCTTCTGCGTTAGTAATTGTGTCTTGAAGAGGAAATTGTGTTATGACAAATATTTGACTCATCGAGTTGTGATTGGTTGTGTTGAGCTCCTGAGCTTTCTATCCATTGGGTTATTCGTACTAGTTTGTAGCTAGCACTTTCAACAACAAAACATTACTCTGTTTCTGAGACATGGTATTCTGTTAAAATGTCCCCGTGATTTCATTTGGATGCCTTGTGGGGATATGAGAACGCATGAAATTAGCCGCCTTTATTTAGAGTTTACAGAGAAATTGTATTGATGTTTATAGTTTTATCTCTCATATTTGAGTCTTTATTTCTGAAACAGGATTTTGCAACTGATATCCAGCTAGAGAGGGCTGCCTTCCTTGTTTGGTGACTTATGAGTTTGCAAAGAACGTTCAGCAGTGGATTATATTTTCTTCATCATCGAAAAATGGTGCATTTTATTTCAATGGTGAATCCTTTGCCTTGTTTTGTTGGATGCTTCCCCGAATGACACGTCTTTCTAGCTGAACCTCCCACTCATATTCCTTTCGCAAGGAGGTATTTGCTAGGGTTTTGAAACTTGATCGAAATGGGAAAAATCTTACGATCAGGAGCTAGAGTTGCCTTCAGCAACAGTCAGGTACCGGCAACTTCTACTGTGGTATCGACCATCAGGACCGAAGAGTTGATGAATGATCACATAAATACCCTCTGTAAACAGAAATTTTACAGGGAAGCACTGGAAGCGTTTCATTTCTCACACAAGAACTCAAGCTTCAAGATAAGTTTAAAGACTTATGTTTCTTTAATTTGTGCTTGCTCTTCCTCGAGATCTCTGGCACAAGGCAGGAAGATTCATGATCACATCTTGAAATCCAACTGCAAGCATGATACTATTCTTAATAATCACATTCTAAGCATGTATGGAAAATGTGGCTCGCTGAGGGATGCTAGACAAGTTTTTGATCTTATGCCTCAGAGAAATTTGGTCTCTTATACATCTGTGATTACTGGCTATTCACAGAACGGTCAGGAAGCCGAGGCAATCAAATTGTACTTGAAAATGCTTCAGGAAGATTTAGTTCCTGACCAGTATTCATTTGGAAGCATCATCAAAGCATGTGCTAGTTATGGTGATGTTGGGTTAGGGAAGCAACTGCATGCTCAAGTCATTAAGTTGGAACCTACTTCTCATCTTGTTGCTCAAAATGCTCTTATTTCTATGTATGTTAGCTTCAATCAAATATCAGATGCAAGCAAAGTGTTCTCTGGTATTCCGATGAAGGATATAATTTCGTGGGGTTCCGTCATTGCAGGGTTCTCGCAGCTTGGGTACGAGTTAGAGGCACTGAGCTGCTTAAAAGAAATGTTGTCTTATGGTGTTTTCCAGCCAAATGAATATATATATGGTAGCTCTTTAAAAGCTTGTAGCAATCTCCTTCGACCAGATTATGGAAGCCAAATACATGGGTTATGCATTAAGTCTGGGTTTTCTGGAGACGCGTTTGCAGGCTGCTCGCTCTGTGACATGTATGCTAGATGTGGTTTTTTGAGTTCTGCACGGAGAGTGTTTTATCAGATAGAGAAACCTGATACAGCATCATGGAATGTGATCATTGCTGGACTTGCAAATAACGGCTACGCTGATGAGGCTGTATCATTTTTTTCTCAAATGAGGAATTCTGGTTTTACTCCTGATGCTATCTCCTTGCGTTCTTTGCTCTGTGGTCAGACAAACCCAATGGCTCTGTGTCAAGGCATGCAAATTCACTCTTTCATTATCAAGTATGGTTTTCTGACAGATCTTTCAGTTTGCAACTCTCTGCTTACCATGTACAATTGCTGCTCGGACTTGTATTCTTGTTTTAGGATATTTGAAGACTTCAGAAACAAGGCAGATTCTGTTTCTTGGAATGCTATTCTGACGGCGTGTTTGCAACATGAACAGCCAGCAGAGGTGTTGAGATTTTTTAAGCTGATGTTTGTATCTGAATGTGAGCCAGATCACATAACCACGGGTAGTCTGCTTCGGGCTTGTGTAGAAATTTCATCTCTAAAATTGGGAAGTCAAGTCCATTGCTATAACTTGAAAACCGGGTTGGTGCTTGAACAATTTATAACAAATGGACTGATTGATATGTATGCCAAGTGTGGGTCAATGGAGCAAGCGAGAAGGGTATTTGATTCAATGGATAACCGAGATGTGGTTTCGTGGAGCACATTGATAGTTGGATATGCACAGTCTGGATTTGGAGATGAAGCTCTCACACTGTTCAAGGAGATGAAAAGCTCGGGCATAGAGCCAAACCATGTAACGTTTGTCGGTGTTCTTACCGCATGTAGTCATGTTGGGCTGGTGGAAGAAGGCTTGAAGCTGTATGCAATCATGCAAACCGAATACGGGATTTCACCAACAAAAGAGCACTGCTCTTGCATTGTCGACTTACTAGCTCGTGCTGGACATTTAAATGAAGCTGAGAAGTTCATCAATGAGATGAAGTTGGAACCTGATGTAGTCGTGTGGAAGACTCTACTGTCTGCATGTAAAACCAAAGGAAATGTTGATCTCGCCCAAAAAGCTGCTGAAAATATTCTGAAGATCGATCCTTTCAACTCTACAGCTCATGTATTGCTCTGTGGCTTACACGCTTCTTCTGGAAATTGGGAAGATGCGGCATTGTTGAGGAGCACGATGAAAAAGCATGACGTTAAAAAAGTTCCGGGACAGAGCTGGATTGAAGTTAAGGATCAAATTCATATATTCTTTGCTGAAGATGTTATTCATTCAGAGAAGGAAGATATCTATACAGTTCTGCACAACGTCTGGTCGCAGATGCTAGATGAGTGCCATCCGCAACACAAGAAAAGACTCCAGTTTATCGATGAGACCGGATAAACAGACTTTTAAGTGCAATTTGTCTCTCTTCAAACAAAGCACAGAGAATGGAATGCCATTGCGTATCATCTGTAAGTTGCATCTTCTTCCACCTTGGTCTTTGCTTACAGAAAATGCCGTAAATACCAAAAAGAGATCTTGCGCTTTCACTTTTACTCAATGTTTATATTTACTCTGCAGTGTGTTGCCATGAGAGATAGATGCAGCGTACACAGGCGCAGCGTTCTGTTAAGGCATTTGACGAGGTAATATTTCGCTTGATTGCAGCGAATATATTCTGTTGATGTTTTTGGTTACCTGTTGAGTAATGGTGAAAGAATATTGACTTCTTTTTGTTACCAAAATGATGTTAATTTTCATGAATCTCATTGTTCTATTTATTTCTATTTTACCACGTTGGATTGCAGCACGCAAGCAGGATGAAACATCTACTAGTGAAGGTGGATGATTTGAAGGATGCGGTGAAGGAACTATCTTCAATTTAATGGCTACAATGATATCACAGCTAGTTGCTTTTCTTATCTCTTTGCTTCTTCTGCTCTTATTGATGTATTTTCAGATTGGATTCGCCGAGAGCCGAGCTATTTTGGCGCCACCCTCTGAATCGGGTAGAGGAAAAGGCCCATAGGCCATGAGCAAAAATACGGTTTGAGAGGTAACAGAGTTACAGAGAAGACCCTATAATGGTCAAAGATTATTGTTCTTATGATTTTATATTAGTTTTCGGATTATGTCATAAGATTAGATCATATGATAACAATACTTGGTAGTAAATAAGACCATGTTGTAAGCTATATAATAAAGTTTCTCAGAACATCAAAAACTCTTCATCAAAGGTACTGCAACAAGAAAAGCTAAAACAGAAAGAATGTTCCAAAAAACATCGCAGAACCAATGCAAATGGACACACCAAAGCACCAAGCTCAACAAAAATACTCACAGGTGCCTAGAAACTCAAGAACATCTTCTACATAACATCATCGAATGAGAGTGGAGCTTTTGCAGCCGAAACCTCTGCTTTCTCCTTCTCCATCTCAGCTTCAAGATCTGAGCACTTTTTTTTTTTTTTTTTTGACCTCAAAAACACCATTTATTAAGATCGTGGCAGATGACTCTCCTCAAGAGAAAGCCAATTGGGTGCCATAGGACTTACATGGGAAAAGCTACAACCTCGTGATCTTGCCTCTTTAGCAAGCTTGTCGGCACGGATATTACAAGAGCGGGGAATATGAAATAGTCTAAACGACGGAAATAACGAATACATAAATAAGAAGTCCCTAAGTTCTGACGCAAACGAAGGCCAGGCCTCGGGGTTACTCGTCATGGCTAGAAGATCGGAGCAATATGTGGCAAAAGATTCGCAAGAAATATCCGATGCGAGGATACACTTCATAGCCCATAGGAGAGAGTTTAGCTCAGCGTGGAGGGGCGAGAGATTGCGGACCGATCCGCGAGCTCCGTACAACAAGGTCTTCCGTCTTGCTTCAACAAGCCATCCGTGGCCACTAAAGCTGTCTGTCTCGTGCCAAGACCCGTCAATATAGCATATTGGGTCCTCCGGAAGGCAAGAATCGGAAGCCCCACAATCCACACACAGGGGAGCTGACTCAAGGTCAACAGTGTTTGCTTGTCTCCAAACCTCTTCCTCACGTCTCGCATGATCTAGAATGTCTGGGGGTAACTCTTCCACATTCTCAAAAATCTTCTTGTTTCTAGCTTTCCAAATAAACCACATAATCCAAGGGAATGCCTTAAGGTCTGCTTCACAAGAACCGAAAGACCGAGCCCTCCAGAATAGATAATCTAAATTGCCAAAAACCGAGGCAAGTGGGAACACGTTAGGAGCCGAGGGGATCGAAGACAAAGCCCATACTTGCTTTGCCGGGGGCATTCGAAAATAACATGGTTTATGGTCTCTTCCTCCGCACCACATCGAGGGCATCCCTTATCCCTACCAATGTGACGGTATGCGTGACGTTGACAAGTCGGTAAAAAACCGGAAGCACACTGCCACACAAAGTGTTTAACTTTACGTGTGGTCTTTAGTTTCCAAGCTTGTGCCTTTAGTGCCGTAGCGCTAAGTCCCTGAAGAGGGAGGTCACAAGCGAGACGAGATAACGCTCTCGCGGTCCAATAGCCTGATTTTACCGTGTAATTCCTGGATTTAGTGAGGGACCAACTGTACCCATCTCTCGAGACATTTTGACTCGGACGTAACCCAAGGATAAGGGAGATTTCCTCCGGTGGGAAAAGCTCCCTGAGCCGCTCCATCTTCCATTGTTTAGACTCGAAGTCGATCAACGTGTTGACAAACAAAAGCGGGTCTCTCTCGCCTTGAAGGCCCACCGGGGGTCGGGGCGGAGAATCGGGAATCCACGGTTTTGACCATACACATGTATCGAAGCCGGAACCAATCGTTTTGCGGATCCCAGAGGCTAGAAGGGGTTTTGCCGCAAGGATGCTTCTCCAACCATAAGAAGGGCGGTTCGAGGCGGATATCTCTAGAGGGCTGCAGTATCTGAAATACCTCCCTTTTAATACTCGACAAAGAAGAGAGTCGGGGAAACGAAGGAGACGCCATAGTTGTTTAGCAAGGAGGGCTAGGTTGAAATCCTCAAAGGATCGAAAACCGAGACCACCTTCCTCAAGATGTGCGCTTAGGGATTCCCAAGATACCCAATGGATACCTTTGCTATCAATCTTAGAACTCCACCAGAAGTTAGCGACAGCACTTCTCAATTTGGAGCATAATACTTTCGGGAGAAGGAAACACGACATTACATATGTCGGAATTGCTTGGGCTTGAGACTTGATCAGTATCTCCTTCCCGCCTTTTGAAAGGATTTTGGAGGACCAGGAGTTGACACGGGTTTGGAGTCGGTCTCGAACGAACGCAAATACTTGAGCATTTGATCCATGAAGCTTTTCTGGGATACCCAAATAGGTTCCCATTCCACCTTCTTGGGAGATACCAATAGTGTCTTTGATCATCTGACGGGAGTCGCTGGGAACCTCATTACCGAACATGACGGAAGACTTGCTATAGTTGATTTGCTGTCCTGAGACCTCTCCATAGGATAGGATAATGTTGAAAAGTTCTCTACTTTGATTAGGGTCTGCCTTACAGAAAAACAGGCTGTCATCAGCAAAGAGGAGGTGAGATGTTGGGGGGCTAGCCCGAGCAACTCGTAACCCTTGAATCTTTCCGTCAAGTTCCGAAGCGCGAAGCTGTGAGATTAGGGCTTCCGTACATAAAATGAATAGGTACGGAGAAATAGGGTCACCTTGTCTGATCCCTCGGGATGGAGTAATATGACCTCGCGGCTCTCCATTTAGGAGGACACGGTAAGACACAGTCCTGATACATTGCATCACCCAATTCACCCATTTTGAGCAAAAGCCCATCTTTTCCATTAGCGAGCATAGAAAAGGCCATTCGACTCGGTCATAAGCTTTGCTCATGTCCGTTTTGATAGCCATGAAATTCTTCCTGCACACCGAGTTAGATCGAAGAGCGTGAAAATTTTCTTGAGCTAAGAGGACATTATCCGTAATCAGTCGACCGGCCACAAATGCGGATTGGGTCTCAGAGATTAACTCTGGAAGGAACCTCTTTAACCGGAGACTCAGGATCTTAGATATGACCTTATAGCTTACATTACATAAACTAATAGGTCTAAAACCCGCCATCTCTCTTGGTTTGTCACCTTTCGGGATGAGGCAGATGTTCGTCTCATTAAGTCTCTTATCCAGGATTCCGGACTCGAAGAATTCCTTAACCAAATGGATAAGATCATCTTTTACTATTCCCCAGAATTTTTGGAAGAATAATGCTGTCATCCCGTCGGGACTCGGGGCTTTCCCGGGGTTTATAGAAAACAGGGCACGTCGCACTTCATCCTCTGAAATCTCTCTAGTGAGGTTCTCATTCATTAGAGCTGTAACAGAGGAGGGTACATCCCGAAGAACAATAGATGGGTCACCCGAAACCGAGGAGGTGAAAAGATCTTCAAAATACTCAACCGCAACTTTCTCCATCCCGGCATCGTCGTCAATCCAAACACCGGATTGATTTAGGAGGCCAAGGATCCTATTGCAAGCTCTCCTCTGTTTAGTAGTTGCGTGGAAGAATTTTGTATTTCTATCGCCCTCTTTTAGCCATAGCGCTCTACTCTTCTGCTGCCAGTAAGACTCTTCCTCTTGATATGCCGCACAAAGTTGCCATTTCAGATCAAGTAACGCCTCTGGGGTTATAGCCACATCTTCTTGTGCTTTATCAATTTGGTCTTGGAGATGCGCTATTAGCTTCTCTGAGTTCGTGGTGAGATCTTTCTTCCACATCGAAATCGCTTGCCGACATTTGCGAATACGACACACGAAATGGTCGTTTGGACTCTGCGAAGTTTGACCCCAACCTTCCTTGACAGCTTCCTCAAGGCTTGGCTTCCCAATCCATCTCTTATCAAACATAAAACGATGAACGGGTCTCCTAGGGGTGGATCGAATCGATGCGACAATGGGTCTATGATCTGATCCCCATAGCTTAAGATACTCCACATAAGTGTGGGAAAAAATGTTATGCCAGTCTTCATTCCCCATAGCCCTATCTAATCTGCATTTCACCACGCCATTGCGACGACGACCAACCCAAGAGAAAAGGTTACCCTGATATGGGAAATCGATAAGGCCACAGTTTTGAATCATAGCTCTAAACGAAAGGAAAGAGGATTCCGATCTCTTCTTTCCCCCGCATTTTTCATGGTTCCCGATAATTTCATTAAAGTCACCTATAATGAACCAGGCCCCAGAACGGGAAATACCAATGCGGTTTAACCGCTCCCACACATAATCTCGGTTTTTCACAACAGGATCCCCATAGATAAATGTCATAAAAACAATATTACCATCAATAATTGTCTCAACATCAATCAGACGATCATCCCAACAACAATATTTTAACCGGAAAATCCTTCAAATACATAAGAGCTAAACCTCCACTGTTCCCTATTGGGTCGACAGTATAAAGGTTATCAAATCCTAATTCAACTTGCATATCTTGCAGAAAAGAAAATTCGTTCTTAGTTTCCGATAAAAACATGAACCCTGGAGAGTACTTCTTGCATAACTCTTCCGGTCGACGGGAAGTAAGCTCAGCCCCCGCCCGTTGGCAGTTCCAGGATAAGACCCTCATGTAGTAGGTTTGGGTGGGTTACGGGGGCCCACCGGACCTACAGTCTTCTTGTTTGTTTTCGTAGTCTTTGCTTTCGGGACCGGAACCACTTCACGATCAGTGCCAGCTGGAATTGGTGCTTGACGGGGACCATTAGATGGTTCAGCGGGAACAGATGAACGTTTCTTCGGGGAAGGTTTACTCTGAAAAGTTTTAAGCTTTTTTGATGCCGCTTTGCTCACCTTTGGGCTTCGCGGGATTTTCTTCTTCACACCTTGCTTCTCAACACGAGCTGGAGGGCTTAACTTAGGGCTCTTGCGGGCTTGATCTCGGACCGGGGAACTCTCGCGCTTACTTGTTGGGGTCTGAAAAGGGGCTGATGACGTCTTGACACCATGGGAGATTGGGACAACTGTTTCTGAGATAGTTCTTTCCAAACTCTCCGCTAACTCCAGTGCTGCCATTTCTTCACCTAAGAGATCGTCGTCCTCCATCAAGCCCTCAATAATCATCGCCTTTTCACATTCGTCCAGGATTCGAAGGTCTTCCTCAGTAAGCACGATGTCGTCTTCATCACCTCCGTCACGGTCTTCCCAATCAGTGGGGACAGTCTCAACATCGAGATCAATATTGCCATCCGCCAAAACATGAGCATCGTCATCTGCAAACACAGGGGGAGTTGTTTCCACTGAAGGCAGAGTCTCACCAAAGGGTGGAGAGTGGATCGTACCAGAAGCCGAGCCCAACTCCAGCAGCTTTGGGGATGATTCGAAATCGCCTGCATCACTATTATCATCCTCCTCAGCTTCCATTATTGCTTTCCCTTTCCCTGAATCTTCTGGAGCGGATCGTCTTGCAGATCTGGAAGGAGATGGAAGCGGCTCAGCGATTCGCAAACTGGTTTGACGACGAGGAGGGAGAGCTCCACCCCATTGTTCGAAACTGAAATCGTGACGAGGTGGAGAACGCTTGCGTGGAGGAGAGCGCTGACGCGAGGGAGAACGCCGGCGAGAGGGAGGGAGCCCCTTCCGAGACGGATCACGGGCACGAGTGTCACCGTAGCTTGAAGTGAATCTCGGGATCTCTTGGCTAGAAGCAACTGAGTCGTGAGGCCTACGTTTCCTCGTACTCGATGATGACTGAACAGAGTTCTCCCGATTACGGGGATTAGAGTGATCACGGTCACCATTTAAGCGGTGCCAAATCGAAGTTCTTCTGTCCTCCAGAGGTTCGTTTCCTTCAGCTCGGTACAGACTCCGACGGGCAGATCTCGGAGGAAGATTACGCCCTGAGTTCAGATCTTCTCCATCCGCAGATGTACCACCGTTGGAGATACGAGTAGAGTCTTCTTGACGGGCTGAATCACGTTCAGCTCTGTGAGTCCGTCGCGAGACCAGATGCGACACGGTTTCTTTCTTTTTCAGGGATGCGAGGGCGGTGATCTCTCCGCTTTGAGCCAGAGCTCTGGATTCTCTGTTACGTTGACGTTCGCTCTCAGAGAGGTAAGGACACGAGATTTCTTCATGAGAAATCATATGGCAAGTGAAGCAGTATCGGTATAGCTTTTCATATTCCAGAAGAACCGTAATCTCGTCTCCATTGTCGAACTTGACCTTTTTCTTAAACTTCAAAGGTCTGGTGACGTCAATCACAACCGAGACACGTCCGTCTTTATCGTCGACAGCCTTCACGTGACCCAGCGTAGCACCGATTCTTCGAAAAGCATCTTCCACCCAGTAGTGGAGAGGGATTCCACGAGTGGTAATCCAGAAGCAGACAGTGCTCGGGAACTCCTCACTGATGTTCGGTTCCCATCTTTCAAGAGCGAAGGTCCATTTATTAAAATGGCACGGTCTCTTCTTCAACACCTTCTGGAGGTCTTCCTCCGAGTCAAAATCAAAGTGGAAACGACCTTGACCAAGGTCCACACCCCTTACGCGACCTGCAACATCCCATATGCCAGATCTGGGCATGAAGGCAAGGAGAGCTTCGGTGCTTCTTCCGCCAATGTGGAACGACCGTCCAATGAGAGTTAAACGAAATCTTGCCACTAGGGCAGAGTTATCAAAGGGTGGGATTACCACAGGTTCATCCTCTTCATCAGAAGGGAGACGACGAGCTTCAAGATTTTTTGGGTTGCGAGACATTATGCCAAAGCAAAAGGAAATGCTTAGAAAGCTACGCTAAGCGTCGAGGGAAGGGAGAGAGGGGGAGCGGAGGTGTATGGGAGTGAAAACGAGGTTAAACAAAGTTTTTAGTGGGGTAGAGAATGGGAGAAACAGGATTAAACCAAGGGAGCACAACACGAGAAGGAATGTTGGAGAGGAGGGAGCCAGATCTGTCGGGAAACAAGAAACAAAGTTTTCTTGGAGAGTCCATACAGGTCGGCGGGTTGAGAGAGTTTTGGAATTAGGGCGAACTCATCTGATACTCACTTTTGTTTCAAATGTTTCAACTCTTCGTCAATTTCTTGCATCCGAATCTCACCGGCTTCTTCCTTCTCCTTCTTTTCTGACATCTCATCAAGTTTCTTCTCCAGCCAATCCAACTTAAATCCAGCATAAGTCAGTGATCTCAGTGCATCATATGCCACAGCAAGATCAGCCTTGTGGAGCTCGTGAGGCGACTGGCATAGAGTCTCAATCAGACCGAGTAGCAAACTCATGTAACCTGTCCTAAGATTTGGGTTCTTGGAACGGAACTCAGATGCAATCTCAGGATGTCTTTCAAACATGTGGCACGCAACTTCCACCTGAGAGTTGAAAAACAAAAGTATAAAGTAGAATCCATACCCATAGACCAGTTTTAATTAGGAGACAACACATACATTATTAATATCTAACCTGTGAAGAGAGAATTTGAAAGCCATAAACATCCTCCACTATAGTTAAAGTCGTCTCTGCTACATCTAATTTGCCAATAACTTCAAGAACCTCTACCTCGGCAACAATTTTGAGCTCTCCGTTGACCAGAAACCCACTTTCTTTGTTAAGAATGTCTTTCATGGGAAACACCTTTAAATCACTCCGGAAAGAATGCTCATCGAACCACTCTAGTCCTTGATGTAAAACATAATTTATATAATCTCTACATGAATTATGACTTCTGTGGGTATGAACAGCAAATGCAAACAACTTGGCACAAAACTCTAATCGAAAACTACCTAAAACGAGCCTTACACGATAATTTGAAATGTCCTATGTCCGAATTATAAAATGTGAACGTCAAAAGTGATTAATGATTATGTTGTGTTTATAGTACTGTCATTCAAAATAATTTGGAGACAGGAGCTCCTGCAAAAGCAAGCGTGCAATGGGAAGAAATAATCACCATTTAGTTTGGAGTCTTTGACGGTATTTTGATTTACTAAGTTTATGAGATATCGGACGTGTCTTTTCCATCCAAAAGGCAATGATCCATGATCGGCGACTTCCAAATACATTAGTCAAGTAACCAAAGAAACTGCGATAGGCAAAAAGACGCCTTGCAAGGAAACACAAATAAAAGGATCAGAAACACTACTCTGGAGGATATAAATGGACGAAAACACTTGAAAGCCTTTACCATTTGCATCCACCGACTAGAAATTGATGAGAATAATTTTCCTCGTTAAATTTCAAAGAGGAGGCATTCTTAATCACCCAAGTGATCTTCTTTTGCTTCTCCATGATCTTGATGAAGAGTCCTCTGCAATCAAACTAGCACACATGAAGAGAAGAAAAAACCCATATAAAGTAAGTGGCACACAAACAGTTTTTAACTGGACAACCAAACAACAGTCTCTAGTCTCTAGCAGCATTACCAAAATTGAAATTTAAAATTCCAATGCGAAATGTTTAAATTTTATCACGAGGAATGCGAACAGCCTTGGTCTCCTTTCGTACTTGATTGATACTCTGCCATAATTATACGAAATTAATAAATGCTACTACAACTTTAAGAGTGTACGTTTTCGAGAATCTCTCTATTGGCCTTGACTCTTTGAATGTCGCTTCCAAACCAAGTCAGTGAACTCTATAATTAAGTGCATAAGAACTCAAACACATCAAACATGAGATGATCTTAACGTACCTTCAAATTCGCCAACTATCATTGTCTTTAAGAGACATTAACCAGTTTTAATGGTATCTTGGGATGTACAACAGGGGAGTTTAGATGCTACGAACACGTCTATAAAGTCTGACTGATTGATCTGTCTTTGTAATAATTTAACCGATGCGTCTTGATTCTCTGAATTAATATACAGATTTACATAAACATCCAGTCCATTGGACCTATTAATTTGAACCAATTTGTTGTATTTACAAACGTCAAATATGAATACTCCATGTGGACCAAATTAGAATTCGATTTTATAATAACATCCAAGAAACAATAGAAGTCAAAGGAGATTTAAGATGCTAATTCTACTTAATACCATGCAAGTGAAATCATATTAATTATGAAGTTTGAATTGACACATATACAATAAGAAGAAAAATGTATACCTGAATTATGTGAGTTTTGATTAAGTCAACTATAAGATCTAATCACTTCGAATTTTAAGGAAGCCCGATAAATTTTTACCCCTAATTAGTTCAACCTTTTCGCTACTATTAAATTACTTGACATAATTTCAATGTCGACATAACCTCAAGATATAATCAGTTCAATTAGAAAATTGTATATAAGTAAGTTCAATTAGAATGATTTGACATAACCTCAAGATATAATCAGTTCGAGTTAAAAAAAAAAAAACAATTACTCTTTACTTCCCCGGGAAAAAAGAAGTATATAAGTAAGTTCTTGCAAACCCTAACACACCAAAATCTTAAAATTACTCTTTTCTCGATGAGAAACTTAGAGAGAGAAGCAGACGAAAAACGAAGATCAGTTCGTGAGGGGAAGAGAGTCCAAGAAAGCAAGCCTGAAAACACAGAGTTAGTCCTGAAGATCTTTAAAGGATTCACAATCGATGAAAGAGATCTCACGCAACCTTACGAGGGTCCTGAGTACTTTAGAATTATGGCATGGACAGACGATCAAGATCAATACGGAACACAAGCGATCAAGTCTTACTACGGTCTCCACTTTTTCAATCAAAAGCTTGTGATTCCTTTGGATTCTCCTGCAGATCAGAATCTTTACATTGAATTGCAAAGAGGGTTTTCTTGGAAAGATCCTGGAACAAGCAACGGTACTGTTGTGATGGGTCGGGCTAGGATTGAGTTGCCTCCTCGGAACAGTCATTGCGAGTTCACTTCTAAGGTCAAACTCGTCGGTTTGAACAGTGATCAATGCGTAGGGTTCAAGGGATACCTAGATATCTCTATGAAACTTAATAGATATTTTCGATATCATGACTAATCATTTGTAATTATAGCTTTTCTCTGGATAACTAGATGGTGTTCTTATGTGATATTGGTCTTAATTATATCAAGAGTCTTTATTCTGTGTCATCTTCTATCCCATATATATATTCATTATACGTGTTGGTATAAGGATGGTTATGAATCCCAATGCATAATCTGCCACAGATGAGATTTGGCTTGGCGCAGAGTCTTAATCAGACTGAGTAGAAACATTAAACGTTTAGATTTTAGGACGAGGAATGCGAACAGCCTGTGTCTCCTTTGTTACTTGATGGATACTCTGCCATAATTATGAAATTAATATAAATGCTAAGACTTAAAGAGTCTTACGTTTTTCAGAAACTCTCTATTGGCCTTTGACTCTTTGAATGTCACAACTCTTTTTTCATACTCAGAGAAAGAGAGTTTACTTGAATCCATGTGCAAAATGTGACAACTTTACGAAATAGGAGACCGAAACCCAAGTCAGTGAACTATTTTAATTAGTGCCTAAGACCTCAATTCATCAAACATGAGCTGATCTTAACTTTCCTGCAAACTCGCCAACAATATCAATCTAGTTTGCATATAGAGAGACATTAACCAGTTTTAATGGTATCTTGGGATGTAAAACAGGGTACTTTAGAGGCTTTGTATACGTCAATGAGGGTTTCATTGATTGATTTGTCTTTTTTATAATAAAATGTTGACTCACCTTGCCTCTTGATTCTGTGAAAGATATTCAGTTTAGCCAAAAACCGGATTGGTTTAGGTAGCAAGGTTAATGACAACGAACAAGGAAACCAAGAAACAACACAAGTAAAAAATGAGGTCAACGATGAGAAATTGTTGCAAAAGAGGATGAAAGAGACTCTACAGCTGCAATCAAATGTGTGTCAAGGCAAAACTTAAACAGACCAAAAAAGTCTACCAAAGCAAAAGAGTGGTTTTCTACTTACTACTCTTAAGTGAGAAATCATACAGAAGACTCAAGACAATCCTCGCAACAGAAGTAAAGGAAGAAAAACGAACCCACAAGTAGTCAAGTCTGATGACCGATTTTATAAACCTTTATCCAGCTTTGAACAGGGAACAAGTTGAGGCTAAGGTTTAGGGTTCTATTCTCCAGGCACAGGGACTCCTTGCTTGAGCTTCTCGCGCTTGAGCTTCTTTTTGGAAACGGGCTTCTTCTTCTTTGGAGGTAGGTTTTTCTGAGCATACACGTAGAGCACGCAGTTAGCTATTAGGAACACAACGAGCGGACCTCCCACAACAAGCAGCACGATTAGTCCCGGGTTCCATCCTTTGGCTTCAGCAGCCATCTGTGGAAATGTCACACTAATGAGTGCATATAAATCATACCAAACACATAAACAAGGATCTATCTACGACAAGGGAAGAAATCAAGTTGCTGGTCACAAAAACCAACAAAATCACTAGGACCGGGCATATACAAACCGAAACGTGCATGCAACAGAGATGAGATCGTTTGTAAAACCGTGTGCAAGGGATCGAATAAAAAGCATCACAACTATCAACAAGGTAAATATCATTCTCCAACGATTTCCAGAGTTCAGAATCGAATATGTGCTAATTTAAGCCACATAATAGTACAAGAGACCTCAGACTCAGATAGAACAAGCCAGACATGTAATTGATACACATTCTCTGTGATATGTATAACTCAAAAAGCAAAACAAAATGAGCTTTTTTCATTCAAATTCCCAAAATCAATCTTTATTCATTGATCCTGCGACTCAATCCATATACGGCAAAAGAACATCCCTTTTCAATAATGGAGTTTTTCTCAGCAAAATTAAAATCACACGAATTTTTTTTTTCAAAAGTTGTCCTGGAATGCATGCAACCCCACAGCTGAATCGGATCGCAAATTGTTATTTTTCCTTTCTCAAAATCAGAATATATCACATGGTTTCCTTAGATCATTAACAAGATAGTCCAAATTCCAAAACAAAAACAAAAAATAAAAAAACAAATCACGAATACAACGTTAAGAAATCTAATTGCACATTCCGGGATCACAAAAGAGGAGCCGTTAAATTCTACAGACGCAGCAAGTATATAATGGCGATTGACGGTACCTTTCCGGCAAAATCGTCGCCGTCCATGAATACGATCCAAAATCTGAGAGATTCAGCTCCAGCAACGTACGAATGGTAGGAGGACGATGAGAACGATTTCAAGGAAACGAAGATCTGTTTCAGAACAAGATGATTTAAGACACAAACACACGCAGATATATATAATTACACGTGTTTGATCCACTATCTAGCCACCTCCAGTCATCGGAAAACTCCTAATTTGTCCCCTTAATTTTCAGGTATTTCCAAATTTAACCCGTATCTTTTGTTATGCAACATTATGGCCCTGACAAAATTTATGTAAAATTTATGTAAAACTAATCCGGTTTTAATTCGGGTTCAATGTTCTCGCATCGGTTTCTTTTTCTTTTAAAGTTTGGTTTTGGTTCTATAATCACTTACTTCAACATGGTTTCTGACATTGTTTAGTTGATGTTAGATCAAATTCAGGTTAATCGCTTTAATGGTTTAATGGCTTCTTAGAAAACCAATTTCGTGTTCTTCTCTTACATACATGAAAAAAAAAATGAATGAAATATTACAACATAAATCAAATTCTAATCAAATCATCTAACCACAACACAATGCATCCATTTGTTTGATTCTATCTTTCAATCTTATACCAAATGGTCATCCTCTCCTCGAATCACAACGTTATGTTCTGGCACCGACCAAGAAGACGATCGGCTAGAATTTAACGCTGCGGTATTGCAATCAGAGAGAGTATCTTGCAAACTCAGCAACAAATGCGAAGTGCTGAAACTCATGGTCGGTCTAGATTTAGGCACCACCGGTACATCAGCTTCACCAATCAGCATTTGCACCACTGACCTCATAGTGGGCCGAGCCACTGGGTCCGGGTGAGAACAAGCCAGGCCCACTACCATCACCCGCCACATCTCTCCTTCATCAAACTTCCCTTCAAGCCTTAAATCAGCCGCAGCCGAAACTTTCCCTTCTTTATACAAACCCCACACCCATTCTACTAAATTCGGATTTGCCCCACCATTTTGTCTCTGCACATTTAAGTCCTTCTCGATCGGTCTTCTTCCAGTAACCACTTCAAGAACCACCGCTCCGTAGCTGAAAACATCCGTCTTCTCCGTCGCACGTCCCGTCAGAAGATACTCCGGCGCTAAATACCCCATTGTTCCGGCGGCTACAGTCGCTTCCGGCGATTTATCGTGTTCGATTTGTCTGGCCAATCCGAAATCTCCGAGCTTGGCGTTGAAATTCTCGTCTAGCATTATGTTGCTGCTTTTGACGTCTCTGTGTATCACTTGATTCTCGCACTCTCTATGTAGATAAGCAAGAGCAGATGCAACTCCGAGCAAGATCTTTTTCCGGTGATCCCACGGCAACGGAAACCGTGACTCGAACAAAGCTTTATCTAGCGAACCATTTGGCATTAGATCATAGACCAACAGAATCTCGCCTCTCTCGTGGCACCAACCTTGCAATCTGACGAGGTTTCTGTGCCTTAAGCTTCCGATTATGGATAATTCCGACATGAACTCGTTCTTCTTGTCTTGTGAGCTGTGGACACATCGTTTGACGGCGACGATGTCTCCTGTTTCCGGTAATACGCCTCTGTACACAATCCCGAAGGCTCCGTGTCCGATGATTCGATTCTCGTTAAAGTTCTTCGTGCCAGCTTTGAGTTCTTTGTAGCTGAATTCTTTAGGGGCTTTGATGATCTCCGATGCGAAAGAATCGGATCTCTCGACGCGTTTGAACTTTCTAGAGTAAACCCAGAACAAACCGCCGGCGAAAAGTGCTAAGAAGAAAGCTCCGGCGGTTACAACTCCGGCGATTGCTCCGCGATTCTCTTTGCAGAGGTGGTTGTGGCAAGAAGACGACGACGAAGAAGAAGGTAAAGCTTTCGATTGGGAACTGATCGGACTCGCGGAGGAAGACGGTTGCGACGCAAGCGGCGGCGGAGAGTTCGCCGAATTAGCTTTCGGATTCACCAAACTGGTAGTGGGAGGAGAGGATCCGGATCCGGATCCAGGACCCGACCCGAATGAGGAACTGAAGCTCCACCACTCGATGCTGTGGATCTCTGTGCTTCCCTGAGTGGACCCGGAGAATCCGACGAACATGAAATCGTTCACGTAGCGATCTAGATCGAGAGGGAAAGACAGAAATGGAGATTTGGGTTTCAGATTCGAGTAAGAGACTGATACGTTGAAAACACGACTCGATCCGTCGTATTCGATCCACGAATTGACGGTGTTTCCGCTCTTGAGATCGATATCTACGGTGCCGAGATCGCCGGAAACAGAGGAAACGACGCCATTCACGTCGAATCCGACGTGGTTGCTGTTAATGTCCTTGAAGTCGACATCCATCAAAGTATCGAACTCGACGGCGACGAATTTTGACCCGGCGGGGGCGAGGAGACCCAGCGAGCCTCCGGCGGCGCCGATTGAGTTTCCGTCCGGCGAGATAACGAAGGCGAGACCACCGCCGATTGAAGAGGGGTTAACATTGGTGATTGAGAAGGAGAAGAAGGTGGAGAAGCTCGCCGGAGAGTGAGTTCCGGGTTGTCGGAATCTGATGGGATTAGAGTATAAGACTTTTCCGGCACCGGAATTAGGAACGGAGAGGTCACGCGTGAGGCTAACGATTCCATTGCTGAGACGAGCGTCACCAAGAAGCTTCAAGTTGCTGATGGCGAGCGTGGAGAAATCGAACTGCGTCGTAGCTTCATTGAAGTGGCCGAAGAAGCAGAGCAAGATCGAGATGAAGAAGAGATATAGAGGAAACGACATTATCTGTTGGAAACAATGTTTCAGAGAAGAGCCATTGGAGAAGAAGAAAAGGATTAGTATTAAGTTAGAGAGAGAGAGAGAGAGATTGATGAAAGTCACGGGTAGTGTATTGGGGTAATACTTTGCTTGGAGTAAAGTAAAGGAGAGGAAGGAGACAAAGGAATAATATGGGAAGAAGAGAGCAAAAGAGAATCCAAAGAGACAACGAATGAAGCAGACAAGTGGATTGACATATAACTCCACGTGGGTTTTCCCAACGGCTATATCCTTTTGTCTGTAAATTTTTCTATGGCGATGAAATTTGGGAACTGTTGAAAAGATGTCATATGATGATGGCAAAGAGACTTTTGTTCTTTCCTTTTTTATTTTCACGTCTAACAAATAACGGTCGTAGCACTCAGGTTATCTCTTTTGTTGTCGTGGTCGTTGATCAAAGCTAAGAGGCACCAAAAAGGTATACCAAACTTTTTGGGTATCAGGAATTTCAATTTCCGGATTTTTTAGTCGTTTTTCATATCATTACAACTAACAAGTTAGGGGTGGGGATAAAAATTGACATTTCTCAAACATAACTGTACCAGATTTTATTAAGCTGGATCATAACAATTATAAAAAATATTATACCGAGGAAACTAAAATAAAATCGTTATATTTTTAGACGACCTTTCACAAAAGCGAAATGAGAGTCAAACCGAGGGAAAAAAATAGAAAAGATTGATAGGCCTATCATGAACCATCTTATCAATAAAGCCTAATAAAATTTGACCACCCGAAGCTAAAAGGCCGTAATTCCATCGGTTAATTGGAAATGGGCTTTAAATTGGGTCTACATTGGTCTATGACGTCAGCACGCGCGTGATCTATGCGTATCTCCCTATCTTGAATCTCTGAAACCCGAGATCGAATAACCAACCCGACCCATCGGATCGAGTATCTCTCAAACGCTCCTTACGAGATCTCAACCGTTGGTTGCAATGACTTTTAATCGGTCAAAGCTCTGATAATTAGTTGTGAGCAATATACAAGAGAGAGAAGCAGTTGTTATTATCCATTGGAGGAGACCTCAGAAGAGAAGTTTGATTCTTTTTATCTCGACGTAACTTTAGTGATTGACATCGAAGACGAGAGCAAGAGAATTGGGGGAGAATTTCTGGGTTTCGATTTGGGTGAGAGACGAAGAAAAAGAAACAAAACAACAACAAAAAAAGCCCTAGGGTCGTGGAATCGTTGATCAGATGCTATTGGGTCGACGATTAGAGAAGAAGAACAGCAAGCAACATGATGAACACTTCTAATGGAATGATATCGGCGCCATCTTCATCGTCTTCACCGGCGGCGAATCCTCAGTCGCCGGGGATTAAGACTTATTTCAAGACGCCGGAAGGGAAGTACAAGCTCCACTACGAGAAGACGCATTCCTCTGGCCTCCTTCACTACGCACATGGCAAAACCGTTACTCAGGTGAAGATTTTTCTTATAGGGATTTTGGTGTCGTTAATTCGATTCGCTTCTCCGATTAGAATACCTTTGGGTTGTGATTTCTATATTCCAAATCGGAAACTTTAGAGTATTAGCATCGGTCATAAAACTTTTACTAGCAAACTTTGTATTCCAATGCATATAGTTGTTTAGTTGATCAATCGGTTTCAGAATTCAGTAGCATTGCTTTCCTCTAGATTTTAGCAAATGGGAATTTCCCAGTGATGGAATTGGGAAAAATTATCGTTGTCAGGTAACTCTAGCTCAGCTAAAGGAAAGAGCTGCTCCTACGACCCCAACTGGTACTTCGTCTGGTTATAGTGCTAGTAGCGGATTCCGTTCAGCAACAGCAAGATTGTTAGGCACTGGAAATGGAAATCGCTCTCTTAGTTTTGTTGGAGGTAATGGAGGGGGCAAAAGTGCAAGCACAAGTTCAAGAATTAGTGGCTCTTTCGTTGCTTCTAATTCTAGCACGTCGATGACAAATACAAATTTCGATGGGAAAGGAACTTACTTGGTCTTCAATGTGGGTGATGCTATTTTTATCTGTGACTTGAACTCACAAGATAAGGTGATTTACTGCTCTTCTTTGTTTTCCTTTTAAGGATTTAGCTGTAATGTTCTGGTGGGGTTTTTGTTTTATGTAATGATTTAGGGAACTTCCTTGATGTAGGATCCAGTAAAGTCTATCCATTTCAGTAATTCAAACCCTATGTGCCATGCTTTTGATCCGGAGGCTAAGGATGGACATGATTTACTTATTGGGCTGAATTCTGGGGATGGTAAGTATATTTTGGCATTGCCTTTTTTAACCTCTATATGCCTTGTCTCGTGGATTTAATTGTTATGGTGTGTTATTGTAGTGTACACTGTATCACTGAGACAGCAGTTACAGGATGTCTCTAAGAAGCTAGTTGGAGCACTGCATTATAATAAGGACGGCTCTGTGAACAACAGGCAAGCGTTTTCTTTTTTGCTATTATTTGTTCGTGACATTTGGAGAATCTATTCCACTGGTTCATATTTGTTTTGTCTAATATTCTGTATGTGTTCTTCGTAGTACTTCTGCTAGTATTTTTGTCACTGTAATGGATGTATACTTTAGGCAGCTCTCAGTGACGTAGATTAGTCAAAATTATAAAAGAACAGGATGTAGTCTTAGAGGAGAAGATTTTTCTAATTAGTTAAATTTGAAACATGAATCTGGCCAAAAGTCCTTTCTAATAAGAAACTTAAATCTATTCTGGTGTCATGTCCTCTCTAAGATTAAAATAAAGTTTGTTACTTTGTAACAGTCGTTGTACTAGTATTGCTTGGGTGCCTGGAGGTGATGGAGCATTTGTCGTTGCTCATGCCGATGGGAATTTGTATGTGTATGAGAAGGCAAGCTCAGATATCATAGAATATTTCTTTGTATATGACTTTTAATTTACCTGATTTTTTCTGATTCTTGATTCTGATTTATATAACTTTGTAGAACAAAGATGGTGCCACTGACTCAACATTTCCTGCAATAAGAGATCCTACACAATTTTCAGTTGATAAAGCAAAATATAGCAAGGTACCTGAGTTTACAACCATTTCAGTAGATCCTTATATAGGTGCTAGAAGCACATGGTACACACCTATTTTCTGCTAGTATCATCAGTTGGTGGTGTCGTAAGGAATTTTTGTATTACATCGTTAAGATTTTAGATTGTACTTTTTTTTTTTACCTTTAAGTATATTTGGATGTACCATTTGTTCATTTCTTTTGAGTATTCATGCAGAGTAATCCTGTTGCGAGATGGCATATCTGTCAAGGTTCAATTAACAGCATTGCATTCTCAAATGATGGAGCACACTTGGCAACTGTTGGAAGAGATGGTAAGACGCCTCTATTCTTTTGTGTGGCTCTTCTTCTTTCGCTATGTGTTTCTTAATTAAGCACTGAGTTATTCTTACCATTTACAGGTTATCTTCGCATTTTTGACTTCTTAACCCAGAAGCTAGTATGTGGTGGGAAAAGTTATTATGGTGCTCTGCTGTGCTGTTCTTGGAGGTGACTGGTTATAATTGCTTTTGCACATTTTCTTTTTCATTGGATTTACAAATTTTCCTTCAATAGATATCATTGTGGTGAGTCCAGAATGATATTTTGTATTGACATCGTGATCATATTGACAGTATGGATGGAAAGTACATTTTGACGGGAGGTGAAGATGACTTGGTTCAAGTGTGGAGTATGGAGGATCGGAAGGTCGTGGCATGGGGTGAAGGGCATAATTCGTGGGTAAGGTTCTTGATTTTAGAACGGTGAATTCTTTTGTTTAGCACAAACATCACATGATTTGTTGGAATGCGTTCTCGCAGGTAAGCGGAGTAGCGTTTGATTCCCATTGGTCGTCACCAAATTCTGACGGGTCAGGAGAGCATGTCATGTACCGTTTTGGATCAGTTGGTCAGGTATTTCTTCATGCCTGTACTCATTCGTCTGGTTCTCCTTTGCATTTTGCGAGTAAATGTTCATCTATTGAAGTTGGGCTTAGCTTATCTATATTGCTTTGACTAGCTTTATCATTTGAACCGTGTTAATACTTGGAAGGATGTAAGGTTGACAAAAGTTGATCGAAAATTGAGGGGAAAATCTTAGTCTTGATCTTTGTAATGTTTTTTTCTAGGGATCCATCATGAAATGATCCACCACTATTCATGTAGCATTATCCTGATCATAGAAGTGAATTATTTCCTAGTATGAAGAACTAATGAGATCGTTTGCACGAATCTGTTACAATGAAAGTCTCAGTTTCTAACTTAATTCACCATAGATCCCTACGATTTCAATCTTTTGATTCTCCAATATATATTATCTACAAGCATTTGGCTTCACACACTGTGCTGCTTTCCCCAGGACACACAGTTACTTTTGTGGGACCTTGAATTGGACGAGATTGTGGTTCCACTTAGGCGACCTCCAGGAGGATCTCCCACGTACAGCACGGGAAGCCAATCAGCTCACTGGGACAATGTCATACCAATGGGAACTCTTCAACCTGCTCCTTGCAAACGTGATGTTCCAAAGCTCTCGCCAGTCATAGCTCACCGCGTTCACACCGAGCCCCTCTCCGGCTTGATGTTCACACAAGAATCAGTCGTAACGGCTTGCCGAGAAGGCCATATAAAGATCTGGACACGGCCCAGTGTCTCAGAAACCCAATCCAACAACTCAGAAGCAAATCCTACTAGTGCGCTCTTGAGCACAAGCTTCCCCAAAGACAACAAAGCCTCACTGAGCAGCAAGATCGTTGGTTCTAGTTTCAAGCAATGACAGAGCTTGCTGTCTGAAAAATCAGGTGCTATTATTTAGTCATGTTCATCCTTTCAAGGTGAAAAGGAAACTTTAAAGAAAAGCCCTGTGAATAAAATATCTACTGGGTTTTGTTTTGTTTTTTTTTAATTTTAAAAGAAAGATGAAAATCTGAAATCTGACTGTATATTGGAGGCTGACAAGATTGTGGGCATAGAGAGAAGAAGAAGAAGAAGAGATGGGTGAGACGAAAGAGAATGTTCTGATGTAAATTATAAGAAGAAGAAGAAGAAAAAAGGTTGTTTAGGTTTTTTTAGGGTTCATGTCCAGAAGATTCTCATCAGCCAATAATGGAACTTTGGTGCTTCAGAAGATGACACTCTTTATTTTCATGCAGTTTGCAGACACTGAACGATGCCTTATCTATATATTATTTATTCTGGTTTCTCGGAAATAATGTTCCTGCATTTTTGTTTTATGAGTGAAAGAAAATCCCAAAAGTCGCACGGCCGTTGTTATTTTTAATTATAGATTTCTAAAGTCCTTATACTTCCTTTTAAAATTCCCTCTATAATACGTATATTTGCTTCACTGTTTAGCTAAAATCATAAAAACTATAAACATCGTTTATATATGTATACTCTATACTTCTCCTAGCTTAACACGAGTATTCAACAATTCGACTAAATTCTTTTAAATGGTACTAGAGTGAGTCCACCATTAACCACATACATTGGAAAGAAAGAACGGTGACACGACCAACAAGAGATAAAGAGCGGTGACAGTGACACCATTAAACTCAGCTGCCGATTTTGGTATATTCATTGCTTTGTCTCTTCCCTATCACTCCTATCTTGATCATTCTATTTTCTAAATGACATGACAACATAAATGTACTAGTATTTATTTGATAATTACCATAAACATCATCTAATATTTTGTGGGAGTACCATGTATCAGTTACTATGTATAGATGCGTAAGGCGTTCCAAAACCTTATTTCTGCACATATATGTGTGGGTTAAAAAGAAAGAAAAGAAAAGAGATTCCAAAAGGATCACTCAAGAATTAGTTTCTTAATACTAACATCCTTATGTGAAATATGACTCTTTTATTCTATCTCTCTCTCTCTCTCAAATTTAAGCTTGTGATGTCTAGGGACTGGATACCACTCAAGATTCAAGACAGCTGGAACAAAAACAAAAGCATTTATTGTTATAAAGATTCTTTCCGAAATTTATTTATAAATAGGAAAATAGAATCGTATGATATCGATATTCTGAAGTGTCGGTGGTATACTAAACAACTAAACCATACTCTCTTAATGAGAGAGCGTACTTTCTAATAAATCGCTTGATTTACTTATTAGGAAATACATGTGATGCGGATTGATTCTTGATTCGGTTTTGGATACAAGTAGCTTATGCAGACTGAAAATCTATTTCATTAAACAAATGTGTAATATAACACAAAAAGTAGTCTAACAAAATTAGTCTAGTTTTTGTGTTTCTGCAAAAACTAGTCCAACAAAGAATTCATGTTTAAGAATATTCTACACCATTTCTTTTATTTCTTGTATTGGTAAAAACAAATCTCTCAATTTGAATGACGTAATCTCAGTTATTGGAAATAAACTGGTGATTTATTACCTATATTAGTCCATTGGGATTTGCGAAACACTTTTTCCCGTATCTTATCATATCAAACTTCCGATTGCACACATCGAAAGGCTTGATAACTAACCACGTGTCCTAATAATGTCATCATCTCTCTCTCTCTCTCTTCCTCGTCCCTTCACAGTTGGCACTTTATTACTTCACTTCTGCTTTCTCAAATCACAGATCCCTCTCTCGTGCCTTCTCTCCCAACCTCTCCTCCAGATTCCCGAAACCCTAATCCCCAAATTAGCTCAGAACAGAAAAAACCCAATTCATCAACTTTGCTGAGAAAGAGAGATCGTACCCTATAGTTATGTAGGTAGATAATCGAGGAATCCGAATGGTAAATATGGATCTGAAGTGGGTTATGCTGATGCTAAGACGTGCACCGAGAAGGGTCTGGTTAGGTTCGCAAAATTCTACAGTTCTCCTCGTGGGTGGAAACCATACCTCCTCCAGGTTTTGCACTCGCTAAAAATCTCCTTCCTTTCTTCCTCCCCCAAATTCAGCTTTTTTTCAAAAAAAAAAATCTCTTCTTGAAATCATTCTACTTCCAATCGAATCTCTACTGCTCCGATCTTTGTTTAACTCTTTGAGAAATCTCGCCATGCGCGTTGAGGCGTTGAAGCTGAAACCGATGCCCAACTCTTTCCGTCGGCACGTGATCCTACGCGCCCTCGTGATCCTCTGCGCTTTCTCCGTTTTATCTGTTCTTCGGAATCTCGGCGGAGCTTACGAAGGAGAGAATCACCACCCTTGTAAGGTCGACGAATGCTCCGTGAATTTCGCGTTTCTGGGTCCGTTCCTCTTCTCAGGCAACGGATTGTTGTCCAATAGGTTCCTCAAACCGGTTTGGAGCTCTCTCGAATCGGATAAATGTAAGGAAAACGTGAATTTGACTGCCGGAGTTGTTAGAGAGCTTAAAGGTATGAACTTGCTGAGTAACGACGCGAAAGCTCTCTGTATTGGCCGGAGATCGGTTTCAGCTGTTCTTGCAATGAACTTAGAAGGAATCTCTGATGTTCGTTTGGCTTACACGCCACCTGTTTTCGCTTTCAAGCACAGGAAGTTCACAAGTGAGCTACACTATGAAGATGCTTCCTTTAGTTTCGTCTTCTCTATGGACCTTGAGACAGTTTCTGTCCCTGCTTCGATTGTTTACGAAATCGAGCGTATCCTTGTACCCGGAGGAACCGGTGCTATGCTTGTGGGTACTGCTAGTGTCTCTGACTCAAACGGTTTGGTCAGATCGGTTTCCCCTGTTTCTTCACTGCTCAAGAACTCGAGTGTTGTTCATGTTGCTTCCTTGGGTGAACAGGTTTTGGTTGTATTCAGGAGAAATGGCAAAGATAGTTTCACTTTGGGTCAAAGCCATGACCTTCCTGCTGATTGCTCATCCGTTGTCAACAACAGACCATACATTGAATCATTGGAGCCTCTTCTCGAGGAAAAACGTTCTGATTTCGAGAGACGGATTCATTACTTGCCTGAGTTCATTGATCTCTCTTCTAGGAAGAGGCTGGTTTATATTGATATTGGAGCTACTGATCATCTAAAAGCGAGATCGAATTGGTTCTTCCCTTCATACCCAATTTCCAGGAAAGCTTTTAATAGCTACTTTGTGCATCACAACACATCTATCTTGACTTCTTATGTCAAAAGCCCAGGTGTTACCTTCATCTATCACCCGGGACTCGCAGCAACGGAAGCAACGATTGACGCCGGTCCTGGAGATGAAGAAGAACCTTTTGTTGAAGATGATAGCTTTGATTTTCTAGCATGGTTCAAGGAAACAGCGAGCTTTGCTGACTTTGTGGTTCTGAAGATGAACACAAGCGACGAGGAGCTGAAGTTTCTCACAGAGCTGATAAAGACAGGAGTGATCTGCTCAGTTGATGAACTGTTTCTTCACTGCACTGGGTACAGAGACTGCACCGGTATCATTAAGAGCCTTAGAAAAAGTGGCGTCTTTGTTCATCAATGGTGGGAAGAGTAAAGAGCTCTGCAAATGAAGCTTAAAAACTAAAACTATAGGGTTTGATTAAGTTATGTTGTGTTGTTTTTCTATGTTGCTACAATCTTTGCTCATGTATAGAGCAAAGCCACAGAAGTTAGCTCCAGCGACTGGGCGCTTCTACGGTTCTACCTAAAATAATCAGTCGCCAATATGAACTTTGTATTTGTGCTTTTCAATGAAGTTGTTATGTTGTGTGTTTACAGTGGTTTTGATGCTCTGTCATACTATAATCACAAGATCTGAACCTGATATTTTACTAAACACTCGAATGAAAACCTGAATTAATAGTGTCATTTGGCAAACATAGATAGTAACTTGAGTTCCAATAATTGTATATATACCACAAGCAAGAACATTGAGAAGCTGACTCTGTACAACAGCAACGTTGCAAAGGTCACTGGTTCGAGCCGTTGGTGTTGACCGTTATCTCCAGAAGCGATTTCACCGGTTGTCTACATATGGGGCAGAGGTTTGTCTGAAATCTCAAAAGCTTGGCACAAGCGCTACACATACACTACGAAAACACCAAAAACAAATGAAAGTTAGCAATCAATCAGAGGAAGAAAAAAGCTGTCTTTTCTCAGTTTCTCTCCAAGAATAAACTCAAGTAGATTATGATACATACGTAGGTCTGTGATCTGAGATGTCCTAACCATATTCAAAATCAGATTCTCTACTAGGCATCGCCATAAAATGTTCCTAAATTGAACTTTATATACTTACCATGTGCCTGCAAGGTAGAACAGTTGTATCTCGTGGCTCTGTTAAGCAGATGACACATTCTTTTCCTGTCTCGTTCCCATCTTCTCCACAATCATCAGCTGTATTACCAATTCCGTAAATCTCCTGAAGAACATACTCGATCCCATTCACCCACAGAATCTGCTTCACGACTCTGGCCTTGTACTCACCTTTGTCCCTCTCTAAAACCGCAAGAGTTATCTGACGGTTTGGTGTGTTAGACACAGGACTATCTTCTGATGATGATGATGATGCCTCTGCTTTCACTGCCACATGATACACATCTGACTCGCTTGCCTCAACCAACTCTGTCTCTGATAAAGCTGAGAAGTCGATCCCTGTGCCACAAGGCTGCTTGAATTTATGTCCAAGACCTTTTGGAAAGCAAACTGTCGTGGACGGAAACAGATCCTCCTTTGTCGCCTTCAGGTTACAATCTTGGCCTTCTCTCGCGAAGAACATCACAGTGATACTGTTGAATCAAACAGGGCAAAAAAACCATAAGAACAAACAACCTAAGAATCACGATTGAAGTAACCCTATATATTCCGTCTTCATCCATTATTCCACTAGAGAGTTCTACAACCTAAGAATCTCTAATCACGAATCGTTTACCTTGCAGAAACATTGGCGTCAAAAGTGAAGGAGAGCAAAAACTTGCCAGGGTTTTGTTCATCAGGCTCAAATCTCAAGGTCTCCTTGTTCAAATTGATATCGTTCCTTACAGTGACCGTTTTCTGGTGATAAACGTAAGGAATCGGAGAAGCAATCGCTCCATAAGGATCATTAGCACCTTGATGGTGGTACGGTGACGGAATCGGCGGATAATTGCCTTGGTACTGATAATACTGCAACGGAGCAGGGTTATGGTTTTGGTAAGGCGGCGACGGGTGGTCTCGGCGGCTTCCACCGATTATATTTCCCATGAACCCACTTGCCAAAAATTGGAATGGCAAAATCGACTCAGAGGAAGATGGAATCAAAGAGGATCGGTGGATTTGGAAAAACAAGTCGCTAATTGGGAAGAGTCAGATGATGATCATATAAATTATTATTATTTTATTCTCTAATTGCTTTTTTTTTTTCTTTTTAATATAGTATCTCTCTGCACTCTTTGTGCCTTGCTCCAGAAATTTTAATTTTAATTTATTTTTGTGTGCCTAAACTTGAAATAGCACAACTTTAACTTCTTCTTTTTTTCTAATCCCTCCTTCATTTCCCAGAGTTTATTTAGTATTTACTGACAAAAACAGAACTGATAGTAGTTTAAGATAGAAGAGATGCAAAATAAATAGTGTCTAGAAGCTTCGATTTCTATAAAAGTGATAAAGAGATTCAGGGCTGTCTCAAGTTATTTATTAGACATTGTTCATCGAATTGTGCTTGGTTCCCTATTTCGTTATCATATACCAAAACAAGAATCTGGATATCAGTTCAAGACTCTCGTTTTGCATTTCACATTTATGTTTATATAACAAGGCATATTGTTTAAAATACTTAAAAGGAAACGATGTGAGCTTATATGTAGAGGAGATGTACATTAGATGTAAACATAAATATAGAGACACAACCGCAATAAGAACACTCTTTGATTTCCAATCACTCGATAAACTTGGCATTGGCGAAATAAACACAATTACGCGGGAAGAAAATTCACAACAAAGAGCAAGTAAAAAAGCATTAAGAAAAGAAAAGAGTAGTGCAAGTGACTGATGTGGATTTGTACATACATATAGAAGATAACAAACTATTTTGCAGTTATCCTTTTATTTTATTTCAGGATCTGCTTTAATTTGGTGGTGGATAAGAGTGTTTTTAGACGTTGGCGGCACTTCTGAATGATCCGAGAGACTTGGAACCTGAAGCCCTTAGAACGAATTGGTGATAGATTGCAGCAATCGCAGCTCCAATGAATGGTCCCACCCAAAATATCCACTGTTCATTTCATTCATCATCAAAAACAAAAACAAAAATTAACATACTTAACTATTTTTCCTAATTATATATAAAAGATTTAAGTATAGTTAGTTAAATAGAATGTGTGGAAAATGGAGGTCATACGTGGTCATCCCATGGCTTGCTCTCGTTGAAGATAACGGCTGCTCCGAAACTCCTTGCCGGGTTAATTCCGGTTCCGGTGATCGGAATGGTAGCTAAATGTACCATGAACACCGCAAATCCGATCGGAAGTGGCGCCAACACCTTTCATTTCATTAGTTCCAATTAATTTATTAGTATGATTGAAAAATACCACTTCACAACTATCACCTTTAGTAAGATATAACATATATAATCGGTTGAGGTATGCAATCGGTTTATTTTCCCTTTGGTTCGAAATTCAAACCGGTTAACCGGATGAAATAATATAATAGCTTGATAGACTCACCGGAACATGGGAATCTCTGGCGCTACGTTTTGGGTCGGTGGCAGAGAAGACGGTGTAGACGAGAACGAAAGTACCGATGATCTCTGCAGCGAGGCCAGTGCCTGTGCTGTAGCCTTCGGCTAGAGAGTTGGCTCCACCACCGTAACGGATGTAGTACGAGCTTTGGAAGGCTTTGACGAACCCAACTCCACAAATTGCACCCAAACACTGAGCCACCATGTACAATATGGCTCTCACTAACGACACTTTACGGGCCAAGAGTAGCCCAAATGTCACTGCTGGGTTTATGTGACCACCTAAGGTAACAAAAATTCAAAAAATGTTATCAGTTGATGAAAGTTTAAGGTAAGACATGTAATTAATTAACCGGTTTATAGACCAAAACCATACCATTTTTTCTGCAGAATAAGAATCTATTTGATTGAAACTTGAATCTAAATTAAGACCAAAACCATACCCAAATAGATTCTATCGAATGTTTTACTTGTGTAATAAGATTCTATTCCCAACAAAACTGAAAATTTTGAATCTAAACCGGTTTCAATCCTGATTAAACGAACAAGACCAAAACTAAGACCAAAACCATACCATTTTTTCTGCAGAATAAAGAATCTTTTTGATTAAAACTTGACTAAGACCATACCAAATAGATTTTTATAGAAAGTTTTACTTAAAAGCATTTTATTCCAAACAAAGAAAATAAAGCTGAAAATTCTGAATCTAAACCGAACCAAAGTCAAGATTGAAGATTCATACCAGAGATACCGGCGGTGCAGTAGACGAGGATGAAGATCATGCCACCAAAGGCCCAAGCGATACCGAGGATTCCAACGCCGCCGCAATCGACGCCGCCGGCAGTAGTATCGGACTGAATCTTGTAACCGATGACTGTCAAAACGGTGATGTATAAGAAGAGAAGAGTGGCTACGAACTCGGCGATGACTGCTCTGTAAAAAGACCACTTTGTTAGCTCCTCCGGGTCAAACAGCGGCGCCGGCGGCGGATCTTGATAGTCTCTTGTCTGAAATCCTTCTCCGGGAACGGCTTCCACGTCCTTTGCCATAGTTACTTTTCTTCAATCTCTTTGCTTTCCACCAAATGAGCTTTCTTTGCTTCTTTGCTTCTCTGTTGTGTGGTTAGTGAGAAGCACATGTGCTCTGTTTTATAGTGAGAGCTCCTCTTGTTATTTTGCATGTATAATAATATTATATGGTATTGTATGTCTAATAGGAATTGTTTTTTCTTTATTTAGTAAAATGAATAAGTATAGAAATGTATGAATGATTTCGAGGAAAACAAAATGTATGAGTGAATATGAATGAATATTATGACCTTACTAGCTTTCGCATAATAATTAGTAGAAGCTAGCTGTCTTGAAATAAAATTTTGGATTAATAATTGCTTGATATAGTAGTTACTACATAAACCAAGAACCCTGGTTCTAATTTCCAATCATTGAATATCTAAATCAGCCAACGAAAATAAGTAGGTTTTAATTTGTAATTGACTTTAATTAAACTCGGAATTAATCAAGTTATACGCTCTTAGCAATTTATAATATTTTGAAGTTTGAACCAAGTTTTAACCCAAAAAAAAAAAAGAGTATGAACCAAGTCCGTGGCAACAAAATTTGATCTATTATGCATCTGTAATTACATGATAAACTATAGTATGAGATTAGGTAGTTTATGATTTCACAAGACAGAACTTTATATCCACTCGTATATACTTGTTTAAGGTATATGGCTTTATACTTTTATCTCTCTCTTAGTAATAAGACTAATAGTGCCAATCAGTGGTGTTGGTGGAGTGCTATCAGATAATCAGAGCCACAACTTTTGAAATATTCTAGTCGTTTTATCTTTTATGTTAATCAAATTTTCTATTTTTCCTGGTAGATAATGGAGGTTTATGTTTACTTTAACTTAGCCTCGCCGCCCCATCTCCTCCTAAAGGTCATTTTCATTTCGACCGACCCCAATTTTATACTATATGATGCTCTCTTCTTTTTGTCTTATAATACCATGGCCTGTCATTTTTCACATTTTAAAAGCCGCAACTATTTAATGCCATATACCATTTAAAATTATAGTTTACATACTTTTTTTCTTATCGATTCGTCATTTTCGTTCTTGTTAAACACATAATAAAGTTTGATTACAAAACTGTTATACGATTTTATGCTTTAGACTTAAAATTATGAATAAAAATCAAAATAAGATAGATATTATAAGCGGGCTATTAAACATGATGTGAAAAAGAATGAGCAAAAACCTTGGATTAGGTTCAAAATTAAGGTATCATAACTACATCACACACTAAAACCAGGGTGTAAAGTACGATGCCGTTTCGGAGGGGTCCAGATTCCACTAAGGTCAAAACCATGTGATTTTGGTAATAGGCGACACGTGGAGGGTGGCACGCCTGAAAACGACCTGTCGCTCCGACAAACGCATCGTCGCCGTCAATTCGGATGTTATCCAACTCAGCACAGCCGTCGGTTTTCTCAACCACTCACATAATGCCACGTTATGGGGTCCCCACCAATCATTTACATTCTCTCTTCATCCATATTCCAATTTCTTTGCGAAAAATGGAAAATATAAAATGCTGACAATAGACTGAAAACGAAAACTGATCAAAAATAAATAAATATAAAGTGACGAACAAATATAATTTATAAACACAGGAGATGCAGTTCCATGGTTATAAGTTTTGCCACGTGGAAACATCCTTATCGTTTTGGCTACGTTGGTTGGCTACTGTAAGATGAACGTCAGCCGTATTTTTGTTTTTCCAAAATGATGAAAATGTGAAGTCTCTACTTCTTCTGTTTTTTTTGGGTGTGATTATCAAATATAAAGATGAGCAAGAGATTGATTCAAGAAAAAAATAGAGGTTTGAGTTGCAACAAGAAAGATATAAGTTGAAAAGGTATGATTAAATAATTTTGAAATTAATCTATCATTACTTGACATCTAGTTTATCCAAAGACGTTAAAAATTGACCAATGTTATTTGTATAGTTGTTTACATAATTACACTTTCTACTCATATTCATAGAAAAATAGTATTGACCTTGTCTAAAAGTTCTATAGATAAATCGACTACTATATATATAGTCTATGCCAAAAGAAAAAAGAAATAAAAAGAGTTCAAATATATTAATATAACGTTGTTTTGCATAGTTTTTGTCATTTAGTCACTCAATAGATACTACTACTAGTCCAGAATGTACTATAGCTAGATCGACAAACATATCTCGGCTTATCTGTCTTAAAAATATGAAAATATGCATACAAATAAAATAATCAATTAGAGATTTAGAGTACATAGTTACTAAGTTACATAATTTACATCAAAAGTTGAGATTCAAATTACAGTAGATCTTTACAATGATAACGTTTTTAACTATAAAAACATGGTAGATCCGATCTTTACCGCATGAGTTTGAAGATCAGACATATACTAACTATTAAGTGTACTTTGTTACTATTTGGTTTGCCAGTATAATAATTTCCTAACGTTTTGTTTGTTGAAAGGTTCTGTCAAATGTCAAATTTTGCGGCCTGTCAACTCAGTAATGTGCCTTGTGGGTACACGGATCTCTCACCTACAATGTTGGTTGAGTTACATGTCTTTTTTCTTTTGGGTGGCTCAACATTAACTTTTCATACCCTTCATCTAAACATTCTAATAATTCATGTTTGTCAACCTCATGTTATTCAACTTGGCAAATAAAACATTTTTTTGGTCTAACTAAGATTGCAATTAAATCTTATGAGTTTAACCTCCACAATAAAACATGATAGCTTCATTCGCTACTTTTTTATTCTCTTAAAACCGTGAAAAAAATTGGAATTTCGATCTATAATCTTTCTTGATATCTAGAAACAGCATTTAAATATATTTTTAATGTACGCCTCATCCAAAAAAAGATTAAACCCGAAGTATAAAAAACTAATTCTCTTGTGTTACCACTCAACCACCACATTTGGAATTCATTCATTCGCTATTTTATCTATCATTTCATTACTTTTTTCGGATTAATAACCATATGATACTTTGAGAAGAAAAAAACGTTTAACCTATGACCAGTGGTCTAAAAGGGAACATGTCTCCTCATCTGAACAGCTAATTCTTTAAACCTGTCTTGATCTCGTTTTTGAATTCCATTCTTTAGAAGAACGCATTTTTGAATAGGACATTAAGCCTGTCAAGACTTCTTTTCTTTTTTGGGTTAATTTTTTTGTTTTTTTTCTTTACTTCAAATACTCCATATGTTAATAGATTGGTGGCAATAGGCTCACCTCAAGGAGAAACTGAGCCTTTCACATGGTAAACAATTGATCTTAGTGCTCGTATTTCTTTGGCAAATAACAATTGTAGAATAAAAAATTTGAAGACCGCAAAATTAATAACTGCTCTAGCTCCGGAGAAAATGACTGGCTAATAAACGATTTTTTATCAGCTTATAAAGTCTGGGACAATCTAACTATTTAACAACCTCCATCAGTTGATTGTACTTAAGACATCTCATTGCCCACTCAAGGGCTTCTAGCTCAACATGCAAGGGTGATAAACATCTACGAGAACTTTTTAGGCCAATAAACTGTGAGACATGTTCTTCCACTAAAATCCAACCGATTCCAATCCAATTTTTCATCTGGGTGACACAGGCCATGGAACTAACATCACCACTTTGGGAGGGAGAGTAAGAAACGCGATCTCAAGATTTGACAGGGAATTGTCACGCTCTGCGTCTTCCTCAGCACTCAGCAGGTACGTGAGTCTCCAGCTCTCTTCTTCATGGAGGGCGAGAGTTGCAATCTGTCTATTGTAGTCCGATTATTTTTATTTTTAAAGTCCTCTCATTGCGTGCTTTCCACACACCAAATTATCCTAGGTGTTCTATTTCAAGGCCTAGTATGCGAACGACCAAGTGTGTTACAAGACATTGTTTGAAATAGCAAGTCACTTCAAGACCCTCGTATCACTGAACAATTGAGAAAACAACCTAGTCGTACAGTTTGCCAGTTAAGTCTCTCGGTGATCTTCAAAGAATCCGTTGTTCTACTATTTTAGCTTTAGATAATGGAGATGATTTATCTGGTCTTACGATATGTTTCAGACGTTTAAATCTGATCTTGTGAGAGCCGGAATATATAACATGTGCGCCAGTGGAGAAATAATAAAATAAAACAAGAACACTAGGATAATGCTCAACACTTTATAAACATCTACGTTTCATATTCTCTCACAATCACACAACAGAGAAGGCAAAACCATTTCAGCGAAAAGGCTCTTACAAATAAACAAGAATAATGTTTTTGGAATAGTTCAAAAATAAGGCCAACTTATATAACTTTATATGTTATCCGAAAGTTCTATATGAATTCACAAATGGACATGGTATCCACTCAACGAAAAAATCTTTTTATGCAAAAAGCCTCCACTTCGTCACAGTGTAATCGAAAGTTCAAGATTATGAATGAAGAGGGAAGAGATATGAGAAAGCAGGATGCAAAGACAAATTCACAGTAAAATGAAAGAAAATTAGACCAAATGCTGAAGAAGATCGTTTAAAATGATTATGCAGTTAACCCCGACAATAGAATTTGTGCAGTAAACAAGAACCAGTAATGAAATGAAATCAAAGAGCGTAAAAATTCCATCTTTAAAACATCAATAAGCAAGATACCATCATCAAGAAACAAGAACAATGCAAAAAGATCAACTTTCAAACTCTTAGAAGGCAATAGCATAAGATATCAATGCAAAATGTAAAACATTTCAGCCAAAATGTAAAACATTGCGACTGATAAACCATTGGGGTTCTTAAACAGACAAAAAAAACGCAAAAATAATCCAAAACTTGAGTCATTCTAATTGAAGAAAGATAGTAGCTAAATTTCTCGGAACCAAAAAAAAAAGATGAAAGAAGAAAGACAACATGATTTCAATTTCCATCAAATCTTCATTTTTTCTTAGTTCTCAGGGATATCGATCTCACCCTCTTGAATCTCCTGCTGAAGATCCTTCGGGTCCTTTCCATCAACGGTGCATCCAACGGAGACGCATGTCCCAAGAATCTCCCTCACGGTGCCACTCAGCTCTTTGGCTATGGATCTAGGCCTCATAATCCTCGAGATCTCAATGACATCATCAAACGAAATGTTTCCATTGTGCTTGATGTTCTTCACCTTCTTACGGTCTCTCTCCGGCTCCTTCAAGGCCTTGATGACGAGAGCTGCAGCAGATGGAACCACCGTGACCTTAGCCTGACGATTCTGTACCGTCAGCTTCACGGTAACGCGAAGTCCTTTCCACTCTTTGGCCGTCTCTTTGGCAATGTCTTCTCCGATCTTCTTTGGGGCGAGACCGAGAGGACCGATCTTCGGAGCAAGAGAACTGGCGGCTCCAACTTCTCCTCCGGTTACACGGACGTAGACATCGACGATCTGGCTCGGGTCCAACTTCGGCGGCATGGCTACTGATTTTGGGGTTTCGCTTTTCGGTGGAGGCGCCTCTTAGGGTTTTTGAAGGAGAGCAAATAAAATGGTCGAGACTAGGGCTTATATTCGTCGATGTAAATGATCAATTTACCCTTCTCATTTGAAACGGCCCAAGTCCAATTATATATATGGGCTTTCAGATTTCAATACACTCTTTTAATCAGATGGGGTTGGCCCAAATTTGCTGAATGATTTCAAAGTTTTTGTAGAATTTTATTTGAGAGGTTCTTTGGATTTACTTGTTTTATTTGTTTTTGTTTTTCCCTCATTTTTATTTGTGTACACAAACTAGTATCAGCATAGTGTTTCTCCGCTAAATGAACGGCACAACAATTGGTCTCTCTTACTCACATTTTAAACTTTGGTTGAGGAAATTTTCACTGGTGAACCCATGAAATCTTGGTCACTATTGAAATACTTTTGAATCACTCTAAAGAGTAACTTATCACATCTCAAGTTACCTAAGACAACATAGCTCCACACAGGGGCGGATTTAGAACCATTTTTTACTGGTTTGCATATAAAATAAGAAGAAGGCAAAGTTGGGTAATCGAACTTGAGATATTTAGGGCCGTCGCAATGATACCAGCTTTGTTTCCCTGAAGTTTAACTTTAAAAAGTGAAAACAGCTAAAACCCAAACACAACAAAGCCTCGGAGAAACTCAACTTCCGTTAGACGGAGATGGCGAAAATGAGAGTTAAAGCAAGCGACTTGTTGGTGTTATCCTGATTATGGACGACTACGAGAGGCAAAATCGGATTCCAGGCTTTCTAGGGTTTACGGGTCCTCGATTATCGTTGCTCTCTGGGTAATTGTTTCTTGTCTTATTTGCCTCTCAGATCTGCCATTTTCCCAATTTCGTAAACAAGTTGGTTTGTTTCCACTTCCGTTGAAATGTCGAGAAGGAAATCTCCCGTCGTCTTGCCGCAACCCGCTACATCGGTTCTTCGTCGATCGGCGAGGCTTATCGCTCTGCAAAATCGAGATGTTCAAGGGAAAGATCTGATCTTTGGGTCGGAACCACCGAGGAAAATCCGTCGGGAACTCGGACCGAAAGTGTCATCAAAGAGATTAGTATACTCATCTGGTGGTTCAATCGAAATTTCGAGCTCGAAGAAGAAATCTCCTGGATCCAACAGTTCGGTGGAAGGGTTTTCTTCGCTGAGGCGTTCTCTTAGGATTTCAAATAAGGGACTTTCCGATGCCAACAAAGACAAGTCTCCACGATGTAGTTCTGCGAAGCCTGCATCTACCTCATCATCTCGCGTGAAATCGACCAACGTTTCGCCTTCTTTTACTCTGAGACGGTCTCCTAGATTCTCGAGTGGAGGAGGATTTGTGGATCTTCAATCTTCTTTCAGTGGAAGGAAATCAGGTAACAGTGTTTTGAGTAGATGTAGTACGAAATCAGTTTCATCTGAGAAAGGAAAGAGTGGAGATGGTGTCAAATCTAGGGACACAAGTAGAACTCGTTTTCGTCCAAAGTCTAAGCAGATGTCTAGAAGTTGTTTTGATAGTGAAGAAGAAGAAGTTAGTGTCTGTCTTAGTGAGGGGAAAAGGATGAGAATTGCAAAGGAAAACGAGGAAGAAAATGCTACTGTGCCAAAAGCTGATGAAGGAAAGAGACTAGGAAAGGAAGAAGAAGAAGAAGATGGATTGAAGATAAAGAACAAGCTTGAGAAAGGATGGACAGAGGATCTGGAATCAGCTTTACAGAGAGCTTATTTGACAGCTAAGCCGAGTCCTAATTTCTGGAAAAAGGTTTCTAAGATGGTACCTGGAAAAACTGCGCAGGAATGTTTTGATAGAGTGAACTCAGATCTTATCACTCCTCGTCAACCTCAGCCTCGATCAAGAGCCAGGAAACCAAACTTATCACCAATTCCGCAGTTTTCTCTCTCTGCAAGCAAACTATTGAAACCCAATTCGCCAAAGAATAAGATACGACAGGGCAGAGGCAATCTCTCAAAGAAAGCGATCAGGCATTTACTGGAGAAGCAAAATCATATGGATCAAGGTCTTGGATTTGATCTCTTCTCAGTTCTTGAGCCTGGCGCCACAAGCAACTTTCTCTCAACTCCAACGGGGAAAGTTCAAAGTCTTCCGAAAATCCTTGAAAGTCCAATACCGTGCTCAAGATTTGCAAGGGAAGATCAAACAACTCTCGTTAGTCCTCCAGTGCTGAAGCAGGTTAAAAACAAGGCATTGCATGAGAAGTACATTGATCATCTGCACATCAGGGAAGCGAAAAGAAAAGCTGAGGCTACCCGACTGTCCAAGAAAGAGAATATAAGACCTAATGATAATCAGAAAAAAGATTCGGTGAGAGCAGCTAAAGATGCCCTTCTCTTTGATGTACAAGATGCAATGCAGAAGCTTAAGAGTTTAGAGACTGAGAACTCATCCAGCTCTTCAGAATTCTGCTATCATCGTGGTGAAACTGACGAGGAAGAGGAATCAATCTAATCTCCAGCCTGATAGTTTTGATTTTACTAGGGCACAGAGCATAGAGATTAGAGTAAAACATTACTGTGAATGTTGTAACCTTGAGGATGAAACTACTTGTGTGAGTTTTGTTTAGTCAGCTGTTGTATAGACAACCAAAGCTTTTTCTCTTTAATATGAAGATCAAATTTTGGCTCTTTTCTTGTTTTGTGCGTGTAAAGTTCTTCATAAATTATTAAGAGATAAAAAGCCAAAAAGCATTAAATTTCATTGGTACGCTTATGTTACAGAGGAATATGATTTTCTTCGAAACATAAACATTTCAGAGTTAAAGAAAAGTAGTAATTTACACAAAAGAATTTCCTCCCTCATTGGAAATTTTTAGTTTACCCTCCTAATCAAAAGTTAAGATCTTAAAAATCTGTTTCGTTCCTTAAGTAAGATCCATCTTGGAATATCCTGATTAATATCAGTCTTCAGAAGAGTAGCCAATTCGCTCGATCTCCCAGCAAAGCTTAGAAGCAACACTTTCATGGCAAGGAGAATATTCCTGCAAACAGACGACAACAACAACAACAACACATTTTCTATGCTGTCAGAAACCAGTTTCTTTCTTTTGGATCCATCAAATTGCCAATAGTCAAGTTACCTCAAGCTTCTTCACAAGCTCCTTAGCGGTTGGTGCAGAAATTATTATCTGGCGCGCGTTTGGACTGATGAATCCTTCTTCAACAGCTTTATCAATGAAAGAGAGCAAAGAGTTGTAATATCCATCAACATTGAGCAAACCCACCTGCAGCAAAACAATGATAGCTAGTTTTTAATGAAATTGGATTTGAAATTATGCACCAAAGCTTGAATCTTTACGAGGATCATAGTGATGGGTCTTTACCGGTTTGTCATGTATCCCAAGCTGGGCCCATGTTATGACCTCCAACAATTCTTCAAGTGTTCCATATCCACCTGCAATTTCAAACCAGAAAGGATTATACTCTGTATATATTATTATTATATGGTTCATCTGCAAAAACTGTCCTATGACTCTGTTTACACAAGGACGTGATTACATAAGCAGGGTCTTATTGAATAACAAGACCTCCCTATATGGGCAAAACATAATGTTTTTCCACGACTGTTTCAGATTTTGTCTTCTTACATGAAACAGGTAACTAAAATTAAAATTTTGGTCACAGCACACACAAGCTATATAGATAAGTACCTCCCAAGCAATAGGCAAATAACAAAGAATCAGAGCAGAGAGCAGAGATTGGTCTAATTTTCAGTGCGAGATGTCGATGGGTCAAGGCATCTTTACATATTATTTTTTAAAGCTTTGTCCATATAAGAACTCAAAATCATAATGAAAGACACCAATATACTTTTTTTTTTTAATTTAGCTTTCACACTATACCGCTTTAGTTTGACCAAGAAAACAGGTTTTTACTAATACTTTCTTCTTCCCTCTTCTTTGGCAAAATTAGTCAAAAAATTAAACTCTTTTCGGTGCTTTTTAAAAATTATTCTTCTTTAATACTTTGGTTTCCACAGTTTAAGAAGTTAAAAAGCCTAAAAGATGGTGACTAGATTCTTAAACAAGGCTGTCACTAGACTTTGACCGGTTTTATCTTACATAATCATTACTTGTCTGGAGAACTGAACTTGTAAATTTACAGAGAAAAAACAAAACTAAAAACTGATGGGACTTTGAACATTAAAGATTAGAGAAAGATTTTAAAATTCAGTACTAACCTGGTAAGGCAATAAAAGCATCAGAGTGTCTAGCCATCTCTGCTTTTCTTTGATGCATATCTGCAACAGCTCTTACTTCTCCTACTGTTTCACCGGTCAACTGCCAAAAAAGAGTATCCCATTTAACTAATAATCTTGAAACTTTAAATGAAATTAAAAGAGAGGAAAAAAAAAAGCAGCTTTAGACTGTTCTACGACCAGAAGCAATGATGGCAATGTAAGCAAATTGGCTTATTTTAAATTAATTACAAGACTTTAGTTAAGAAGCTCTTCATCTTATTCTTTTCTTAAAGGAACCCTTTTTTGGTTCTTGTTTCAATCGAAGAGATGAAGATAAGCCAACCAAGGTTGGATTCAGGGATTTCGGAAAAAATCAGTTCTTAAAGAGGAATCAATAAGCAAACAGAAAAAGTTCAAACTTTTTTCTCATGGCTAATAGCAAGAATACCTCTCTAGGCATGAGTGTCTTGGGAATAACTCTGTGGTTAAATGACAACAAAGACGAGAGGAAAAGAGACATATTAGGATGTTTAAATCTTAATTGTAGCCTCAAATCTCTAATTAACTGATTAGATGAGGAGTTACCCAATAACATGGCGACCACCATCATGAACAGCTTGTGAAACCAAACCCATCAAACCGATGCTTCCACCTCCATAGACTAGATCAATGTTCCTTGAAACCTGCAAAAGCATACAAACCATAAGAAATTAGACCTTTCTTTTCCATTACAGAGAGTTTGAGAAATCAGCTAAGAGAAATCAAAACCAAAACTGCTCTGTGTACTTTGAAAATCGAGACAAACATTCCCATGCGATATTTGTGGGCTCCCAATCATAAAAGATGAATATGATCAAAGGAAAAAAAGAAAATGTGAAAATGAAAAATACTTAAAAACTGATCCTTTTTAGTTATCAACTTCACATATCAAAAATACTATTTTGAAGTTTCATCATTTGTAAGTTGTGCCACATGAAACTATTCAAAATAGGATAAAACAGAGGAAATGTTCTGCATTTGCAAAATAAGAGGATTAACAAAAAACACCCACAAACATATTCACAAACATCTGGTGAACATAAACTTTATGAATCAAATTACAGAGTATAGAAAGTACAAACAGAAAATCCAGAGATATATGCAATACCAATTCGTTGCCAAGATCCACAGCAGCATCTTGGTAGCTACTCTTCTTGCCTTGGCTGCTTCCACAGAACACACAGATTCTTCCAAACTTTGACTTTTGCATTGTTTCATTGTTGACCTCCATTGATTACGATGAGCTCAAGCTTAGAAAAAAACTAAACTTTTTGCCCCAAAGAGAGTAAAAGACAATAGTTTTGGGTTTGTTAATTAAAATCTCGTCACTTGCGTGCTTCCTAAAGAACGAAAACGAGATGTACACACACCGTACAAGTGTCAAAGAAGAAGCATTATAAAAGTGAAGTTAAAACCCCAACAAAACCAAAAAAACTCAAAACTTTGAATTTCTTGTGTTTCTTTGCCTGCTACTACTTTCGGGGTTGGGATTGTTATTATATACAGAGTGCATTTTAAAAGAATTTTTCTTTTATTTTCGAGATTTTCACACGTGAGAGAATTTAGCACGCGCGTCGCAACCACCCGCACATACAGTTCATATTGGCACGCGTGGACCACTTCCTATTGTTTCCTAGTAATTGTCATTTTTCTTCAATTTATTTATATTTTCGCTTTCGAGTCTATTGATATTATATACATCTAAAAAATATTCGTTATCTATGCTACCTCCAATGATTTTGGAACCAAAAACAGAAAACAATGTTATGGATGTGTAAATTAAATTTAATGTTTAGACAAATGCTTATAGAAAATTAATCAAATAATATGTAAGTTTAAGTTTACCCTCGATGGCTCCATCTTAACTGTCCATCAAAGTAAAAAAGAAATTGTTACGATTCTATTACTAATTTAATTTTTCTATCAAATATTATTGTAAATATACATACTTGAAAAGGAAATATTCTTTGCATTCTTTTAATATTTTCATAATGATATTTAAATTTGTCGTGCGAATATAAATGGGAAGTGACAAAGAAAACATCTTTAGATTAAAGAAACTGATTTAGATATAAAGCTACCTCACTTTTTGATTCCCATTTTCAAGAACAGAACAAAAATTTAATTTTCGACAATGACAATAAAATCAAATTTTCATTGTCAACATATATCTGGACATGTAAGATGGGTCCAACCAGAATTTACTTTTAATTCTCTAATATTTAAATGAAAGTGTGATCAAACTAGTGATGAGTAAAGCAAGAGATGCAGAGACATGTATCATATGCATAAACAGATAGATATGCGTATAATATTTAAATATGTATAATTAGAGATGATGATGTCGGGGTTATGGAGCAATGTGCCATTGATGATTGAAATAAGAAACACAGAGTGAGTTATGGGTTTTATTACCAATGTAGTCTAATTAATTCACCCTCCCCTATGTAGTAGACAATCTCCTTCTTCTCTCTTGTTCTAATCATACAAAACACGTATTTCTTATATTAATTATACACCTTAGTTTTCCTACTAGTTTCTTCTTCTTATAATGTTTTTGGATATATTAAAAGCTCTATCGGCTTTACCCACATATCCATGTGCATGTGGATAATGGATATCTAACTCATGGCCTTTATTTATACTATTTTATTTAAATTTTATCCACATATAGCTACCAAGGGAGCATGCATGGCTTTATATATAAATAATAATCCAATAGAGTGATAGATTATTTACGGTTCCAACTTCCAATTTGAAAACAATTCCCGATGAGAATTCCCGAAGAAACGAATATATATATATTTTTTTTTTTGACAAATCATATCGTTTAGAAATATTTTAGAAGAAAATGGGTTACAAACTTACATTATAGTCGGTGTTGGCTAGAGATTTGGAACGTGATTCGTGAGCTTGGTTCAACATGGTATGTAATGTAAGAGATTGATTGTATTTGGTTACGAAGCCATGAATTGGGAAACGGAATATAAGCAAGTTTGTTGAAATCATGATAATATCCACACAAGAAAATGGTTGAAATGAAAAAGATATAAACATTTTAAATCCATATTGTCATCGATTTCCTTGCGTTACGTAACTTACGTGCAAACATGCACATTAGCTCTTTTATATTTCTGCAACTTATATATCTACTTCTTGTCCATTGAAGAATCCTCTACGTTATTAGCATTTATGGTTTATAAACATATTATTCGTGCACCCTTTTCGTGAGATGAAGATTTCACAACCTACAACATATATAGAGAAGATCTACACTTTATACCGAAAGAGTTATTATGAAATGGTAAGCCATGTTATTAGTTAACAAATTAATAGTTTAGTCTATACATAGTGTGAACTAGATATAGCTGTAACTGTTTAATTCAGTACTTAATTGTTTTATTCCATGGACAGTAACCCCATACTCATATACTTAATTGAACATCCTGATTAGTGATTGGACATAGGTATATATATGTATATAACCGATTAAATTAAACTACAACAAAATTGCAATCCCAAGACATCAGTGCAAGCTACCCCTATTAAATTTATATGTTGTGAGTTTAGAGATTATAAAAAATAATTACTTCTCGGAACCAATTTCTATTTGTAATATTGTGTATGCATGCTTGCATGCGCATTTAACTCTTTTGTTTTGTTTTCTTATTGCACTCCACATTCCTCTTGGTTTTCTCACTTTCAAACCTAATTTATAATATTATAACAATCAACCATGAGTGTAAAACGACATAATCAGGTCACTCTTGTATTCAACAACATCTACTCGTTATACATAGATCTTAAATGGTTGTGAATATGTATACCAACGTAACAGTAGATCATCGAAAGAAAGGTTCCTTTGCTATCGCTCTACTTGTATAAAAAAACTTCTTTTTAGATACAAGAGAATAATATTTTTCTTTTTGAACGAATCAATAGAATAATATTACTCGATCGGTTAATCTACTTCACAGTAAGTTAAATTCAAACTAAATTCAGTTTTTTTTTTTTTTTTGAGTATCACAAGTCTATGGAAGAGCTCAGACTAATCTCCAAGGGAGGTGCAGCCCATGGATAAACTAAATTAAGTTTTAGTAACAAGATAACATGGGTAAGTTGTTGTAAGAGTATAAGATAGCTATGAATAGAGCGGGAAGTGATTGGAATATCATCATTAAGAATCTTGTAACAAATTAATAAATAAAACGTAGATGCAAATACAAATTTTGGATGCATTTGTGGATGTGTGTAGATAAAGTGTATGTGCAGTATGAAGCAGGAGAGCAGTAAAAAGGCTTCTCGCTTTCTAATTCGATCAGCCAAAAGTGTTACTTTGTTACTTTATTTGATTTTTTTCTTGTTTATTAAAAAACTAATTTCCAACAAACTATATTTAATTCGATGTTAATGAAAGGGCTAAATGACGACCGTGGATTGTACTAACAAAGCGGGACCTATTTGCATTTACGACCGCCCAAAATCTCTCATATCATTAGGGTAAATTCATTTAGATTATATATATGATTAATTCGTACAAAAGCCCCAACAATAATGCGTTACCTAACCTGAGAAATACAGTTGAAGAGGGTAACAATCTCCCATGTGAACTTCTGATTTATTGAAACCGAAACACTAGCAAGTTTATATCATGATTTGGGTTCAAGTTATAACCAAGAGTATTTATGGCAAGTATACCATATGTGTGATGGCACTTTAAACCACGAAAATTCATTATAAACAGAATATATTTTTGCATTACATATACTGTACTTGAAATTAGTAAAGATAAGTACATGCAAATACCCAATTGAAAAACGAACAAAAGATTAAACCAAAAAAAAAGAACAAAAAGTAAAGGAATCAGCCAAGCAATCAAATCAAAGTTCTTATTCCCTCCGTTTTACAAAGAATGTCGTTCTGACATTTTTCACACAAATTAAGAAATAAGATAAAAAGTCTTTTATACCCTAATTAATTTGTAAAAAATGACTATTGGAATTATATTTATAACTAATTTTCTGAATTTATTTTTGAAGTTAAAAATGGTATTTTATGTCAAAATTTACATTAGAATTCTAAAACGACATTCTTTTTGAAACAAAAAAAGAGTGTCAGAACGACACTCTTTATGAAACAGAGGGAATATGAGTTTAAGCTCGAGTTTTTTTATTTTCCTCGTCGGGAATCTAAGCTAATCTCTCATATGTTATCAATTCACATTTTTGATTTATTGATTCTAAACATTCTCAAGACACAATTAAGACAAAGATAAGATTATAACATCTTTTCATAATCATATTTCTATATATATATATTTTTTAAAGAACATATTTCTATATTTCAAATACCTAGAAAGTTGGTGTCACATAAATCTCCACACTTTGACATAAATTAGCTGTAGATTTGTTATTCTTTACAGCATTTCTACCCCGAAAAAAAAATCAAGTTGTGTATTCATTTTATATGGCTGTTTTGAAACAGATCATCTATGTTTGTAGAGATCAAAACTGGTGTTAGCCTTGATCACACCTCTATAAGGCTATATATAGCATTACACATCTTTAAATAAACTATGCTATACCTTTTATTACAAATGTATATTTTATATAATTATATATAGGTTGATGGAATTGATATATGAAGACAAAATGGAAAATGAGTTAGAAAGGAAAAAAAAAGGCCTAACTTGTAGGCCGGAAGAGTGGTGGAAGTATGATGGAGAAAGAGCAAAGTGACATTTATTATTTCTGTGTTCTTTATTTTTGAGACATAATCCTCCATCAATTCACTTCAATGTTCCTTCTCTGCTTTCGGTTAATTGCTATGACCCATTTCTTCTTAACTTTTCGTTCAAATATTTTTTTCTCTTACAAAAAAAAAAGTAATTCCCTCGAAGATACCCTTCGTCACGTGACATCCGCACAATATATACATAGCCTGGTTTTCATTTGGCATTATCAATCGGATTAATCAATAATTTAGTGATTGATCCTTCTATTCTATATGATGCTTTGTTTGACCGGATTAATTCGCTTAGATTTAGTTGGTTAAGTAGCAAAGTTTGTTACCACTAATCCGTTAGTTTTTTTTATTTCGTTAACTGATTAAGGTTTAGCTTCTAAGATCATATTATCTTCCTTGAAATTATTTCATTTACACTTTCTCTCTCAGTTTCAGTTTGGTCGAATTAAATTCAGAGTTGATAGCACAGTCACTAATCACTATCATAGATGCAGTGAGCTTTTTCAGCCCATTTAAAAACTGGTTCGTCCAGGCCCATCCCATTCAAAGCCGGTTCGTAATTACACTCTTACTTATTTATTGATCTTCTTTCTTTTTCTGAGACTAGAAACTTGATAACGAGTTAAAATGTTGAACAATTCAATGCCATTTTACACCGGAATTATACACAAAATCTATGATAATGTCCTAAATTTATAAACGAGAAGCAACTAACCTTTTTAAAAAACAAAAATAGTCCATGTTTTAAACTATTTAAATCCATGTTTTGTTCGTTTCTTCCAATTCTTCTTTTGCAGCTGCAGTGGTTTATATACAATTGTATCTTGGAAATTTTTTTTTTTAAGAACAGAATATCAAAAACATTAAACAAAACACACTGCTACAGTTACTCTCATATGCCAAATGTCAAAATACCACACAAAAAAAAGAGAGATAAGAAGAAAATGCAAACTGAAGCAATCAATCGCAGGATTCAGGACAAGAAACATGGGTCTCTGCTTTAATCTAATCATTCTAAAAAAACAGATCATTCCTTTACGACCTTCAAGCATTAAAGCCTTAGAGTGCAGCAGCAGTTAGCTTAGTTACTGTCTGAAACCGCCTTTGTCTCACTAACCCCATGTGCTTCGAAGTACCTATTACGTTCAAGATTCAACATATTTAGTCATATATAGCAATTCCATGATTCAAAATGAAAAATGCTTGAACATGGCTGAGAATTGAGAGTCTTACCCTCCAGAATCTGCATTTATTTTAGAACGTAAAGTTGGCGTGGACACTCAAAATTGGCGCCTTGGTGGCCTAGCCTCAGCCTCCGAGACTCTAATTTGCCTTCCATCCAAATCCTTTAGTGAAGTAAAAACATGTATTAGATGTTTGATCTCATTGTAAAACTGATCAAAGAAATTAAACGATGCAAAGGGAAATGATGATACTTACAGCACCATTCAAAGAATTGATGGCTTTTGTGACCTCTTGAGGAGAGCCGAGCGTCACAAACCCAAAACCCTTGGACCTGCCAGTGTCCCTGTCGTAAATGACTCTAGCCTCAACAACCTTTCCTTGCTCACTAAACAAGCTCTCAAGAGCCATGTCATCGACACCCCAAGAAAGGTTGCCAACATAAACCCGGTCTGATGAACCCGAGCCCGAACCTGACCCGGAACCGTAGCTGGAACGTTCTGAACCGTAACCAGAACGTCCTCCTGAACGTTGAGACCCGTAACCTGAACGTTCAGAACCGTAGCTGGAACGCTCAGAACCGTAACCACCACTTCTTGGTCCTCTGGAGAAAGATTCCTCCCTCTTAGGTGGAGGAGGGCCAGAGTTAACCCTCAATGGTCTGCCTTCAAACTCCTGCAATGTTCATGTCAACAGGATTAACAAAAACACAACAATGTACACCAAATCTATATGATCAGCTTGCAAGATATGAACAATCAGCCAGTACGAGAAAAACAAAGGCTCAACAATTATGCCCGCAACTTATATATCCTCAGTTGAGAAACAAGAGCTACCTAAAAGTTTGGAAGCTTTCATTATAGAAGAAACAAGAAAGCTAAGACAACGAATAACAACAATACTCACAAGCCAAGAAACAAGAAACGACACAGGCAATTCGATAAACAAAGAGTATCTGCTTACATAGCCATTGAACTGCTGAGCTGCCGCCTCAACTTCCGCTGCACTGGACATTGTCACAAACCCAAAACCCCTGCTTCTGCCAGTCTCCTTGTCATAGATTACCTACAAAACCGAAGCCATTTCATCACAAATGAAAAAAACCAATCAAAATATCATATTCTCAGTCCTACATCCAACATAGACCACACAACAACCTAAAAATTAAACCTTTCGTTAGGTTCTGCTACACAAACAGATCCAAATCTATTTCGAGAAGTTAAGCAATAGTGAATCAAGAACCTAAAAATTCCTCCTTACCTCAACCATCTCAACATTTCCGGCGCTCTCGAATAGCTGAGCGAGCTTAGCGCTATCAACACTGAAGGAAAGGTTACCGACGAAGAGTTTGAGGTCATTGGAGAAGGAGCTGCGCGCCGGCGGCGAGTCATCATCGGCGAACATGTCGTCTTCCTCCACCTCGAAATCCGAGGAAACGGCAACGTTCCTGACAAAACGGGACGGATACTCGGCGGGAGCAGAGCATTTCAAGGAGGAGGAAGCGAAGATAGAGAGGAGATGGTGGGAGTGAAGTTTGAAGGAGAGGGAAGGAGGCAAGACGGAGACGGAGGAGGAGGACCTGGAAACGCAGAGAGGAAGGGATTTAGGGTTGAAGGAAGACAAGGAAACGGAGGAAGCGGAGGCAGACATGGCTTTTAGCTTTTGAGATTAGTTTGCTCGAGGCTAAAGCTATCTCGCTGGCTGCTTTGGAAGGGATAAGGTTTAAGGGTTCTACTTCTTCTGCGAGAGATTTGATGAGAGTGGGAGATAAAGAGACGAGTTTTAGATACTTATTGGCAAAATGAATCTCTTTTTTTTTTTTCTCTCTTTTGGGCAAAAAACTTTATCCGCTTGAAAAAATATCTCCCACTTGGGTAGTAACTAGTAAGTTTGTTTTTCTCTAAAATCCGTATTTTGGCAACAATACTTTCTTTTTTACTGTCTTACAATTTTGTGTTAATCAATACTGTAGAAAAAAAATTATTCTGTTTTTAAAAATTCCCAATAAGTTATGTAGTATTCTTCTTTAGTTTGGTGAAAGAATTATAATTCTTGGTCAAAAATTAGAAGATAAAATTATAATACCAAGTACGGATATTTATTTGACAACTGAAGACATTTCATGTTTATTTTTTGGTTCTTAATTTAGATTTTTTTTTTATAAAAAAAATACAATAATGAACTGAAAAAACATTTAAGCACAAGTTGATACTATGTGTGAAATGAAGAGTATATGTGCGATAAGATCTTGACCGTCCAATTTGGATGGACAGTGGAGATTAAGAGAGGGAATAAGAGTGTGGGTCTAGTGAGAAGAAGATAAGACCGCACATAAAACTAAAAGCCAAAGGAAGATGCAACTGGAGACTGTGTACACTGACGAGCATGGATCTTCAACTTGTCCTTGAGTATTCTCTTGGCAAGAATTAAGTAACCCTCTCTTGAAGAATTTGTTTGCATTTTGAGGTTTGTTGTGTCATGGGTCTAATTCATATGTTATATAGTTTCATTTGATTTTTACGTTGCAAATGAAAAGCCTTTCAAGTCTGAAAAGCCCATATCGAGTATGATTCCTCTCTCAATAGGAAGCTTTTTTGGTCCGGTACTAGCTAGTCAGATATCTCCCTAAACCCGAGCCAATCTTATTAAACCGTTTAATAGCAACTCCGGTTCAGATTTTCATAATAGAATAGAATGGGTCCCAAAAGAAGCCACGTGTCGCAACCGACGATGCATGAAGAGATTGAAAGGCTAAGAGAAAACAACATTGTCCGGCGGAGAAAAATCGGAACAAAAGACGAAGATTACCACCACTCAAGATACTCGAAATCGGAAATGGACATTAACGTTCGAATCTCCGTCTTAAAATCCCCCACCAATATCTGCCTGATAAACCCTAGATTCTCTTCGTCCTCCTCCTCTAGATTCCGTTGCTCCAAAAGCGAATCTCCCAAAAACGGAAACGAAAACGGTGAGAGAACCAAATACTCGTTATATAATCTTCTTTTAAGTTAGAATTGGATTCGGATCGGTTAAAGAATTGCTTTTATGTGGGTCACTCTCACTCAGGTGATAAATCGTCGAGGGATTGGGACAAGGCGTGGAAGAATTTCAAGAAGCAGAGCAAGAAGACACTCTTCTCCCAGTTCAACGTCGACAAGTACGTGACGTGGAATCCTCCGAGATCGGAGTTTCCCTTGTCGGAAGAAGTCGATCCCATCAAAAGAACAGAGAGATCCAATCTCATGCTCTGGACTAGTCCAACGTTCACTTTGATTGGAGCCATCGTCATTGTCTCTTTCCTCCTTCTCTACACCATTCTTGCTCCTCTCAAGTGAACAAAACTTTTATTTTTAACTTTTCTCATTCACCTCTGCAATTAAAGGCCATTTAGATCAGATTTCTGAATCTTATTTTTACTGTTTGTATACATTATTATAGTTTTTACAAAATAAGATCCTAGTTTCAACATTAAAGAGTACATCTTAATTGTGAACCATTTTGTTGGTAAGTTTATTGTAAGCAAGAAGCTTAATATTGTAACTTGTAAGTTGTGATGTACAAGCAACCACTCATTGTTTAGTGAACCCGACTAAAAGAAAATTAAAGAAAAGAAAAATGATTTTACAAGAACCATAAGTAAAAAGTTGTTTTTTGGTCGTTGTTTGTTTAAGATGCTCTTACAATTCTCTACAAAGCAACTAATCCGTCGTTTGATCTAAGTATAAATATATTGTTACGCACTTACGCTATATGCACAGATATTCTAAAATAAATGGTAGACAGTTGTTAAAATGCGATCTAAGTAATACTAATATTAAAGATAATTAATTGGAAACTACATTTTGTTAGAATATATTCCTATTTTCTAACACATTTCAGTAGACACCTAGTCGTGGGACTCAGCCTCTACTCTATGTCTTGGGTTATAAAAAAAAAAAAAAGAGATGAGTAGAAAACATTTTTCTACTTTTTGCAAGTCATTCTATAAGACGGGTTAAGGAATATAACATGCACGAAGTTACATGAATCAAATGAGAAAGTCCTTTGAATTATTCTTTCAATAATGAGCCAAAAACAATAGCATATCCGATGTTTTTTTAAAGTCACAACTATGTTTTCATCTATGCATACGGCTATGCTTCACATACTGCCCGCCGCGAGTTTGTCAAAACCTTATAAACAAATTTGCCTTTCTTCGAAGTTAACAAGTTTAACTAATTCGATTTTAATAATGCTCACGGTCTTTCTTTTGTTTTTGCTTAATGAGTTGCGTACGATTTACTCCAATCGTAAGATTAATCTTCAAAAGTTAAAAGACCAAAGAAATGCCTTAAAACTGTTGTATGAATATGAAGAGGTCATTAACGAATTCAATAGAACAAAAGAAAGAGACAAATCGCATAGAAGGAGGTTTAGCTGCGGGAGGGCTGTGTCATGCTGATTCATTAATTATTACTTTTGATTTTGTCACCAACTTTTCCATCAACATCTTATTATGTCATTGCTTTCATCCTCTTTTTCCTTAACTTTTTTTTGACCTAATGATTTTATATGCATATAATTATATAAATAACATTTCTTACTGCATTCGTTGCTAGGAAAATACTAGTAAACAAGTAAAGAATACTAATTCATTCTTTTTATCATTGATGTGGTGTTTTTTGTTTTTCTAACTGTGGATTGGAAAAGAATTGAAGGAAGCATCCAAGAGTTGTATTTGTGTACTAGCAACAAATTAAATTCTCAGTTTATTTTAGTTCGTAGTTATCAATTCGTTAATAGTATACATATCAATTTTTCTCACTTATATAGTTTAGTATCACCAAATTCAAACTAAAGTTTTATTGACTTGAAATATCATCTAATATTAAAATCAATTCAAATATCAGTAATTCAATAAGTTTAATTTTGACTTTTGATTGAAATGAAGGAGATCAAGAATGTTCATACATCGAAGCTAGTTTACCAATATATTATCTTGGTAGCATTGGTTTATGATATACCGTTAGTCTTAGACGAACGGTCTGAAAATTTTGGTTATCTAATTTAATACATATATGAATTTGTAAATAAAGTGATTCGTTTGCCAAAAAAAACAACCAATTATAACACTATTGTGTATAAGTCATCGCAATAATCTTGGTAATCAAGCACAAATTTAAATCCAAAACGGGTACGGAAGTGATCTTAATCATGTCCAAGTTCTTCCTTTTTCTTCTTGTAGTAAAATTGGCGGGTTTCATGCTGGAGCTGTTGGCTGGAAATGTCCAATATAAACATATATATATGTAATACATTTACATAAAATAACAAATAATTGTTTATATAAATATAAGATTTTGTTGAAGGGAATCTAAATTATGAACGTTATAAATCATAACATAATTTAAGAAGAAAAAAGGCATGACGACATGAGCCAGAATCATTTCCTAGACATCATGAATATAAAACTGATACTCAATCCTCCACGATCTTACAGCTTTCAACGACAACTTTGAGTATCACAGCATTTTCATTTATCAAATAATAATTAATACTATATAACTAATCTTTCTCTTCTAAAACTAGGTTTGTTAATAATTGATAGCATGTGTTTTTATTATTAATTTATTAAATAAAATGACCTTGGAAGCCGCAGAAACAAATTTCAAGAACTTAGAAGCTGATGTATTCACTTACATCATTGAAATGTGTCAGTTTGAACAATCCATAAATGTATAAATTATATATAAGTCAAAGCATTGAGCATATCTCTCAAATAGACTTTGAATTTCTGATTTCAGAGTGCTCATGGCTCATATGGGTGGAGCAGACGAGATTGAGTCGTTGAGAGTGGAGCTTGCAGAGATTGGAAGAAGCATCAGATCATCGTTCCGGAGACACACTTCGAGTTTCAGAAGCAGCTCTTCAAGATATGAACCTGATCATGATGGTGATGGTAATGATAATAATGCAGAGTATGCTCTGCAATGGGCTGAGATCGAGAGATTACCAACCGTCAAACGCATGAGATCTACTCTCCTCGATGATGGCGATGAGTCCATGACCGAGAAAGGAAAGAGAGTCGTTGATGTCACAAAGCTTGGAGCCATGGAACGTCATCTGATGATTGAGAAACTCATCAAACACATTGAGAATGATAATCTCAAGTTGCTCAAGAAAATCAGAAGAAGAATAGACAGGTTAAAATTTTACCCCATTTTGTGAATATTTCGATTCCATTAAGTTTGGAACTTTGAGCTTGAAACTGTGTTATGCAGAGTCGGGATGGAGTTACCGACTATAGAAGTGAGGTACGAGAGTTTGAAAGTAGAGGCCGAGTGCGAGATTGTTGAAGGGAAGGCACTTCCAACACTGTGGAACACTGCTAAGCGCGTTTTCTCTGTGAGTACTCAACAATTTCTGCAAATTCAAAAAAGTTGTTATTGTCTTGATTCTGCGTTTGCTTTAAAAGCCTCTGGGTTGAATCCTAAAGTGTTTCTTTTCTGCAGGAACTTGTGAAGCTCACAGGTGCAAAAACGCGTGAAGCCAAGATCAACATTCTGAATGATGTTAATGGCATTCTAAAGCCGGGAAGGTTAGTAGTTGAAGAAGTTTACTGTATCTCCTCACTAGTCTTGATCAAAGTTTTGAAAAGTATTTATCATCTTGTTGTTGCAGGTTAACACTGTTGCTTGGTCCTCCTGGATGCGGAAAAACAACTTTGTTAAAGGCCTTGTCAGGAAATTTAGAAAACAATCTAAAGGTTCTAATGATGAAAGAAGATACTATATCATTTTATCATCTGTTTTGTGTGTTTTGCTGCAGATGTGTGAAGTTGTGTACCTTTTTCTCGTTTTTCCAGTGTTCAGGTGAAATCTCTTACAATGGACACAGACTGGACGAGTTTGTTCCTCAGAAAACCTCGGCGTATATAAGTCAATATGATCTGCACATTGCAGAGATGACAGTTAGGGAGACAGTTGACTTCTCAGCTCGTTGTCAGGGCGTTGGTAGCCGAACAGGTAGATTTTATCAACCAATCAATGTACTCTCGATTGCATTAAAATGTATGTATTGTTGATTTTTTTTCTTTTTTGCCCCTGCGGAAACAGATATTATGATGGAAGTCAGTAAAAGAGAAAAGGAAGCAGGAATCATTCCTGACACAGAAGTGGATGCTTACATGAAAGTAACGCTCTCTTATCCCTGAAGTGTATATTGAACCTAACCTTTAAGATCGGTGGTTGACTAGAATCTTTTGTTTTTGCGCAGGCAATATCGGTCGAAGGACTTGAAAGAAGTCTGCAAACAGATTACATCTTGAAGGTATAGTCTCTTTGACAGCTCGGCTGAATTTCTGTCCCTTCTTGTTTGGTTCTTATGTCTTCTGTTGCATTTGCAGATTCTCGGACTTGACATTTGCGCAGAAACTTTGATTGGAGATGTGATGAGGAGAGGAGTATCAGGGGGGCAAAAGAAGCGTCTTACCACAGGTTAGTTCATAGCTCTCTAAACTTGCAAAATTGTCAAGACATGTTTTGTTCTAAAGCAGTACTTGAAGCTCTTAATTTTTGCAGCCGAGATGATCGTTGGTCCAACAAAGGCTCTGTTTATGGACGAAATAACAAACGGCTTAGACAGTTCCACGGCTTTTCAGATTGTTAAGTCTCTTCAGCAGCTGTCTCACATATCAAACGCAACTGTTCTTGTCTCGCTCCTTCAACCAGCCCCAGAATCCTTTGACCTCTTTGATGACGTTATGCTGATGGCCAAGGGGAAAATCGTGTATCATGGCCCACGTGGTGAGGTCTTGAACTTCTTTGAGGATTGTGGATTCCGATGCCCTGAAAGGAAAGGTGTTGCAGACTTCCTCCAAGAGGTAAAAGCCAAAGTTTTTGTTCCCAAAAATGACCATTCTCGTTTCTGTAATCATTGAGTTATTGATCCTCTCGCTCTTGTTACGCTTTCGAAGGTTATATCAAGAAAGGACCAAGCACAATTCTGGCGGCACGAGGATTTACCTTATAGGTTTATCTCAGTAGACATGTTGTCAAAGAAATTCAAGGACTTGAGTATCGGGAAGAAAATCGAAGACGCTCTGTCTAAGCCATATGATAGATCAAAAAGCCATAAAGATGCTCTTTCCTTCAGCGTGTATTCTCTTCCAAACTGGGAGCTCTTCGTAGCATGCATATCAAGAGAGTTTCTTCTCATGAAGAGAAACTACTTCGTATACGTTTTCAAGACGTTTCAGGTACATTACAAAAGTTTCCAATTTCTCTCCTTTTTGTCTTCTATCGATTTTGATAGTATTCCTAATCTTTCTAGCTTTATGTGCGCAGCTTGTTATGGCCGCATTCATCACTATGCACCGTGTTTATCCGAACACGGATGGGCATTGATATTATTCATGGAAATTCTTATATGAGTGCCCTCTTTTTCGCCGTCATTATACTTCTTGTCGACGGATTCCCAGAGTTGTCTATGACTGCTCAACGCCTAGCCGTGTTTTACAAGCAGAAGCAGTTGTGTTTCTATCCAGCATGGGCTTATGCAATCCCTGCAACAGTGTTAAAGGTCCCTCTTTCGTTATTTGAATCTTTCGTTTGGACCGGTCTCACATACTATGTCATTGGATACACCCCTGAGGCCTCCAGGTGAGTTTAGCCCTCTGTTTCTTGGTATTCAAATCCTCAATAAAGGTTAACATTGATTCAAGTCTGGGAATGTTCAGACAACTGTAACATGATGAAGTTTAATGTTCCAGGTTCTTCCGGCAGTTCATTCTACTGTTTCTTGTTCATTTCACCGCGATATCCATGTTCCGGAGTCTAGCAGCAATCTTCCAGACAGTAGTTGCTTCAATCACAGCTGGCAGTTTTGCTATCTTAACCACTTTTGTCTTTGCCGGTTTTGTCATTCCACCAAGTAAGACTTTTTACCCAATCCTCTGCTTTCCAAAAGTTGTACCATTCAAGAATGACTCTAAGGTTTTGTGTTTGCTGCAGCTGAAATGCCCGCGTGGCTCAAATGGGGTTTCTGGGTAAATCCCTTGAGTTACGGTGAGATTGGGCTATCGGTAAACGAGTTTCTTGCTCCAAGGTGGAATCAGGTGATTCTCTCTTAAGTCTCTTTCCTCTCTTAATCCCACAATCTTCTTCTTTCTTTAATACTAAACAGTTTCTGCTGATAACACTTGTAGATGCAACCCAATAATCTTACCTTAGGTCGAACCATACTCGAAACCCGTGGACTGAACTACGATGGTTACATGTATTGGGTATCATTGTGTGCCTTGTTGGGTTTCACTGTGCTCTTCAACGCCATTTTCACTCTTGCTCTGACTTTCTTGAAATGTAAGCTCCTCTTCTACTACATAAATGTATGTCCTTTGAAACAAGACCGCCACATACTTAAAACACGGTTCACCAAATGACAGCACCCACATCATCTCGCGCCATGATCTCGCAAGAAAAACTCTCTGAGCTGCAAGGTACAGAAGACACAACAGACGATTCCTCGATCAAGAAAAAGACAACAGATTCCCCTATAAAGACAGAAGACGATGATAATTCAGGTGAGATTTTTGTTGTCTCTCTTCCTTTTACTCTCCATATTTTCTTGCACTAACATTTCCTCCTGTCCACAGGCAAGATGGTCTTACCTTTCAAGCCACTCACTGTAACATTTCAAGAGTTGAACTATTTCGTTGATACTCCCGTGGTATAAATAATCAAACCCAACTATATAACCAAATCGCCATAATTCTGGCTTTATCTTCTTGACGTTCAAATGCTGGTCTTCAGGAGATGAGAGACCAAGGATATGCTAACAAGAAGCTGCAACTTCTCTCAGACATCACCGGAGCATTCCGTCCCGGAATCCTAACGGCGTTGATGGGCGTGAGTGGAGCCGGAAAAACAACTCTCCTCGACGTTCTAGCCGGAAGAAAAACAAGCGGATACATAGAAGGCGACATCAGAATCAGCGGGTTTCCAAAACTCCAAGAAACATTCGCGAGAGTCTCAGGCTACTGCGAGCAAACAGATATTCACTCACCAAACATAACCGTCGAAGAATCTGTGATTTACTCTGCTTGGCTTCGTCTAGCTCCTGAAATCGATTCCGCAACCAAAATTGTAAGCCCTCTTTTTTTACCTCTTCAATTAAAATCGACCCAAAATCAAAAAGTATCTAAGGAATCTAAATCTGAGCAGAAATTCGTGAAACAAGTGCTGGAGACGATCGAATTGGATGAGATAAAGGATGCATTGGTGGGAGTCGCCGGAGTGAGCGGATTGTCGACGGAGCAGAGGAAGCGACTGACGATTGCAGTGGAGTTGGTGGCGAATCCGTCGATCATCTTCATGGACGAGCCCACTACTGGACTGGACGCAAGAGCAGCCGCCATTGTTATGCGAGCAGTGAAGAACGTCGCTGACACTGGAAGAACCATCGTCTGCACTATTCATCAGCCTAGTATCGACATTTTCGAAGCCTTCGACGAGGTTATTTGCAAACATCTCCTCATAAAATTACTAACATACTTTTTTGACCCCAAAACTTCTTATATTACAAATAACACCAAATTAATTGAACTTGAATTTTCAGTTGGTCCTTCTTAAAAGAGGTGGTCGCATGATCTACACAGGACCACTAGGCCAACATTCATGTCATGTTATCGAGTATTTTGAGGTAAATTTTGCTTATTAATTTTCTCTTAGTTATATGGTTCTTCTTACCAAACAGATTACAAACTTATTCAGCTTTGTTCGTTGTTGGGTTAAATAAACAGAGTGTTCCAGGCATTCCTAAAATAAGAGACAACCACAATCCAGCAACATGGATGCTTGATGTTAGTTCACAGTCTGCAGAAGTTGAACTTGGACTCGACTTCGCAAAAATCTACCATGAATCCGCTCTTTGCAAGTGAGTGAATCTCTAGAATCTTTGCATACAATGAGAGTTTTGTGTTTTCTAAAAAAGCTTTGGTTTTAATGAAAAAAAACATGTGTGTGATTCTCATAGGAGCAACTCCGAGCTTGTGAAACAGTTGAGCCAACCAGATTCTGGATCAAAGGATTTACAGTTTAAAAGAACTTTTGCACAGAGTTGGTCTGGACAATTCAAATCTATTTTGTGGAAGATGAGTTTGTCTTATTGGAGAAGCCCTTCTTATAACCTAATGCGTCTCATTCACACATTAATCTCTTCTTTGATCTTTGGCGCGCTCTTTTGGAAACAAGGCCAAAAAATGTAAGCAACTCTGAAATCTCTTCAAGGTTTTCAAATTTCTATCTTTTATTAACAAAAAATTCTATATTTTGTTTTTTCTCATTTGTTGCAGAGATACGCAACAGAATTTGTTCACTGTAATTGGAGCTTTGTACGGCGCTATGCTCTTCATAGGGATAAACAATTGTGCATCAGCGCTTCAATATTTCGAAACAGAGAGAAATGTTATGTACAGAGAAAGATTTGCAGGGATGTACTCAGCGACTGCTTATGCATTGTCTCAAGTTGTGACTGAGATACCTTATTTGTTCATACAAGCAACCGAGTTTGTGATCATAACATATCCAATGATTGGTTTCCTTCCTTCGACCTACAAAGTCTTTTGGGCACTCTACTCTACGTTCTGCTCTCTTCTCACTTACAACTACCTCGCTATGTTCCTCATGTCCATCACACCAAACTCCATGGTTGCATCGATTCTTCAATCGCTCTTCTTTGTTAACTTTAACCTCTTTTCCGGGTTTTTGATCCCTGAAACAGTAAGATCCTTTTTTATCTTAGTTAACAAGCATATAAGAATGTTTTACTTAGAGAAAGTTTCAATAATGTTTTTGTTTGGTTGTTGAAAAATGTGCAGCAAATTCCAAGGTGGTGGATTTGGTTATATTATATAACACCAACGTCTTGGACACTCAACGGGTTTTTCACGTCACAGTATGGAGATATACATCAAGAGATCAATGTCTTTGGAGAATCGACGACTGTTGCAAGATTCTTGGAAGACTATTTTGGGTTTCATCATGACCGTTTGGCGGTAACGGCGGTTGTTCTGATCGCTTTTCCTATCGCGTTGGCTTCTATGTTTGCCTTCTTTGTTGGCAAACTCAACTTTCAAAGAAGATGATGATGGATCATTCATGCCAATCTTCAATTCATCCTTTTAGAATAAACAAATAATCCTTTTTTTGTTTGGGTGAAAATAAACATATAACGTCTTTTTTTTTTTGTTGTATATGATTTTTAAGGGGAAAAAATCATTAGCTTGTAATTTAAAATGTGGGTTCTGATAAATTACATTTTTGTTTTGTTTTAAAGGAATTAGGCTTCTTAACCTGTTGCAAGTCAAAGAACAAAATCTTAATGGGAAATTAGTGCGGTTGGCGTTGGTTATCCGAATAGAAATTAGGCCACTATTCATGAGCTTAACTACGCATAACGAACTAGTTAAAGACTAAACCAATCCCTAATTAAGCTATTGAATAGTGGATTAGATGACAAAATATCTTAAAGATGAAGATTAAGTCAACCAAAAAATTGTATCCTACTCTTAATTAAATAGATTACTCATGGATGGTTGATTAATTATTAATTTTGGAAATTCCTTTTGACATGTCTATTGTGTCCTAGTCGACAGTAATATAAAAAGCAAACCAAAGCGGTCAACGCAAGAGGCTCGGTCTGTTCATAAGGCAGCACGCTTTTTCTCGAAACCAAAGCTCGACGAGATCCAACACAGTTAGAACCCTAATTACTCGTCACCTTACGATCAACCGTTTATGCAAACACTGATCGGTTTTGAATCTTTTGATTGATCGAGCGATTCGATACGGAATCGCGATGCCAATCCGAATCCCGCCGGCTCGTTGGGATTTTCGCGGCTTCGTATTTTGTTTCATTTTCCTCGGCTCGTTCCCGGGTAGATAATTTATCTCGGTTTTGATACAAATGAATCCATCTCTGAGTGATTTAGCTTCCCAATTCGAAATTTTCTTGTGCTCGTTGATCGTAGTTTATTAAGCCCGATGCTTGTTTGTTGATCGTCACAGGAACAATACTAACACAAGAAGTTACACTAGATTCGATTCGGATTTTCAAGACGCACGAATGGTTCCCGACTAAGCCTACAGTCTATTTCCAATGTAAAGGAGAGAACAAGACGGTGTTTCCTGATGTGAAGAAACTCAATGTGTCTTATTCTTTTAAAGGCGTAGAATCTTGGCAGGTTTGTTCTTTTTTCTTTTGTCTGGTTTCTTGCTGATTTTGGTTTTGATTATATGTAGCAAGAATTTTCGTTATTTGTTGAGTTTTGTTTGATCTGAAACCAGGAAAAGAGAGCTGCCTTTCCCTTAGTCCTAGCTATTCATACTTCACTTCTCCCTTGTAAAATGGTGACTAGATCGAAATAGTTGGTGAAAGGTTATTAATCACTGTCTTTTGAGATATGTGTTGTGTTTTGTTTTTGATATTCCAGCCACTTACCCAACTTAACGGAACAAAATGCAAGAGATGTGGAATCTATGAGGAAGACACACTTAAATATGACACATTTGACGAATGGGAGCTTTGTCCTTCTGATTTCTCAGCTGAAGGTAGATACACACACGTCAAGGAGAAAGAATTCGATGCTACTTTCCTCTGCCACGGATGCTCACAAGTCGGAGCTGGTGAGTAACCATTCATCTTGCACTTAAGATCATTCGTGAATAAAACTCCCCCATGCGTCTCTATGTTCCGTTCTAGCTTCATAGTTGAATTGTGTTCTCGAGACGGGATAAATGTGATTGGGAATATCATATGAGCGTTTTTGCAGGTACGAATAAAGAATCTGGCTCTGAGAAGGAAGAAGAAAGGCGCGGAATGCATCCTGCAATCGTGGTACTGATTGTAGTACTTGTGTTAGGTGTAGTTGCGGTGGGACTTATAGTAGGTTATAAGTATTGGAGGAAGAAGAAACGGCAGCAAGAGCAGGCCCGGTTTCTTAAACTGTTCGAAGACGGTGACGAAAACGAGGACGAACTTGGCCTTGAAGATACCCTATGAAGCTTAAGGTCAGTGTGGCCTAGTAACTGAGTTATTTTGTAACTCAATGTCCCCTTTATGTACATACACAGCTTGATCTCATAAACATTTTGTAGAGAGGAGAAAAAAGGAATCATAGTGATCAACATACAAAGTTACAAACATTTGCTTCATCCAAAGACAAAATCATTGCCGTTTTATCTTTTATCGTAAATGTTTGTCAACTAAAGAGGCTAAAAGAATTAGGCTGACGTTTCAATCGAGAGTTTTGTTTTTGAAATTCTTAGAACTTAAAATATTCTTATTTTTCAGAAGCTATTTTAGTAGAAACAAAGCACCAATAGTCGAAGCTTTATTCTTACAAGAGTCTACAAACGAGGACGCGTCTTGCTAAAACAAATTTGTAAAGATAACACAGTTTAAAAGCTGTCTAAAGACAAACCAACGAGTCAACAAAGAAAGCAAGTCAAGCATTGTCACGCAACGAGCCTGAAAATATTTAGGAGAAAGAAAGGGGAAGTAACAACATCAATTGGCACACAAGGCTACACTGAGCTTTAAGCTGTTGAGAGCAATGATCCATCAAGGTGACTCGCTGCCTTTCGGGGAAGAACGGTTAACCTCAGACTCATCATCAATGGGACTCCTGTCTTGACCATCAAGTCCAACAGGACTTTCTTCACCTCCCATAATGGGGCTCACAGAGTTCTTGCCATTACCATTCTCTTTTGGGCTACCTTCATAGTCTGACCCGTCTTGCCTTTCACGTTTTGGGCTTGCATCTATCACTCTTCGGTCTGGACTCATGCTTTGGTCTTTGCCTTTGGGAGATACGGATCGCTCCATTGCCTTAGGACTGCGTGATCTATCCTCCACGCTTCTCTCTCTTCTCACTGGCGATCGTGATCGACTGATGAAACAAAAGTGCATTAGTTAATAAGAAAAGACCTATAACTTAATGAAGAAATAGCATTGTGAACATCAAAACGTCTCTCTTATATCTTACTTGCATATATAACCAACAAAGCTGAGAATCATTTCTACAATGCCAATGAGAATAGTTGTCTAGTCCAGGCTAAAGGCTCAAAGCCTCAAACTAACACAAATTTAGACCACAAAGACTCATATCATTATAAACTTCTTACCAACAACATCATTATGTATGGTTAAGTTTTTGTCCTCTCTTATATTCTATACTTGCATTTATAAACCAAGCGAATCTCATAAGGGAAAATGATTATCTAATGCATGCTTTAAAAGCTCAAACTAAAACAAGTTTTCAGGAACCAAATTAACCACTGACCTGTAGCTACGACCTCGACTGTAACTACGGCTACGGCTTGGGCTTCTTCTGCGGCGAGGGGAGCGGGATTTAACTGGTGACCTGGAGTAGCTTCCACCCTGCCTGGATTATTACAATCCAAAAGAATATCAGAAGAAGTTTAAAGGAACTGTGCAAAAACAAGGAATTGAAATATTAAGTACCTGCCCTTCTTTGGACTAGGACTGTTTTTGCAGTTTCTCTCAATGTGTCCTCTTTCACCACAGCGGTAACATTTGTTCTTCCAGTCTCCTGCTGTGCAGTCTCGAGCCCAATGACCATCAACACCACAGTTAAAGCAGCGACCAGAACCAGGAGGTGGACCTCTACTACCATTGTCCCGAGAACCACGAGGTGCCTATCATAAAATTCAAGATTTTTGCAGCGCATCAGTAATTTACATCAAACCAATGGAGAAACACAGTAATATAGAGACAAAAACAACTAACCCCTCTCGAAGCCTCCACAGTGATGCGACTTCCATCAAAGTCTCGTCCATCTAAGTAATATCTTGCGTCATCAGCATCACGAGGATCGCTAAATTCCTGTTCTCAAAATGTGAGGGCCAAAAGATGGATGCACAAAATATAAATGTGCACGAGCATGACTAACTTGAAGAATCATCAAACCCTTAGATAAAGGTGACAGGTATTAGTATACTTACAACAAAGGCATAATCGCGCTTCATATCAACATCTCGCAATCTGTGGAAATTGTTGCCAGAAAATCAAGGCCATCATTACTTAAAGGTACTTCCAAACACCATTTTTGAGATTCAAGGCCATTTCCCCTATAAACATGCAAAAAAGAATCTACAAACAAAATCGCCGATGCACTCTCTATACACCTGGCGAGAATTCCCACCAAGTCCACCCACTCATCAAACATCTCCAGGTTAGGCAAACCCCCAGAAACCTTCAACAAGATCATTCAAGTTAAAAAATAAAAACAAACTAAACCTAGATCCATAATTTACCCCCACATAGATGAAAGTACCAATGCAAAGTTATAAGTCCCAAGACAAAGAAAAGAGTAAATTATCCCTTTTGATTCTGGTGTTAACTTTGGATACACATCCACTGCGAATATCAAACACAATCATTCCAGATTCATACCAAAGAAGACAAAATTCAAACAATTAATCTCCCCGAGACACAAAAAACAAAACTAGGTCAATCAAGGGGGCAAAGTTGATTAGTTACCTTCCGTATCTGCTAAAAAGACGCTCAAGGTCTCTGGTACGAGTTCGAGATGACAAGCGGCCAACATAGAGGCGAGTGTTTCCATAGCGATCATCAAAGCGAGGCATTATCAAGCTGCAAATTTTATAGAACCAATCTATCAAGCGCATATATAATATCGCATGTAAATCTCCAAAATGAAGATAGGAAATCTAAGGAAAACATTCAGCGGAGAATCAAGAAACAGAATGAAACAAGATGATTAAGAGAGCGAAGAACAATAAATCTGGGGAAAAGGATCCAAATAATCACACAGAATCTACATACCTGGAGAGTGCAAATCGCTGTAACCCTAATAGTAATTTCGAAACGAAGGAAGTGAACCGCGGACAACACAGCTAATGTGTTGTACCCCTATCGTATAAATGCTGAAACCGACGAGACTCAACGGTAGCGATTGGTTGTGATCGTTTGAATCGACGGTTTAGATTTAACAGGCTAGACAAACGACGATGTTACCGATATAAAAAACATGCACACGTGACTAGAATATTGGGCTTAAAATTACATTTATCAAGCCCATTAAAATGGATAATTTCTTTCCTTTTTTTGGCATCATATACGGCAAGAAGATTAATCGTTTTGACCACAAAAATAAATATGGCAAGATTAATCATAAAAGAAATAGGAAAGATATCAGACTTTAAGGGAAAGAAGAAGAAGATCTAGAAGACAGAGATGATGTCATCGAGAGATTTTAAAGAACATAAAAACATCAGTAATGGATTAGCTAAGAAAAGAAAATTTACAAATAGTTACATTTTTTTCGAAAGTAAAAAGAAAATAAAATATGACAAACCTTTATGTTACTTACTCTAATCTCGTTTTTTAAAAATTTATTTAAATATACAGAAATTAGATTGTAAATCAGCGTCTCTTATTCTTGCTTCCAATCAAGAGTGTGAAGTAGAAGAGAACCCTGAAGAAGAAACCCCAAGCGACAGTGATCCACAAGCAGTTCCATTTGCTAATCTCTGTGATCCCTTGCTGCTTCAGAATGTCGATTCCCGTCGTCACGCACGTCTCCGCCGTCACGTTAATCCCCAGAACGCCGCTCATGCTCTTCAACAGGCTGATTTTCACGGCGGCCGGAACTTGTCCCAGCGGCGAATTGTCGAACATCTGGATCCCTCTGACGAAGCATTTCGTCGGGTCTTCGAACTCGTTCTGCAGGACTCCTTCGTATGGGTATTTCACGAGCGAGAGGTAGTGGAACCAGATCCAGTAGAGAGGGATTCGATCTCGGGAGATGAAGAATCCGGAGAAGAGGAGGAAATAGGCGAGGATCGCTACAACCACCGTGAATCCGATCATCACGTGCGAGACTACTCCTGATAGGAACGTCACGAATGAGCTTCCGGCCCAAAACGCTGCGAGGATCGTCAAGAAGAAGAAGAAGAATCCCTCGGAATCTCCGGCGAGACCAACGGCCCAGAAAGTCGTGGCGGCGAAGCTAGCGGATAAGATGATTAGAGCTGGGATCGAGATGATTGTGTGAGCAAGGACGTATGATGATCGCCGGTAAGCGTTGTAAGCAGTTTCTCTCATGAATATGTAGCGTTCCTGTAGAAAGACTGGTATTGCTTCTGCACAGGTGTAGAACGTTGTAGACATGGCGAATGCGAAGAACCCTAAGCGTTCTTGTATACCTCTCGGGGAATTGTCTAGTTTCCAGAATATTGTGGCTAGGATGATTCCGGTGATTAGAACAGCTCCTAGACGGATTCCGAAAAGCTCAGGTTGTCTTCTTGAGTTTAGCATAGATCGTTTGCCAATTACAAGAATTTCAGTCCAGAACGGGTTTGCAAATGTTTGAAATGAGGATTTCAGGTTTGCTGCTCCTGAGACTAGTTTCCCCCTCGAGATACTTGCGTTGATTGCGTCTTTGAGAGACACATTGGTGTTTCTTCTGCTCTGTCTTGAGCTTTGCTTTGCCCTCCATTGCTTGTGGAACTCGACTAGAGTTTTTGTTCCTTGTGGCGAATCTTCAAGCTCGCGGATAAGATCGAGCGCGAACTCCGTCTTGTTCTCGTTTTCAGGGATTGGGTGACCGTATTCTGAGAAGAATCTAGGGATATGTGTTGGGGAGCCACTGTAAACTGTGTTTCCCCTAGAAAGGAAGATTAACCTATCAAGCAAGCCCAAGATTCTGTAACTCGGCTGATGTATCGACATGATGACTATGCTGCCACTCTGTGCGACTCTCTGAAGCACTTTGACAACCATGTAGGCACTTGTGGAGTCGAGGCCTGAGGTTGGCTCATCGAGAAAGAGGATGATCGGGTCATGGATTATATCGATTCCAATTGAGACCCGTCTCCTTTCTCCTCCAGACACACCTCTGTGTCCCTCATCACCAATCACGGTTTTGGCTGCGTTCCTTAGACCGAGCTGGTCAATCAGAGCTTGAACCCGAGCCTTCTTCTTCTTCTTAGATAACGAGCTTGGAAGCCTGAACTCAGCTGAAAACATCAGAGTTTCTTCCACGGTGAGCATCGGGAAGAGGAGATCGTCTTGCATCACATAAGCCGATATGACTTTATGCAGGCTGGATTCAAGAACTTCCCCGTTTAAGGTGATAGCACCGCGTAGGCTCTCTTTTGAAATCCGGTTGGCTAATGCGTCGATAAGCGTTGATTTCCCTGACCCGCTTGCTCCAAGAACGGCCATCATCTCTCCTTCCCTGGCTTCACCAGAGATACCATTCAGCAGCACCTTGGTATTCATATCCATGTCATTACCATCAGAAGCAGAAAAACAGGGAATTGGATTGAACTTCTTCTGGATCTTCACGCTGTAAGTCAAGTCTTTGAAGGAAAGAACGAACGGAGAAGAAGAAGACAGGGAATAAGACGGAACCGAGGACCAGAAATTGGAGGCAACCGCAACATCCAAAGCCCGACTATGGCCATTCTGCTCATCTTCCACACTCATGAGAAGCTCCGCAAGTGTGATAGACACTTTTGGTGTGTTCCTTTGACATCTCTGAAGATCCACTGATTTCTGGTCATTGTAAAACAGAGGAAGGTCATCGCCGTTTACAACCCGTCTGGCCGGAGATAATTTACCGAGCAAACCAGACATCACGTGAAATATCGTCTGGTTAAAAACCTTTTGACCTCTCAGCTAATGTGTCTAAAGTTTTTTACCCACAAAATAGTTTTGATAGAAATGAGACTTTTATAGGATGTTTGGATGGAATAAATGAGATAGAAACTTGTCAATTTGTTTGGTGATCTCTAAATATCTAACTTTGGGTTTTGTAGCTTTTGATTCATACACACACGTAGCCTTTTTTGTGTATGGGTGTATGTATATGAATGAAGTTAACGAGTAGGTGAGGAGTTGGGCAAATCCATTCACAGTTTTCCATATATGTATATGCATACGTCTCTTTCTTGGGGCTTAAGGTACTTTGTGAAAAAACCTATGTTAAGTGTTTTTGTTCCGATTTTTTTCTTCATAATATTGCGTGTCTATTTCATCCTGTACTTGGTTTATACGGATTCTACGGAATTGTTCTAAGAAAAAAGAATGGTAAATTCATGCATGTGTACAAGGTATATTGTCCTGACAGTAAAGACGATAGTAACATTTTTCTGCCATTCTTCTTGTATTTATCTATATATGTCACGAGTTTTCTATATTCAATCACAGGCTCGAAAGACACTGTTTTTCGGTGTGGACAATGTTTGACTGATGAAGAAGATGGTTTGGTTTTTAGCTTTAGTGAATTTTGTTACCTTCGTAAAGTAGTAACTAAATGAATAAAAGAGAAACTAAAACCTGAAATGAAATTTTATTTACAAATTTCTATCACTATCAAATCATTTATAAACTGGAATTCTTTTAACATTTAGTGTAGCGGTGTATTTGCAATTGGTTAATCAAAAGATACTCTCATAATTAGGATTTTGGCATGGTATCATATTAGATTAACGAAAGGCATGCCATTAGGCGTAATGAAACTAATGGCGTGTAATCTTTCAAGTATTTTTGATTACTCATTCATGTGTGAGTGAAGCCTTCAAGCAAAAACAAAAAAAAACGTATAAGGTGAATGGATATGGATTTGTACGGAGGACTGGTGTAACAAAAAGGAAATGATGAATGTGAAAATTGTGGCATCAAAACGTGGAGACGTTCAGCTTCTAGTTTTATGTTGTAGAGCTACACACGAAAACCCAACAAAAATCGTCACTGGGAATATGTAATAGAAAGTCTAACGTGACGAGTTAGATACATAATTAGGCATATGGAAGTTTGGTGTGGCTGTTATATCCGTTTTCTTGATTATTTTACTCTCATTAGCCCATTCTTACAAGAAATCTCACAAGTTAATAGAAAACTATAAATATAATAACATCCATCGTGTTAATCTATACGAGGCTTGTCTCTATCAACTTGAGCGAACGAAACGCGTATTTTATGGAATGTTCACTTAAATAGAGATATTAATGAGTTAAGAATAAAGCTGTTTAGTCTAGTGAGACTTTTTCTTTGAAAAGTTTGCTTTGAGTTTTTGTGCTTGGCAGAGGATATTTTGCTGCATATAAAAATATAGCAACTCTTATAATTATCCGGAAATAATATATTAGAAAACACTCTGAGAAGGTTTATAAATTCAAAGGAAATTGTTTCTTATGTGTGTATATGTGTTAATGTAAAGTTTGAACATCTTTTCAAATGGGTTTATGAAACTTTGCTTGCGCAGATGGATGTTACCAACCAAAATTGAATGTTGAAAATGTATCATAATTGAATTTGAACTTAATTTATGCTTCATTGGTGTGTTAAAGACTACTTTGAAACAGGTGCTGTGCCTAATTACTAAAGTTATTTATACCTCCCTCCTTGCTGAGTGATGATATATTTGGAGTATGGAGACGAATCAAAGTTTTAAAGGCTACCGGGAACATTCGATTCATCGACCCAATTTAAGGTATAACGGACCTCTATTAAGCCATTCTGTTATTAAGCCTATTGTATAAAGGCCTCGAGGAGTGTTTTTAAATCAAACACAAATTATGTTAATTAATCCCGTTACCCAAAACAAAAGTTCCAAAAATTGTATAGAATAATCTGTAAAGTAAGTAAGTAATGAACTAACTTAATTATCACATTTTCATCATATAAGTAGAGTAAGTAATGGACTAACTTAATTACATTACTAAAAAAGATTCACATTTAAAAAACAAAGTAAATCACATACAGAAATCGTTGGAATTTTTTTTTGTCAAAAACATATATTTCTCTGACTAAAAAATATATAAGGAAAAGGGAAAATTTGAGAGCGAACTATTGCAATATGGCGCATCAAATAATCGCCGTGTAACTACCATCGCTCTTATTTCCTCTTCTTCTTCTTCTCAAACGGTTGAATCTGTCCAGATCCAAACCTTTTTCCCGGCAATTCTGAGATCTCATTTACCGGCGACGAAGCTCTATTCGGAGACAATGAAGCAGCTTCACAAGCAAATGAGCTCGAAGCGCGACGAGGAGACGATTCCCATGAGCCAATCCAGTCCTTACTCTCCCAAGGCCTTAAAGCATCCCAGATCCCTTCCCAGATCGCTCCACTACCTCTTCCGTGAACAGCGTCTCCTCTTCATCCTCGTCGGGATCTTGATCGGATCCACTTTCTTCATCCTCCAGCCTTCTCTCTCCCGTTTAGGCGCCGCCGAATCCACCTCCCTCATCACCAGATCTGTTTCCACCGCCGTCGTCGATAATTATTCGCCTTCTAAAATGAGTTTTAATTACGGCGGAGGTAAAACCGGTCGGGTTCCCGTCGGTATTGGACGGCGTAGACTGAGGATCGTGGTGACCGGTGGAGCTGGATTCGTCGGTAGCCATCTCGTCGATAAGCTTATCGGGAGGGGAGATGAAGTGATTGTGATCGATAACTTCTTCACGGGTAGGAAGGATAATTTGGTTCATCTGTTCTCGAATCCGAGGTTTGAGCTTATTCGACACGATGTGGTTGAGCCAATCCTCCTCGAGGTGGATCAGATTTACCATTTAGCTTGCCCAGCTTCACCTGTTCATTACAAGTATAATCCAGTGAAGACTATCATATCCTTTTGATTACTATTATCGTTTTTCTGCTATGGATCGTGATTTGCTTCCTAAATGCCACTTCTGATTGCAAATCCACCGTTTCAATTTAGGCATCATTAGGTTTCTGTTCACCATTATTAGTTTCAATCACACAGTTTTTTTTCGGTTGCACGTAGAATCTCTTGCAATTATTATATGATCTTTGGTGATGAAATGCGTCCATTGGGACAATGAGTTTTTATTCTGATGAAGATAGTGGTTGATCCTTAACGATGGTTTTACAAGACAAATGTAATGGGCACGCTCAATATGTTGGGTCTTGCAAAGAGAGTTGGGGCAAGGTTTCTGCTCACCAGCACAAGTGAAGTATATGGAGATCCTCTTGAACATCCACAGAAGGAGACGTATTGGGGAAACGTGAACCCGATCGGTGAGTTGGAATCTTCTGTATTTGCTCCTGAGTTCATTAGATATGTAAACGAGAGGTTGGTCATTCATTACTGATATCTTTTTATAGGTGAGAGGAGTTGCTATGACGAAGGAAAGCGTACTGCAGAAACACTAGCCATGGATTATCACCGAGGTGCAGGTGTGGAGGTAACAATCTAATAATCATCCCATGGATTGTATATTGCTATCTCTTAGCTATCTTAATTGAGAAATTATACATTTTGCAACTCACACTCATTCACACATGGAATTTTGTAGTTTCCAAATCAGCTTGTTGCTGTTTATCAAGATGTTTACATTTGATGATGTTGCTTCTTCTTTTTTTGTTTGTTTGTTGGAATGTTTAGAACTGATGACTGTTCTGTCCGTATCAAGGATATATGAGTCGTCTCTAACTACTTTTTCAAATTTCAGGTTAGAATTGCTCGTATTTTCAACACGTATGGACCCCGAATGTGCCTTGATGATGGGCGTGTTGTTAGTAACTTTGTTGCCCAGGTTTATCTCTTTCATCAACTCTTCATCGCTAAAGCCTTTTTTAAAAACAGAGTCTCACAGAACTATGTTTTATATCTACGCAGACCATCCGCAAACACCCAATGACTGTTTATGGTGATGGAAAACAAACTCGAAGCTTTCAGTATGTTTCTGACTTGGTATGTAAAACAACCTCTGTTTCAGTCCATTCTGCTGTTTGATTGATTTCTCCAAGCGGTGTCAAAGACTATATGGCCTTGCTATATAACAAGATCTCACTATCTAGGTGGAGGGACTTGTAGCGTTAATGGAAAACGATCACGTAGGACCTTTCAATCTTGGTAACCCAGGAGAATTCACAATGCTTGAGCTTGCAGAGGTGTGTTTTACTTTTACGTCTTCCTTTTTTTTCCCACACAAATAGAGAAATGAATTCAAATGGGAAGATTTAGCTCTAGTCAATCGGTTTTTCGGTGCGGTTCAGTTTTGGTTTGAAGAATTTGAGTTTGTTTCGGATTTTATGCTAGAAACTTGATCATAATTAACTCAGCTTGGGATCATCCTGAACCGGGAACTTTGTGTGCAGGTGGTGAAGGAGGTGATTGACCCGAGCGCGACCATTGAGTTTCGACCGAACACAGCGGATGATCCTCACAAGAGGAAACCGGACATAAGCAAAGCAAAGGAACTACTGAACTGGGAACCAAAGATCTCTTTGCGAGAGGGTCTGCCTCGTATGGTTAGTGACTTCCGTAACCGAATCTTGAACGAAGACGAAGGCAAAGGTCTCTAAGTCACAAATATTAGTATTATATCCCTTCTTCTGCAATGATTGATATATGTATAGTCTCTTTTGCAAGAGCTCTGCTACGTCTTTTTTGTTCCTTCTTCTTCTGCTCTTTTTTTTCTTGTTTCTTTGTTTTTATCTGTTCTTTCACCAAGACTCAATCAAATTTACCAACTATTAGCTAATATTCTTTTTTTTTTTTTGTCTTAAATGGATTTTTGCTATTAGTGCCCCATTGGGCTCGATTTTAGTGGAAGAAGAGTAAAATTTTCTCTCGGTTCATACAAAGATAAGCCTTTGTACCCTTCACATTTGTATATCTGTATTGGCATATTCGCTCAGTTCATACAAAGTTACAAAACATTAGGTTTTTGGAATGTTTTTAAAAGACATCTGATGGACTCGGTTGTTTGTTTCCATTTGTTGTGTTTCAGTGACATTTAGTATTCTAAACAAAAACTTTCTAATTTCTGTTTCGTGTTTGCATTTTTGTTATTATAAAAAATAGAATAGAAAAATATTTCATATTTTATAAATTCTGAAACAAAGAAAACTCTAATATAAATGCAAATGCATAAAACTAGTTTTAAAATTAATGGAGGCATTTGCAAATGTAGAGAGGAATTATCTGCAAATGGTAGCTGATTGAGCTACAAAAATAACGGGTGTAGGCATTTTTGTTTCCACTTTGGGTGTGTTTGTTCGATAGAGTTGATTCAGTCTGTTAGAATTTGAAATATATAAGAAATCAGAGATCGCTTCAATAAATATTTCTATATTCATAACTCCTTCTACCTAGTTTAAAGTAAAAACTTGCAACTAAAGTCTTCCCTCTATAAAATACTTTAGTTGCAAGTTCCATGTCTACTTGCAACTAAAGTCTTCCCTCTACTTTGGATATATTCCATACCTAGTTTTTGATCACCTTTTCCACTTCTGAACAAAGACTGATCGGTCGAATTCAATAAGCAAACATATGGAATATATATATATATATCCAAAGGAGAATAAATGTAATGTAGCACATATGTAGCACATAAGTCTCTGCTGGTACTCACAAACTGAACAACAACATAATTATGTGTTTAGTCTCATCGCATGCAACAGGAACTGAAACAATATCCAACACTGATCGAGAGTGGAAGTATCAGGTGCAGCGGTTGATTCATTGGATCGAATGAGAGGTGAAAGCAGGAAAGCAACTCTGTTGCTATAGTAGACATGGAGTCTGGTTACTTAACAGTCGAGTTCTTCAGGAAACTCCCACAAGATTCTGAAAAAAGGCGGGAGCCCGACACATTCGATTTTCGACAGATACAACGATGCCTATCTCAGAAGAATCGGTTCCAATATGTGTTGTCTTACGTGAATATGGTCTGCGCCGGGTTGAGAAACTCCATACCAAAATCCATCGTTTACTGTCAAGTCCGTGAAGCAAAACGAAGCCTCCTTGATTACTTCTTCACTGAGCTTGGCCAGAAAAGAGGTAAAAAATAACCATGTACAAACTAAACTACATAATACTGAGACAGTATACATATATGATGATGATGATGATTAAGAATCTATAAAAAAAGGGGTTTTGTGTTGAAATTAGATGAGCAAATTGTCGAAATTGTTGGATGAGGATTCTGCGGTTCAGCAGCGAAGGACTTCGATTGCAAAGAGGCTAGAATTGTACACAAGTGCTCAAACGGATATTGAAGCAGTTGCTTGGTCCAAGTAAGAGAATTCTTTCTTTTTCTCTTATTTTTCTTCTTTAGGATACGTTTCTTTCGCTTCTCTTTTTCCATTGTTTCTTTTTTTTTTTATTCGGTGCTCGGATTCATGTTGCTTCTGAATAAGTTCTGTAAGACGAATAGATCAGTATCTCTTAAGGCAGAAAAATTATCGTTTATCTAACTACAATATGAGCTACATCCCCGTTTTGTTGTATGACTCTGAAATTATCTAAAATAATCCTGTCTTGTCATACTAATTCAAATAGTTTTGAATTATGGTTCGATAAATTAGTACGTTTAAATAACGATAAGCGATAGTGATAGTTTAGAATAGCCGAAAGTTAGTTGTCTAAGATTAAAGCGCAGTAATATGGATTTAACTTGTATTACACGTCATTTTTTTGTATGTTGCGTTTGTCCCTACATTTGAGAAAAAACATCACCAACAAAATTGCATCTAATATAAAACATTTTTTGCAAGAGTATAGAAAAGAACAGAGCATAAATAATGTAGAATCAGCACAAATCGATTTTTTTCTCAGGATAATTTATATATCACCAATTCCATATCTAGATCAATCAAATCTCACAAAAAAAAGATATTAAGAATCAAATCTCATAAGGATAATTCCTTGTTTCTCTCCTAGCAACTTATCACCACGATTCCATATCTTCTCTACATTCCACTAAAAATCTAAAATCTCTTCGATCTAAGAGTCTTTTTATAAAGCCCACTAGTTGTTAGACATTAAAGTCCAACTTAAGATAAACGAATTATTATATTATATTTGGGCTTGCCAAAACAAAAAACAGATAGAGTTCGATAACTGGGCCAATAGTTGGATTTGTTCACCAAATAAATACATGGAAACCAAATGACTCAAGTCCGTTGAATTTGTTGGATTTGTGGGAGCTTGGGCTAAATGGTGCCACAAACAAAGGTTAATTGTTTGATCAGAAATCATAAATGTATTTGAGTCTGCTCAGTCTTGACCTTGCTGTGAATGGTTCAATTATCATTTTCCGAATGACAGACATTTCTGCTTTAAGAGGAAAGTTAAATTTAGAGATTGAAACCCTAAATCAAGTTTTTAAAAAATAATGAAAAGAAGAAGCAAATATTGGATCTTTGAGAATCATAAATTGAATATTTGTTTAAAAAATAGGGAGAGCAGGAGTCTTTTGAAGAAAAAAATAACCATGTACAAATAGTGCACAACTTGATCCAAATTTCTTTTATCGTTATCAGTTGTTTTCATTTTCTATCTCTAAGAAAAAGCTAGTAATTGAAGTTTTTTGAAGAAAAAAAGATTCACCAAAATGACAATTTCTCGTTCTGACCTAAAAAAGTAGAGGGAACAAAATTAGCCTCCTTCGCATGTAGTGAATTCATTGAGTTGGGTTTCTTAAATTTTGTATATTTTGTTTTGTTTTAAACTTTCTTTCTACAAAATGTAATGGTAATTAAATCTGGGATTACGTTTACCAAACAAATCAAACAAATAAAAAAAATTATGATCACGATGAGTATTATATGTAGTAACAATTGGTTTGTTTGGTACGTCCTTTCTTGATCCTGAGCTGCCAAGGCCGGCCCAGGACATAGGCCAAGTAGGCCATGGTTTAAAGCCCAAATCAGTTTTAGCAAATTTTGTTTTAGAATTTTTATTTTCTTTTTTTTTTATTTTGAAAAAATTAAACACATTTAAAAAAAAATGGAGTAGAGCCTCTAAAGCCTCTGATAAGTTTGGGTCGGCTCTATGAGCTGCATTAATTAGTTCTCAAGTGTTTAGGTCAAGTTTTTGAATAACTTTTTTCTTTGGACAAAATTTATTGTTTTTGAGTAACTTATATATATACAATTAGTGTTATAGACTGTGCAGTGTGCCTAATTGAGATCTAGCTAATAATTGGTAACTATATATGTTTCTTGTTTTATTTACCAATTATTAGCTAATATACTTGTTCTTTTTCGTTGTCTTAAATGGATTTTGCTATTAGTGCCCCATTGGGCTCAATTTTAGTGGAAGAAGAGTAAATTTCTCTCTCGGTTAACACAAAGATTAGCCTTTGTACCCTTCACATTATATCTGTATTGGGCATACTCCCTCGGTTCATACAAAGTTACAAAACATTAGGTTTTTGGAATGTTAAAAGGCATCTGATGGACTCGGTTGTTTGTTTCCGTTTGTTGTTTTTCAATAACATTTAGCATTTTAAACAAAAACTATTTGTTAAAGCTTTCTAATTTTTGTTTCGTGTTTGTTTCATTTTAAAAAAAATGAAATAAAGAAAATTCGAATATAAATGCAGATGCATAAAATTAGTTTTTTTGAATTAATCGAGGCATTTATATAGAATGCAAATGTAGAGAGGAATTTACAGCAAATGGCAGAGCTGATTGAGCTACAAAAATGAGCGGTAGGCATTTTTGTTTCCACTTTAGGTGTTTGTTCGATAGTGTTGATTCCAGTCTGTTAGAACTTGAGATAAAAGGAATCAGAGATCGCTTTAATTAATTTGCTGTATTCATTCTCCTTCTACCTAGTTAAAATAAAAACTTGTAATTAAAGTCTTCCCTTCTATACCCTTTATATAATCTTTTCAACTTCTGAACAAAGACTGATCGGTCGAATTCAATAAGCAAACATATGAATATATCCAAGGAAGAATAAATGTAATGTAGCACATAAATAGCCAATAGTGACATCTCAACTTCTAATGTGTTTTATGTGGACAATACAAGAGCGTTTCTACCATCAACTCTCTGTTACTCTGACCTTACACTTTACACGCTCATGTGACAAACTGACGCATTATCAATTTACTCTCACACATACACATATATACATATATGTAACGTATAAATGATTGTTTCTATATATATTAATGAGCTTTATTTCTGCAAAGCTTCTATCTAAAAAAAAAAGGTTAAGAAAGCACGAAAGGCAAATATGTTTTGCGCATCGCAAGCATCGACAGCTACGGCTAACCACGACGAACGGAGTGTCCCGGCACGAGCCATAGACCGTCACAACCCGATTATCAAAGATGGTCGGAGATCTTTCACGGCACCGTGCTCTTCCGGCGACGACTACATTGCACCGTACCGTCAGCTCTCTAAAATGACGAGAATACCCGCATCACCCTCCTCCGGAGATGGGAAGATTATTCAGGTGGATAAAGGAAGGAGGAGCAACTCAGGGTCGTTGTTGAAGCTAATAAGCAGTGATAATATTAGCTTAGCGAGGAAGAGTTTTGGCTGCGTAGCTGGACCCGCGTGTGACGTTACCAAAACCCCTCCTGGTTCTACTAGGTATCTTCTTGGACCCGAACCGCCGGTTTCTTTATCCGGGTCAAATGGTAAGGAGACGGCTATAACGGAGGAAGGTGAAGCTTCTGGGCCAAAAAGAGGCTCTGGTAGTGCCGTCGAAGAGAAGGTGAAGAAGACTTCTTCTGGTTCAGACCAGGCAAGTCTAGCAAAGTTTGTCGTTTACCGTGCAATGAGTGGCATGAATATATATATATATATATAAAAAAAGAGAGATTTGATTAGGCTGTATTTTTTATTTTTTTTTGGAATGGTGCAGGTGGTTGTTCTTAGAGTGTCTCTTCACTGTCACTGCAGAGGCTGTGAAGGCAAAGTCAAGAAACATCTATCCAGAATGCAAGGTAAATCTTCTTTTATTACCTTTAGAGAAACTCTAGATTTTTACGGTATTTATGAGTTTATCCTAGATTTTCTTATTTAGAGAAACACATACCTATTTACTTAAGGGAGCCTTGTCTTTTAGTATAAGAGATCTGATTACCAAACTATATATATATATATATATATATATAGTATTAGCATGTTTTGCCAAAACACATTTTTGGTTTCATGTTAATTTTGTTTGGTATAGAAGACTAGGGTGGAGAACACTGTACTCGATCCAAACATTTCGGCTATCCATGTACCCAATCTGATTATTTCACTAAAATTACTTTCTTATTTATATTTGACTAAAAATCTGAAAAAGGGTATTTATTTTCTGATAAAATAGTGTTTTCTTATAAAAAAAATATTAAAAACATGAAAATATTATCCTGAACATATTATATACTATAAGTATTTAATGTGACTATTTATAAACAGGATATTTTGTGTTTGGTACGGGATACTCCAAATTTTCCATTATTATCCGTGATTATCCAGCACTATATGTGGCTATCCAGCATTATCCAGGATTCGGATCTGTTTGAGGATAGATAACAAATCGGTCTAGATATCTTGTGTATCGCCGGTTTATGAAAAAAGAAATTTAGTTTTTTCTTAATCGTTCATTTCAATTCGCGTACTGGCCAATTTGGTTTAGGGTAAGAGGGATTTGATTCATTCAAATTTACTTTCTTGATTTACCTCTATAGCTTGAAACAGCAGTTTCGTCTAGCACAAGGTTGAGAAATTGGTAAATGTGCATCCAAATAGAACCGGTTTATGTACCATTGTTAAATGGGTTTAAGCTAATTATAATGGGTTTTTGGCAATAAGCAGGTGTGACATCCTTCAGCATAGATTTTGCTTCAAAGAAGGTTACTGTGACTGGAGACATCACTCCTTTGGAAGTATTGGGCTGCCTCTCAAAGGTCAAAAATGCCCAATTCTGGACACCACCTCCTTCATCACTCCCAATGGCAAATCCGGAAAACTAAAAAAAATCACACACTTTTGTTTATTTGTTGTACTGATTTTCTCTGATTTAGTTTGAATCATATCAATGGTAAAAGGTTAAGACTTTCCCTATTCCATTCTCATTACTCATCAAGAAAGATCAAAAACTTTCAGGTAGATGATGATTGATGCTTTTTTTCAGGGACACATGCTTCTTTATTCATCACCTCATATGATGAAACTGTCATTACATATTGCATTTTCCTGTTTTTTTTTTTCTTTTTACTTCAAAGTATGTAATAATACATTATGTAACTTTCTAGAAGATTGCATCTACTACAAGCTCTGCTATGAGTTCATCTGTCAGCATTTCCTCAATATCTCTACCTATGATTTCAATGTCATCTTCCAAACTCAGCCACTGCAACCCCTTCTCCTCCACATCATCTTTGCTTGGTTTCTCTTCTTTTCTTGTGACCAAATCACGCAGAGTCTCTTGTATCCTGTTTGTATCCCATTTCGGGCAGGCCCTTTTGCGTTTAACCCAAGGGTGTGGATCCGAAAACTGCTTTAATATCTGGATAAGCTCTCTGCTGATCTGATCAAAAAGAAACTTCCTTTCTAACCGAGTCGAAGCTTTCACGCTGGAGTACTTCTTCTCCAGATCCTCAAACAAGGATGGATCTACAGGTGTTTCCATGGCATTCTTTTGGTCTGCGTCACTTAACCTGGAGTTGGCTAGGAGATCAACTAAGTATAGGGACTTCCAGTCTTCTTCTATGACCTCCTGGCTGATCACAGTCTCATCAGTTATTGTTGATGACTCCTGATCTGTGTCTTCATCACTTGAAACAAGCATGCCACCCTCATTGTAAGCAGCTGACTCTAGTTTGAGGAGCTGAAGTTGCATCCTGAGTCCTGGAACGTAGAGATAACGGTTAAAACGACAAACATTTATAGTTACCCACAGATGTTCGATCTACCACAATAAGACAAGCACAAATTGTCAACTGATGGTTCCACTTGCACCTTAAACAATGCTTATCTAAGAAAGAATCTATAGACTAACAAGCACTGATTGACTACCTTGGATATCGGCGACAACACTCTCAAAGCATTCAGAATTCGATGAAACATCATCATCGAAAGAAGCTTCTAGAACTGAGACCGGACTTGGTTGATCTCCTTCCTTTGAGCTTTCACGAGACTGTGGTTCAGGAACCGAAGAATGATTTACATCCTCAGTTGACATCCTTGAGATATCCTAGAACATCAGTAAATAGTTAGATATCTGTCATAGCAACATGTATTTACTTGTTTAGGGATTGAAATGTAAACTGAATGCTTTAGAGCACAGACCCATGATCTTGAAACATTATGCTCACTTACGGGGTCAGTTAACGTGGTGACAGTTGACAAATCTGGAGCTTCAGAAGACATTGCCGTCTTGATATCATCAGAAGCTGAACTATCCTCAGTGTCCGAATTTGCATCTACTGAGAAACTGCAACGTGCTTCTTTTTCAGAAGGAGAGTGCTTCTCTTTTTGACTCCCGTCGTTCATATAAAGGAATTTGGTTAAACTTGGGCTGATGTTGTTGACCTCTGGCGAACTATTGTATGATGAATGAGATTTATTGCTACCAGGTCTAGATTTGCTTGACAAGAAAGACTGGGACTCCCCGTGATGAGAAGAATTTCCCTTGACCAATCCATCTCGATTGATCAACTCCTTAGGAAGCACTATAGTGTAACCATAGGTGCTTTCTTGGTTCATGATGGTTTTGGATTTTGAATAATTTCTTGAGCAGGATCCTTTCCAACCATCTTTACTGCTGATTCCTACCGGTTCTGGCAATTCAGACCACTGAACATTGCTCTCACATCGTTTACGAATCCCTTCTTCGAAAACGAGTCCATTAAAACTTGCTGGTCTTGCCTCCCTATCTGAAGTTGCAAGCATTTCAGCTAATGTGCCGCTTCTACTAATTTCTATCTCTTGCTCATACTTGTGTGTCAGCCTCCATCTCTCTGACAGTCTCCTCTTGGCTTCCCTACTCACAGATGATGTTGCTGACTTGGAAGGTAAAGATCGATGGTAGTTCTTACGGTTAAAGGCGGTTCTTGTTCTTGAAGTTACTGGCACTAGCTCTGATTCACTTGCAGAATCACTCCCTGATGAGCTTTCATCCCCTGCATATCCTCTGAATCCTGAAGTCTCAAAACTCGTCTTCCTTTGCCTAGACATTATTTTGGACATTTCTCCAGAATCTCTTGAACTCTGTCTTGAAAGGCGGACATCTTCATTACTTTTTTTCCTGCCGTGATTGCTGGTGCATGGAAGCCTACGATCTGCTCTGAACTCATCGGAAGAAGAGCTTGGCGATGCAAAAGTTCTACCAGCATAACGTGGCTCACCAAGGTTAGGTTTCAGAACAACAATCTTGGTTGGCTGCAACTCACTTCTCTTTGCCAGTTCCTCATTTGGTAAGTCAAGTGTGTCATAAGAAACATGCCTACTATGAGAACGGCTAGAACAAGCACCACCACCACCATGCTGATGCGGCGACCTATGACTCTTTCGTAACGAGTCCCTCTCCACTCTCTGAGTTTTCAGAATATCCACATGCCTCTGGCTGTTTGGATACTTGAGAGATGGCGCTTGACCGGAGTGTGGCTTGTGAGGTGTGCTTTGAAGATCATGCAAATGTTTTGTGAATAATGAATCTGGATGCTGAAGAAACTTCAACAAGAGGTCCTTGTTAGAGTCTAGAGCCTCAAGCGCATCATTAAACTCTTTAGAATGACGAAGTTTCTCATCCGTCGATAACCGCTTAGCCTCCATGAACTTCTGCCGTATAAAAGCCATCTCAGCCTGGGTGAGATTAGCAGCATTCACCCTTCCCTGAAGGCATAAGCTTCTGTTGCTCTCTGCCATCTTTGCATCCAAAACTTCGAAAACGTCTTTAAACTTTTGCTCACCCTTTGAGCTCCTTTGAAGAGATTTATAGCCATCATAAGAACTGCCTCCACCACTCCTGCCTTGCTGATTCTCCACAGGCTTGTGTTGTCTATGGGGAGAACTCTGAGGTGGCAAGACATCGAGACCCATCAATCTGGCTATAATGCTTGGTGATCTCCTTTTAGATTCTTTTTGCTTCGACATTTCTTGTGCCAACAAACTTTTCATCGGTAATTCAGTGCTTTGATGAGCAAAATCTTGCTGCAGCTACAATATGAGCAAGAAGTCACTTTCAAACAACAACTGGAACCAAAGATTTCCTCTCTCAGAAGGTTATATATAATAAAGAGTAAATCATACCTTGTTTTCCCTTAGAGCTTCACAATGGCAAGAACTAAATTCAGAAGATGACCTTGGAGACTTGAGTTTCTGACTCTGTTTCTTTCCTGAAAAACAAAATGAATCCACTAATGAGAATAAGATGACATTTTAGTGTTCTCAATTGATAAAGCAATCGACTTTACAACGGGAGAAACTTAGAAAAAAGAAAAATGGGGAGACAAAAAGAGTAATTTGTAGCACAAAATGTGGTGGAAGAACATAAAACATAATAAAGCAGAGGAGGTTAAGAGCACTCATTACATGTAAATTAAAATCATAACCAATGTTGAAAAAAAAAGATGAATTTAACAAACAAACCAAATCATGACAGTAGCCAACAAACATTTCCGTAAGTTTCTCTTCTTTACTTTATTATAAAAGGCAAAGCAGCTATCGCATCTTCTCTACCCACTGCTTTAACTGTAGTTTTCCACAAGAAACAAATTAGCGTGTTTTTGTTTTTATCTTCAGAGCTTAATAACGTTTTCTTTTTTTTTTATAAAAAAAAATATAGATTTCTGAAATTTTCCAGTTTAATAAACACAAAAATCGCAGGAGTATTAGCCAATTAGGGTACTGATGACCTCCACCTACGAGATTCTTGAACAAACCGAAGAAGGAAACAAAATAGTTCAGTAAATGCTACTAGCTCAGAAAATCTCAGAAGCTTTACTAAATTATTTATATTCATAGAAAAATATCAACGAGCAAAAACATTAAATAAAATTTATTTTCTGTAGATTAAGCTAAGACAAACTGTGCTAGAAGTTACAACCAAAATCAAATCGGCGTTTTCACGTTAACAAAAACAGAAACGGAAACCAAAAAAAAAAAGGGAAACGGAAACAGAGGGAGAGAGAGAGGAGAAAGAGAAAATGTAACCTTGACGAGAATGGGGCACTGATGAAGCTACTCGATCTCGGGAACTGAGGTCGCCGAATCGAAATCTGTTCATCTTTCACTCACTCGGAATCGGAGGAGAAAGTCTCCGGGGAAAACATTTGACGGAGCTTGGTGGGAAGAAACACGAAGAGATGATGAATCTAGATCGAGGAATTTTCAGGGGCAGAGAAAATCAGAGGAAGAGTCCGAGAAATCGTACTCGTGATGAGGAATGAGAATAAGAAGATGCACTCGATTCTCTCAGATTGGAGAGAGATCGAAGGAATCTAAGAAGAAAGCGAATGATTAGACAAAGAAAGTGAGTGAGAGAAATAGAGAAAGAAAGATAACCAGAGGAAGAAGAAGAGGAAGAGGAAGAAGACGACGGAGAAAAGAAGAGGCTTCGGAGTTTATTTGAAAGTTCAAAATGTTAAAATGAAAAGAAAAGGAAAAAAAAAAGTTTAAAAAAAAGAAAAGAAAATAGATAAAAATAAAAGAAAGAGGGGAAGTGTGAATGGTGCGTGTTTGGTACTATACTTACTACTGAGTTCTGTGCATCCGTGAATTGCTGCCACTTGTCTCTCCTCTTCCATTTTGGTTTTCTTCTTTGGTCGCTTTTTTATTTTATTTTATTTTATTTTATTTGGGGTTTAATACTAACAATCAACAAATTGGAATACTTTTCTTTCGTAGCAAATATTTTAGAGTTCCTTAAAAAACAAAAATTAGGTCCTGAATCAGTGAATCTTGATAGCTTGCTTAGGTTAGAGCAAACGATATTTTCATGATGTCTAGTTGTTTACGTGAATCAATTGACGTATATAATTAACGAATTCTTGATTCTCAAACTTTGATTGCATATGTAACTTTGATTGATATGTATGTCTATATGATCAAAATTTCAGTACCTGTTAGAGGTGGGCTTACCACCCCCAATTAGCTAGGCCCATTTTGGATAATAAAGCCCACAGATTAAGTTAACAAAACCCAGCCAAAGTCAACGAGTCCGGTCAGCATGGTCCCACCAAATCGTCATTATTGCGGCGCCGATCTACAGTGCACGGAGCCAAGCAGAACCTGACACGTGTAAGGGTAATTCGTCTACAGTGACCTAAGCACGTAAGTAGCTCGGCGAAGGACCATCATCACACGCCGCGGAGTGGTTCGGATGTGCGGCTCCAGACACCATATCCGCGAGATGCGCTGAAACTGCCACGTCGTCCCGATTTGGAGGAAACTCGTCTCCCAACTTTCGCTATAAATACTCCTCATAGATCATTTAGGAGGGGATCCGAAAAATTTATTACTTTCTTTCTCTGCTTTAATACACTTGTCTCTCTACCGAGCTCGCGGTAACAATATTAAAAGCACCGAACTGGACTCTTTCCAGACTTAGTTCGAAACACTAAATATTCTCTTTACAAACTCTTCTCACGGCCCCGAGCTGGCATTCTCTTTTCCTTCCCGAACTGAATCACTTATCATACGAAAATCTCACCCCAAAATCATCTCTAATCATTATCATCACCTGTTAAACATACTTAGTGATCTCTAGGATCAACAGTACCCTCCTAATAATATATTTATTTGATATTCTAGGACCAATTTTTTTTGTTAAGTTTGACAAATTGTTTAAGATGGTTTGATCACTCTTTGATACAAACGATCGATTTTGTTGTTCTCTAATATGTGAATTTAATATTGCAGAATTATCTATTGTACCTTTCTACAAGAATTGAAAATGTTTCGAACTTATGTATTTTGGTGAAAGCTCAACTGAAATTGTGATCTCTACTTTAATCAAGAATCCCTAACCGAAGTCCATCTAGAAGTCTTAGATTAGGTTAGGCAGGGTTGAAATCTATTCAACTATATGTTCCTTTACCTTCCTAAATCTATGCTCATTTTTTAAAAAATTGTATTGAAAGTGACAAATTATAAATTTGTAAATCCTTAATTAAGGAATTAGTTCTTGAGCTCACCAAATATATATGACTAGATAGAAAACGACAGAAATTCTTACAGCCTTCGCTTTCACTGTAATTAATCTGACACATTGCTCAAAATAGGTCTAATGTACGTCTATGAAACATTTTCCCCCAAAACAAACAGTTAACTTAAGTTCGCATTAATTTTACGGTTAGATTATGGATAAAACTACTACATATCTTGATGATGCATGTTTCAAGTTAGTACTCCATTTACTATGCTCACATTAATTACGTTTACTAGTAATGAAGAACTGACATTGACCATATCTCTCAGAAAATAATAATTTTTCCGTTTCACAAAGAGTGTCGTTTTAAGATTTTATTTTTGTTTCACAAAGAGTGTCGTTTTATATTTTCAATGCAAAATTTTAAATTATATTTCAATTTTAACCTATTAATTTAATATATTTATTAGATAAAAACAAATGATTTAATGTATTAATAAGAGACAAAATTGTATTTTTAATAATTTTTCTAATATGTGAAAAATGTCAGAATGACACGGAGTACTATAAACATTAGATCCTATTACCTATATATATATACAGTATATACACAGTAAGAAAATATAAATAAATTCAAAATCGAAGGGAAAAGAACAAAACTAAAAGTAAATTAAATGAATCTTTAACTTTGGAATTTTTCAAAATTTCTCCCTTGCGATGTTTTTTATTTTGACGTTGATGTATCCAGAGATAATAGATCACCCTATATGCCTACATACATAATCATTACTTTTATGATTGTCATTTTTACAATCAGTACTGAAACAAGAATGAAATTACGTCTTCGTACTCTAATACATGCATTTATTTATTTATTTGAAAAATGGACCTCTGGGGACAAAACTAAACGTTTTCAAACTTTGTATAAAAGTGAATATTTCCACTTCCACAGGAAACAAAAAAACAGTGAATGTTTCCAAAGCTACAAGAAACGATTGCGTGTGCTGAAATTTTCGAGGAATGGGTTTATTTTTGTTTAACAAAAATAAACAAAAACAGGTATTCTACTACTCTTCGACGTCTTCGTGAAAAGTGGCCCACCTCTATTTTATAAGGTCGTTATATATTCTTTAAAAATATGAAATTTAGGATCCGATATATATAATGTCCTTCGATTAAGCAGCTTTCATGTGATAAAAAAATGAATGAACATTGTTATAGAAAAACGTTGTTGACAAAAACCAGTACATGTAGTACAGCTGCATGGAAAAGCCAAGATTCTTGTTCGCAACTAGTACTCGTAAGTCAATAAAGTATTAAATAAACAACCATTTTAAAGCTGAATACAAAAACAATAAACATGTAAGTTGCAATAATTAATCATGCAAAAGTTTTCAGGCGTAGAAAAAATATCAGTAACAAAAGACAAAATTAAAGAAGGGTAAAGCAGATTCCTTGACCTATGTTTTCATAAAAACTATTATAACGGCCGGTTACTTACTCGTTCGTTCCTATTGTAGGTGTAATTTTAAATGTTGTATACTTGTATTATATACGAAAAAAAAATCTATAAACGTAAAACTCTGTAAAATTGTTTTAAGAAAAACCAAAGTACAAAGAAACAAAAGAAATAAGATTATAAGGAATTTGAAGTTTGGATGAGATTCACATTAGAAAATGGGAAAATTATAGTATTTTCCAATTGCGTTTACTATTTACTGTAAGCCTGTATGAATTATGTATACTGTATATATATATATATATTATTTTTGTTTTGTCCATGTTCACAGAAATTGTCTTTGCTTATTAATGTGTAATGTCAAACGTCGTTCTCCATGAAATAACAGGACGAACATAATCTATTCTTTTCAAACACTCAGAATCTTCTTAGATTTTATCGTGTGTAACTATTATGCATAAATCCATATTAAGGCATGAGACAAAATTACGTGAATCTGCGATCTATAAATTCACCAAAGGAAATCATTTATGTTATACACTTTAAAATTCCGATTTCTCAATTGCTTAATTCCGATTTCTCAATTGCTTAATTCACTTTCCAAACGGTTATATTTCTTTGATTTTTTTCTAAACTCTAAACCTAAATCCATTTCACATCAAAAGTTTTTTCTCCTGTCATCAAAATGGTGTATAGTGAACGATTTCAAGATCGGTTATTCCTCATTATATGAATGTTGGTCGTAGTTAGTGTGTGGTTTATTGATGTTGTTATGATAATAATTGAAGAATCCGAATGCATCCCATAATATAAAATAGTATTAAACAAGTATAGATATGTCGGTTTAGTAAAAATCAAGCTAATATAATTTTGAGAGTGGAAGTGAACCAAACTTTTGTGAAAAAGTTGAAGAAAAAGCGGAGAAGAAAAGACGACAATGTGATTGATTACTTGTTCAGCTTGAACACTCTTTTACACCCAACTCTCTTATTTTCACCATAAGTTAATTTGAATTCTCAATATTTTCCATTTAACTAGAAAAGACTAAAAGATATAAGAGTTTTTGTTTTGTTTTGGATAGTCGAAGTAGATCATCTGTTGGAAACCAGACTGATCTTCGAAGTATGTTTAAACCGGTATTTTTTTTTTTTTTCATTTAAGGCGCATACAATAACTAATTGAGAAGCAAATTTAAGTAATTTAAAAGGCAACCATGGTATCAATTCGTAGACATATCTTTCACCACTTTAAGTCTCTAACTCAACCATCGGATAATATCACTTGTTGTAGGATAAATAATATATATCCCAAGAAGAATATTGCCATAGTTCTTAAATCATTTTTATGCTGTTTAACCATTTTTGTTAATTTTGTTTGGTTGCGATAAATCATAAATAACGATTGAGTTAGTCATTTGAAGTTTTGAATAAGAAGGAAATGACGAGGAGAGGAATCGGAGTCTATACGACACAAGGAAGAGTAGGTCAAATACACATTTATAACCTATGATCAAATATTACGCATTTTGTTTGGCTTCTAGGTGACAAGTGACAACGACTCTATTGACCCAAACTTAAAGAAAATCAAAATCCCACACTTAAAGTTTAAATATTTCCAAAACTATTTATATAACATATGAGCAGCTGCCAACAACGTCTGAATTTACTCATAAAGTACGCTTTAACAATTTTTAAATTTGTTTTTATAGAAAAAACCCATTAAATAAGAGTATGAAGAATTCAAATACGTAATCTATAATGTAAGTATATAGTAAGAACTTTAAATATAGCCATTTTTTAAGTAGAAAGTAAATGATTATTATAAAGTTTTACATTTTAATTACCCCATTTTATCAACAAGAATCTGAGCATGAATGGAATTTATTTTTATCTTTGTTTGGTAGAGACTGTGAGACTGTAAAAAGTTGGATCTATGCACTCGAAAAGTTATATAGATTAGCGATTTGTATCCAAACCACAATAATAAATATATAAACGATTATAAGATATCAATTTTGTTATATTAATCGATGTGTTTTAGAAACACAAATTTTTATTGGAAATAGCTTAATATTTTCTGTAAGAAATCTCTCTAGATGCAAACTAGAAATAAATAAATAACCAAAATTTGTTTAGGTTAATTTTGGTTTTGACCAATCTTGAATCAAACTAACTGGATAAACTTCAAAATAAATAACCATTCCGGCAATACCTAATTTTTTTTTTTCTTCATTTATCTTCTCGGAACTCGAGTAGCACAAGGTAGTACAATAATGAGTGTGGGTGCGTTAATATTGATAAAGTTATGAATATGAGACTAAAATGACAGGGATTGATCCTACTTGCATCATACGGACACGTAAGCTGGTTTTTCAAGAAACTGTGAATCGGAGAACGAAAAAATGTGTTTAGAGAGCGAGAGAGACATGAAGATATTGCAATCAGATTCTAAATCTGCTGCGGTTGGGACCATGAAGACAATCATATCCCAAAAGAATCTACTGTCTGCTCGGTTATTGGTTAACCGGCATTTCAGTCTTGGTTTAGAGAACCTAACAAAACCAGTCATTCGACTACTTTCCATATCGATTAATGGGATTGTGGGGACCTTACCGAGGAAAAAAAAATCAAGCAAGAACATGGGCAAATGAACTTAGCATTTATAATCTTCACCTACAGAAGAAGAAGATTATCGTTTGTGATTGGCAAAAGTGTGGTCCAGTTATGACAACTTCATGGAGGAAGAGATCTCTATCAAACTTATGACTCCATCATGAATCACAACTTGCTCTTGGAGTTTGATTTCCTGATGATTATCCACAACTAATAAATGCAAGCAAAATACAAGCAGGTATATGTGCTTTGTGCATTTGGCTACTTGAATAAGCAGTGAGCATGTTACTGTGACCCATAATTGACATCATCCCGACCTCTCTTCTCCACTCAATTGGAATATTTGAGCGTTCCAAATGAAATGAAATGACTAATCTTTATCTCATGAAACATGTGTGCCATTAGCTCAAGCAGTCAATACATTGTATCAAAATGGATATGCTTTGCTTTTCTGGTATAGAGGAAATGACAATAAAAAGATGTCAAACCTCGGATTGGAATATCAACCTCAACTTAAAACGCTTTACTTTTCTGGTAAGACAATCATAGAACATGCAAAGAGTTCGTCAACGAGCCGCCGTTAATACCCTTCTCTACAATCTTTAGTTCCCCAAACCGATGGTGACCATTAAACCCGAAGGAGTATAACAAATAGAATCCATGAGTCTTTCAGTGAAACTCTCACAAGAGACGGCAAGTGTATTAAAACAAACATCTGTGTCCACAACATCATCCAAAGCAATGTCTTAAGTTGAGTGAATAATATAGTGAAAATATATACCTAAGCATCTAGACCATGTGCACATGGGATTGTGGTTCAAATCCATCATTAAATCAAATCAAGTGTCCAACTTATGACCTTTATATCAACCAATTAAAGAGACATCTAAGACGATCAAGAAAGAGTAAGCCTACCCCATACAATCATCAAGATCACATTTTTTTTTTCCAAGTCTACTAAGCATCATCATCTTTCCCATTCAACTCTCTGATCCAGCCATCTCACGCTGCGTCTTCTCTGAGAAAAGCTTTGTCGCTAACATATTATCCATGAAATACTCCCTGAAAGGATGATTCTCGGGGACAAGTTTCCGAAACTTGTCGAATTGTTCCTCTGCCTTGTCTTTCTTCTTCATCAATGTGTATAAGATTCCTTGACAGAGATAAGGCCTGAAATCTCTTGGTTCCTCTTTCGCAAGCTCTTGATAAAGCTTCAATGCTTCACTGTGCCTCCCTTCAATGACCCGAATTTGAGCCACGAGCAGCTTGAAATCCCGGAAATCGTTATCATTCTTCTCTTGTTTGCACCTCAACATTGCTTCCTCGATTCTCTTCTCCAACTCTTTCAAATCAAGACCTGCATCGGAATAAGCCATAAGCAGGCCGTGATAAGCTTCAAGGCTTCGAGGATCTTTAGCCAGAATCTCTTCAAATCCAGTTTTGGCTGAATCTAAATCTCCACTGTAAGTAAAGATGTTGGCTTTCAAAACTGGCCATTCCGATTCCTCGGGTTCCAGTTTTATCAGACGATCGATCACTTCTACTGCTTCTGTAAGCTTTCGAGATTTGATCTTTACCTCCATCAAGGAACGAAGAGAGTCGACATCAGGAGGGTGAGTCGCCAAATGCTCTTCAAGCGCTCTCTCTTCTTCTTCCAAGGTAACGTTTTCGTTGCTTTCCACTGACGGCGGAGGCGCGACGGGAGCTGCAATCGCCGGCGATTTGAGCTGGAGATTGACGAGGAGCAGCGCCGCGGCGGTTGTTAGAGTGATGCATGTGGATTTTATGAGACGGAAAGGTGTGGATTTTTGGAGATGCGTTCTGGAGTCTTGAAATTTGGAAGACGAAGCTTTGATTGAAGCGCATTTGACAGATGAAATTGGTCGTATTGAGGAAATTGGGATTCTCCGGAACGATGAAGAGGTGTGAGTGAAGGAAAGGTGGAATGGCTGGTGATGGAGCTGTAACTTTCCCAGAGATTCCATGATTGCGTAAAGAGATAAACCTTAAAAAAACCCTACACACTGAACAAAACAGATATTAGGTGAGGAAGACGATCAAGCCTGCGATTCGGAATATGCTCTTTTTGCTTGCTTATACAAATTGGGCCTCAAGCTGCATTTGAGTCTGAGGCCTCTAATTTAACCGATCCAAAATCGAATAATGGTTTCGGTTCGATTAGACCGGGTAAGGTGTTTTGATCCCTTGGCCGTGTTCAATCGAAATATCATGAAGAAGCACACTTTGAAAGATGACACATTGTAACATTGACTTTGAGTTGTAAGTAACTGTAATAAAACCCGCCCATGGAAACAACCGTGGTCGTGGTCGGAAAACGAACCCAAGATAACAACAACATACAAGAAAATCAGGCACAAGCCTTTTCTCTCTTTCTTTTTCTTCATTTCTATACATGAAAATATGTAATACAAAAAAAAAAAAAAAAAAAAAACACAGCAAAAGTGAAGAAAACCAGAAACTGCAGATTTATCCAAACATTTGTCTGCTGTTTCTTCTTTTTAGATCTTGTGATTGTATAAAAATGGATGAGGGCTCGGGTTAAAGGGAATACTCTGTTCCCGGCTTCTCGTGAAGAATGGATGGTTCAGTGCTTCTCTTGCCTTGAGCCTCTCCGTTGGATCATAGCGAAGCAGCCCTTGTAATAAATCTATCAGATCGCCTGCCGAGTGATCCACGTGCTGCATTATCAGATTCTGCAAATAGCAACAAAAATAGAAGATGATGTTGTTACTTTCTATATAGCAGATAAGCAAATGTCAAGTGGTCCAAAGTTCGTCACTTAGAGATTACCGGTAAGCGAGGAAGTTTCCATACTGCTTTTAAGCTGTCTCTTGATGTCGCACCTTCAGGCCAATCTAGCTTTGCACCTCGCCTGAAGTATTTCTCCGAGCGCCGGCTGCAAGAACCGTTTTGATTTTGATATAAGAAATTACAATTCAATTCATTTTCCGCTGGTATCTGAGATGCTGCTAATAGGATAATCTTGTTGTTCTTACTCGGCTCTGAGCACCATATGAGGAGGTAATGGGCCTAGGACCCTTTCCATCATGGCCAAATGCTCCAAGTTTTCGTGTGTTTGGAAAAGCGCCTCTCCCTGCAAGTTTTGATCCAGAAGAAACATCTCTTGAGACACGGTGTGAGGAAACCCATTGCAACGAAAATATGTAAAGAGAAAGTTCCTCACCGAACAAAGTTCAACAAGTATGCAACCAATACTCCACAGATCGCATGGATAGTTCCATCCAACTCCTGCGATAACATCCCAAAAATGTTTAATACAGATATAGATGGCTTTACACAAATATTATTATCTAGAAAGATGTGAAAAAGTCATAAATGTTTACCTAAGATTACTTCTGGTGCGCGGTAATGCCTTGTGGATACGATGTAGTTATGGTCTTGATGTTCAAACGTTGTACTTCCAAAATCGATGAGCTTGATGGCACTTGACTTGGGAAGATTCTTGAAGTATGACCCATCTTTCGTGGGTCGTGATAAAAACTAGATTTTCATGACCACAAAGGAAAAAGTCAACCAACTTGAGTAATACAAGTTCCTTCAAGATGGATATCATGCAAGCCATGAACCTAAATGTGTCCAGGTTGGAGATGATTGATTACTAACCTTGTAATCAGGTATTTTTATATATTCAGAAGATACCAGAAGAATGTTCTCCGGCTTCAAATCCGTGTGAATCAGCCGTAAATCGTGCATATCTGTTAGAATAGAATGAACCAGGTCTGAGTACATTGGTAAACAAATATAGCTGCCTGAGCATTTTAGATTCCATGCAATTTGCAAAATTAAAAGAGAAACATGAACAAATAACTTTTGAAGCCTAAATCTTGTATTAAAAAAAAAACATAAAATTAAATTGATTTATAGCACTGATGGACTACTATATAGAACTATAGAAGAATGGGTCAAGAATATTCCACACACATGCTACAGACTCCAAAAGTTGTCTGCCAAGCTCCCGAACAAGGTCAATGGGAAATGAACGGTAGCTGTTTTTGCGGAGAAAATCATATAAGCTTGGCCCAAGCTTCTCAAATACCTGTTGAAACCATTTAAACCCATCCGCAAGTTCTTTTTAACTCACATATTATTTGGGCATGAAGGAGATTGTTTCTTCCCCTCAAAACTTATCAAATAAAGGTAACAGTACTTACAATACAAATATGATTACGATAGTCAAACCAATTCCGTATTTGCACACAACTGCAAGGAATTGAAAAGCTTATACCAAATGCAAATTTAGCACTAACCACAAAAATTAGTAAGAGGAAAGAGATGTTCTTACCGAGAACCACCAACATCATGCCTTGTAAGCCTTTGCAACACGTCAATTTCTATCATGGCAGCTTCACGATACTTGTTTATGGACCGTATAATTTTGATTGCCACGACTTCTTTGCTTTTATTATCAAAACATTCCAATACTTGTCCAAATGTACCTGCCAGAATACAATCCAATGGATGATGAAATTAACAATCTTCTCCAAAAGATAATGGGCAACCAAAAGAACAAAAATGAAACCCTACTCTGTCTTAAAACATGCATATTGAACAGAAACATTAAAGCAAAAAAATTAACAAACCTTCACCCATTTTGCTGAGAATTTGATCTGCACGCACACAACAGAACAGGCATGTCAGTGTAACGTACTTAACCTCCAGGATAAAGTCGGTGAAACAGATAAGATGTCGAAAGACTCTGTAACATAAGACTCACATCGTGGAGTCAAAGTATCTCCAACAACAAAGACATAATGGCCGTCTTTATCATCTGGTCTCCAAGGAGGAGAGCCCTGACGAGGAAGGCCATTATAAAACATGTTTGGGTAAACCAAATTGGGAACCACTCCACTCGCAAACTCTGGACCATAGTACAACGGAGGATGAAATACCTGAACAAACAAAAAAAAACTCATTAGCTCAAGCACAAAATTTCAAAGTAGTCAACATAGTTCGCAGTATCGTCAAGATCGAAAAGACAGACAATGAGTAAGATCAAATTGCAGAAGGATCGTCTGGGCTGTGGAAAAACTACAAAAGAATAGCTTTTGATATATGTGGACAATTCGTTACCGTGGGTGGAGGAGGAGGAGGAGGAAGAAGAGGCGCAGCATCCCATGTCAATCGCGGCCGTTTCCTCGGCCTCTTATCGACATTCCTATGAGGGAATTCAACATTCCTCTGAGTTTCCAAGATCATCGCGATCGAGCTAGCTTTCTCACGATGCACACTGCTTTGCATAAAGGGTTAAAATTGCGAATCCAGAGCTGAAAAATCAAAGACCCCAGATATGAACAGAGAGGAAAGGGATAATCGTCGATGAATTCGAATCCAAATAGGAGATAAGATTCTGAAATTCGAAAACCCTAATTATCTTCAATTGGGGGATCTATCTCAATAGATAACTAAAAAAGGTGGGAAAAGTAACAGAAATAATTAAAAAAAAAGAGCATAAAGTAATGCAGCTCAGAAAACTAACCGTAAATCTCTCTCACGGATTAAATTTTGGATATGGCCGAAAATTGATTGCGGGAATTCAGATCGGAGATACGAAAATGCTATCTTTCACTTAATTGTAATTGGAGGAAAAAAAAAATCTCAGGAGAAAATATTTAACAGCGAAAGAGACTGGAATGAATAATAGAGAGAGAAAACCGAAAAGAGGAGAGCGAACCAGAGGAAGGAGACGGCAAAGGAGAGAGAGAGACTTTTCGAAGTTTTTAATGGGCTTTCTAATAAGGCCTTTTCATTAAATATCTGTCGACTAAAAGAACGGCATGAAGTCTAATATGTCCAAGAAAAAAAACAACGCGGCGTTTAATTACTAAACATGAAAGCAACACGATGTGTTTTCCAAAGTCTCTCAACAATATGGAGGAGAGTCGAAGAAAGAAAAGTCTGAAGCAGCCATGGAGATAGCCGCCACTGCCACTGTCTCCGTCGCGCCGCAATCGCGCCGATTGTGGAATGTATTTTCCAAAAAGCTAGTAACTTCTTCTTCTTCTTTTCTTCGGTTTGGTTTCTTCGAGAGAAAGTATTGCTTTGGGAGCTCTAGGCTTCGCGTGTCTGCGGCCTCCATGGACGCCGTCACTGCCGAGAAAATTTCGCCGGCGGCGAGCTTCGTCGACAAGAGAGAAAACGGAGTTCTTCATTTCGTGAAGTACCATGGCCTCGGCAATGACTTCATTTTGGTACATTTGTTCTCCGTTGATATCGCAATACAGAAAATGAATGAAATTGACCGAAATGTTTCAAAAAAGAAACCTTTTTCAAAAATTGGGTTTTTGTAGGTGGATAACAGAGACTCATCGGAACCTAAAATCACTCAAGAGCAGGCGGCGAAGCTGTGTGATCGAAACTTTGGTGTTGGTGCCGATGGAGTGATCTTTGCAATGCCAGGAGTCAACGGTACCGATTACACCATGAGGATATTCAATTCAGATGGTAGTGAACCAGAGGTGTGGCTTCGTTTAAGCGGCTACTTCGATGATGATGAATGCTTTTGATACGTTTTGAGTGAGTTGTTGTTGCGCTTGCAAGTCATTAGCATTCGATTTTGATCTTGTAGATGTGTGGCAATGGAGTTCGATGCTTTGCCAGGTTCATTGCTGAGCTTGAGAACTTGCAGGGGAAACATAGGTATGAGAAACATCTGTTGAGAGCTCCGAATAGTCATGCTTGCTATGTAATCTCTTAAGTCTTTTTATTCGTTTTGCTAGTTTTACAATACATACCGGTGCTGGCCTAATTGTTCCAGAAATTCAAGATGACGGACAGGTAAATCATTCGATTTGATGTCTCGTGATTAAGTTTAGTCATATTTCATTATTATGATTGGTAAGGTAAAGCCTGGATTTTTATCTCTTATTTGCTCACAAGTCGTTTACTGCATTGTGATTGATATGGTTACAGGTTAAGGTTGACATGGGCACACCGATTCTTAAGGCAGAAGATGTGCCCACTAAGTTGAAAGGAAACAAAGGTGAAGCTGTTGTTCAGGGAGAGCTAGTTGTTGATGGAGTAAGCTGGAATGTGACGTGTGTTAGTATGGGCAATCCTCACTGTGTGACATTTGGTAAAAAGGGTGGACCGGTGCGTGTTTGCTTGCTTGACTTCAAATTTCTGTTATTCATCAACGCATGGAATTTCTCATCGTCTGTAATTTTCCCTTGTGTCAACCAGAATCTGAAAGTTGATGATTTGAACTTGCCAGAGATTGGTCCAAAGTTTGAGCATCATGAAATGTTCCCAGCTCGAACTAACACAGGTTAGTGGAGATCAGCTGCAAGATCTATCCAGATTCTCATGGGGAAACAATGATTCTTCTATATCATTTTTGGAATTTTATCTTTTATTTTACAATTTTTTGTGTTTTATCTGCAGAGTTTGTGGAAGTCTTATCACGTTCTCATTTGAAAATGCGTGTCTGGGAGCGCGGAGCAGGTCAGCTAATTCTTTAGTCGATTAAAAGCACTTAGCACTCCCTGATTCCTTAGATGCTTAAGCATACTTAAAAATGCAGGAGCAACTTTGGCCTGTGGAACTGGAGCTTGCGCTCTGGTCGTTGCAGCAGTTCTTGAAGGTCGAACCAACAGGGTAAGTTTGGAATTTCACAACTGTAAACCTGGATATCACTTTGCCAAATCGGTGATACTTTTCAGATTATGAAATGTTGAACTCGAGCTTGTTATATATGTTTTGTATTGATGATCATGGTGGAACAGAAATGCACGGTGGATCTACCTGGTGGACCATTGGAGATAGAGTGGAAAGAGGAAGACAACCATATCTACATGACGGGTCCTGCGGAACCTGTCTTCTACGGATCAGCGCTGCTCTAAATGGGCCTTCACGGTCAATGACTTGTCTCTCACAATTGTTGTGCTTTTAGGGTCTCTGTATCTAATTTTAACCGTGCTAAGCTCTTATCTGCCCCACCTAGATTTTGTGCTTCATGAATTTTTTCCTTATGTTGTTTATCATTTTCAGAGTTAAATTTCAAACCTTTTGAATATTTGCGTTTATGTTCATACATTTAAATCCTCTTTGTCTACATAGATCGCAACTTTTTAGGCTGTTTTACTATGGTTAGGACCCATAATATATCCTAAATATGTAACACAACTCTCATTTGTCTCGTGGGGGCTTGCACTAACATCAATTTACCCTAACACGCAACAAAGATAATGTCAACGTGGTTTTACAGCTTGGAAGAAGCCACTGTCCAAGTCACTTCCAGGAAGTAAAGACAAAGGCGAGGGTACAGGAGATGATGACGATGATGTTTTGGCGTAGAGTAATGTCGTTGTTTCTGAGAACATATCGGTTTCTCGCACAGATTGGCAAATACTTTCGAGTTCCTTGACCACTTTTGACATCAATGGTCTCGTCTCTGGTCTATCCTCACAACACCATAACGCCAACTCCGCCAACTTGGTCACTTTATCTGGCGAACTTTGTCCCATCCGACTATCCACCACTGAGAGAATCGTTCCACATTCATTTGCCATCCTCACCTGTATCACATTATGTATCACATTTGCTTTATTGAGGAAATATAGACCTCAGAGATCTAGTTAGCTCCATTATCATGTTTGCGTGGGAGCTCGGTCAAGAAAAGTACCTCGCGGAGAATATGAGTACCCTCAAAGAATGGGTGCATTCCAGTCAAGAGCTCAAGCAACACTACTCCAAAGCTGTACACGTCGCTCTTCACCGTCAATTGCTGAGTCATGAAGTACTCTGGATCCAGATATCCCTGTGCATATATATATTGTTTTTTCAAAACCCACCATAGATCCAAATATCGACTAGTGTGCCAGTTTGAGGACTCACCGGTGTTCCTCTCACTACGGTTGATACATGGGCCTGCTCACAATCTCCTTCCTTAAAAGTAGGAGCCAACAGTGACAGTCCAAAATCAGCAACTCTAGCATGAAGCTGAGAGTCCAAGAGAATGTTGCTGGTTTTGATATCGCGGTGAATAACAGGCGGGTCTGCGTCAGTGTGAAGGTAAAGGATCCCTTTAGCTGAACCCAAAGCCACTTGTGACCTCATGCTAAAGCTCAATGTTTCCGTAGCATTAGCTGCATAAAGCATTAGGCAAAACGTTGGAGACTTGTAACAAACATAAAGCTATTTTTTCAAATCTTGAAAATATAGCTTGGAGGAGAATATTTTCTTACCTGAAAGCCAATCACGCACATTACCATTAGGCATATACTCATATACCAGCATCTGTGCATGATCCAAATAAAATAGCTAGCTAGTCAGGGAAACAAAGCTAATTAAAAACTGCATATGACAAAAGGATATATATATACGTATACCTGTTCCCCGATGTCACTACAGTAGCCAAGGAGTGACACAAGGTTTCGGTGATGTAACCTCGAAAGCAGATCAATCTCATTCAGAAACTCTCTCTCGCTCTGCAGAGAAGTTTCTTCTCCTCGTTTGATGGCAACTACGGTTTTATTTGGCAAAATGCCTTTGTAGACCTTTCCATAGCTACCTCTACCAATCACTGTAGAACTATCAAAACCATCAGTTGCATCTGACAGTTCTACAAAACTGAACTTCTTCACACCTTCGATTTCCCTAGGTATTGCTCGGACTGGAAAGACATAACAAAAGAGTCCTTAGTTAGTTTCATGGTTAAAGGACAAAACAAGATGAATTACAGACATAAAGTTGCTTACAATAACGTTTTTGGGTGAGTGTCGTATGTGAGTTCTCACGACGTTTCCTAACGTAGAAAAGTGTTGCACTCACTGAAATAACAGTGGCAGCAGCGATAGAGCCTGCCACTATCATCACCCATTGAACCGTACTAATTTCACTCTCTCTAGGTAACAAATCAGCTGCATCCAAATATTGAAATATATATGTTATTGAAACGAACTATATGTCCTTTTTGTTGAAGATTAGGTGCAAAAAACTGTACCATATGGTCCTTGAAGAGGGAAGTCCAAGAGCTCATAGGGTCCAAAAAAGTCATTACGAACAAAACTCCATGACATAAACCTGTCCCTGATACGTATGACTTCGCTAACGTTAAATATTGTTTGGCCTTTGGGAATAAGCTTTAAGTACATCCTTAGACGCAGCTTGTTCTCATCAACAACTCTATCAATTGCTAGTTGATGAGTTTCCAGTTGGAGAGACGTGGTTAGATACTCCATGAATTGGTGTTTGATATATGGAGTGAAGAAAAAGAAGCTACGGCTCTTTAGCCTATAATCGATCGAAAGAGGCGCTGTACACAAGCAGATGCCTGGGGAAACTAGCACATTCTCATAGGGACATGATGATGACACATTACTGCATGGTGGATTTGAGTTTGTAGATGTTTGCTTTTTTGCACCGCAGATATATTCGAAGAGTTGTTTAACAATGGGGATGCTTGTACTCTTGCATATTGGGTTGCCACGAAGACTTTTGACACGAAAGGAAAAACAAACAAAAACAAGAGCTTTAGTAGATAGCAAAAAATAGTATAAACTAGAGAAAGATATGTAAATTGTTAACTGTTGGTTTTTCAAAGCTTTAGACTATAACTTCAAAGGTAAGAGAATGCAGTTTGGTCCAAAAATCTTAGTGTGCTTTAACTTGCTACGAAATAGGAACAAAGAAACTCACTATAAGACAACATTGTCCGGTGTTCTCAGGTTTCCTGTTGCATCAGTGAAGTTGTTGTTCCTGAGATCTCTGTGTATGCATCCAAAAGAAGTTTCAGCTTCTGTGAATGAAGTATGAAAACTAGAAAACTATGAAGTATTACAGAATAAGAACAAAAAAAAAATGGTTGTGTTCATACAATTGGAGCTTGTTATTCTTGAAAGACTTGTTCTCCCATATTTCTGTTGGGACAGAACCAGATAAACTATTGTTCTCAAGTGAACTGTTAAAATGACACAAAAATATTCTTACAAAGTACTCATAGATGATTGAAAACTGCAGAAAATAAGGTGAATAGGAAAGTTCAATACATTGATCAATGAATGTTTACATACAGTAATTGAAGAGAGCCCAACTCCGAGAAACTTGGTGGTATAGATCCAGTGAGGTTGTTATAAGATAGTTTACTGCAGAAAAAAAAAACAATGATTACGTATTTGAATTTATTTGAGTGAAGTGTTACTAGGAGTAAGATTTGGAAATGAGCATACATTGTTGTCATGTTATCAGAAAGCTTAGATTCTGGTATAGTGCCTGTGAGCTTGTTCCAACTTAGATCTCTGTATAAGAAAGTGAAGATTCAATAGAAGTGGTTAGTATTGTTCCCTAAACAAGGTTCAAGTGCTCAAAGACTTAGCAATTTTACACAAATACTAGACATAGACACTTACAGATAGCTAAGATTTTGTATCCTGCTTAAATCAGGAACTGATCCTTGCAGTCTACAGTTCCTTAAACTTCTGCAAAGTGAAAAACATGAGGGCCAAAGAATATTTCAGCGCACTATTTAGAGAAACACAAACCAATGGAAACTTATTGCAGAACTTACAATTTTACTAATCTAGAAAACGTTCCATAGGCCTCTGGAATCTCAGAACTGTCGAAATTGTTGTTATCCAGCTGACTGCATAAGCGGAATAAGAGCTTACAAGAGGAAAAAAAAAAAAGACTTATAGTTTCCAAGTCAGAGGGAAACAATGGGAGTATACAGTATGGTCAAGGATGGCAATCGAGCTAACTCTACAGGCAAAGTCCCAGTCAAGTTATTATTGTCCATTATCCTGCGAGATTTGTTCCATCAATATAAATACTGTCAAAGACAAAATCAAACAGAGAAAACAAACAAACAAAAAACTCACAGGTGAGCAAGGTTGGTCAATTTGGATAGCTCCACCGGAATTTCTCCACTTAACGTGTTATTGTTGAAATGGCTGAAGATCCAGTAGCCACACCGGTGAGTAAAGGATGACTGATATTTTTTTACTATGAGGAAAGATAATACTTACAGATGTTTTATGCTTGTCAAGTTTCCAAATGCAACTGGAACTGAGCCTGTTAAGTTGTTCTCATCAACTTGAAGCCTGTTTAGATTTCCAAGATTACCAAGTTCAGGAGGTAAACTACCCACGAATCTGTTCCCATTCAACAGTCTGTCCAAATAATGTAGCAAAGAGTCAATTGAAGAAACCCAAACTAAATTTGGAATGTGGCATGTGCTATTATATACCCTGTACAAAGCCTTCTTTAAAACTATCCCGGAAGTGAAACTAAACAAAAATATGAAAAACCAGAATAAGAAGGCTATAGAAAGTATATCATGTGAACCAACTTACAGGAGTCTCAAGGAAGAAATTTGACCTATCTCCAAAGGAATACGCCCAGTCAGGTTGTTCCACATCACATTACTTCAACAAGGTTACCCAAGAAGAGAAAAACAATAAAGGTCTTTAAGTAAGCAATAAGGCAACTAGAAGCCAATCAGATGAATATAATGAAACAGTTTATCAGACTCCGCATCTTACAGAATTTCAAGATACGATAACTGGTTAACTTCAGGAGCCAGCTCTCCAGATAAATTCAGCCTCATCAATTGTCTACATCAAAATATGTAAATGACAAGAGAATAAGTATATGGCAAATGCATAATATTGGCCGTATAAACCCTTGATAGAATGACGAAAAGATAAAACCAAAAAGAAGAAAAGACAAGTAGCAAATGGTAATAAAAGAAGGACATACAGCTCCTGGATGTGAAAATGACCATCATCATGTGAGCTACTGAAGCATGTTATGCCAGTCCAGTTTGAATTACATGGGTCACCCTTTGCCCAGCTGCTTAAATTTCTCATTGGATCAATAAGACTCCTTTTGATCTCCAATAAAGCATTTACTGCAAAATGGATGAAAAATGTTAGCAAATCTCTCGAAAGCAGTCTCCACGTTGTAGAATGACATATAAGATTTGGATCCCTGAAGAATGACCAATCAAGATGGTTACTATCAAACACTGAGAGGAAGACTACTGATGCAAATTGAGATAATGGTGGAAAAAAAATTGATCACCTTCTGAAGGATCTGTTCTTGAATCAGCTAAATGAAGCAGAAGGCAACAAAATGTCACCAGGAATACTGAACCTCGAAAAGCAAGAGAGATCATACTTTATTCTGTTGTAGAACAGATAAACATACATGGGGATCAGAGCTAGATGGATTCACATCTCATAAGAAAAAAAAATCTTGGTCAAGGCCAATCTTATAAGTTAATGATCAAGTCACCAGCAGAATATTAGCCAAGAAACACGTTTTTGGCAGAAGAATAAATTCATAAAAGAATCCTCGGAAATTTCTTCAACACCAAGAAAAAAGCAGAAGCGTTTTGGTCTTCAGGCATAGTTGCTGGAAGCAGAAACTTCATGGTGACAGTGATCGGACCAGTTAACAAAACATATCAGAAAACGACTATATGTAAGAAACTGTCAACAAGGTAATATTCTATATATTTACCAATGAAATGGAGGTTTGAAACTTTCTTATTACTTTTGACTTTCCCTGATGAACCTATAGCGGCTACGGAAGACATTGAACAGCAATAAAAAAGGCTCGATGGGAAAATCAAGCGGCTAATCCTAAGATAGCTTATAGTGCAGACTACACACACATATATAAATCACTGATACATACATATATATATATATATTAAATTCAACAATCTTCCAAGTTGTCAATTTTATAATCCTACAATTTCAGTTAAGACTTGTTGTCCACTTAGGCTGACCTGGTCTTAAGAATTTGGTGATTTCAGCTGCAAAGTTATCACTTATCACCCTTTCCCAATCTAGACCAAACCATATAACACGTACAGAACCAGAAGCATTTATTCCATGCTCTCATATGGCCAAGCCAATCCCAAAATACCTTATAATCCCCATATGTTTCTTTCCCAACTATGTAGATCAGTTGGATAGCTGTGCATGCAGCCATTCTTTTACACATGACTCCAACTATCAAAAGATAAAACCATCTTTAATTGTTGCATCACATGTGATACTGCCCTTCATATCTTCTTATCAATATCAACCCAAATCCATTTTGATTTTCATTGATCACCACTTTTCAGTTACTTAAGTATCCTGCACCTCCTGCAAGATGGGTGAGAAAATGTTAAACAAACTTGTAAAGGAAGGCAATCACCAAATACGTCATGTATGCCAACTATTTAAAATTATTAGCAGAAGAAAAGACTCTTCTTCACAGACTTGTCTTAACCGGAAATGGAAAATACGACGTTGCCCCCTTCTTTCTTTGTCGGAGGTCGGTTGACATTTTGAGTTGAGTACCGGCGTCGGCAGGATTCCGTGAAAGAAAGGCGGTCCAGGCATTCCCGTTTTCACGTCTTCATGTTCTTTTTTTTTTCTTTTTCTTCAAGTAGCCCACTGGCCCACTGGCCCATTTATCTCATTCAGGAATTACGTATTCGTATTGTGTTCAGTTTTGACTAAAATCATATACATCAGTAATATATATTCATTAATTAATATACACAGCTTACGGCGATGCTGACGTATATTTAATGCGGAGATCGAGCAAAAAATACATGCTTGTTCGAAGGGGGGGGGGAGAAGAACTAAATGTGGGTTATCTACGGGGTTATCTACAATCCAATTAAAAATCCATTGACTAACTCTTTATAGTCGAAAGTATAAACCATCATCTAAATCCGGTTTAGATACCGTCACGATTCCGATGACATGAACATGATGTGTATATGTATACCGTCACGATTCCATCACCATACATGCAGTGTACACTTCCTATACAAGTCTGTAGATTCCGTGTACAAAAAGTGTCTATGTGAAGAGTAGTTGTCAGATTTTGATTTTTGAGAATGCAATCCTTTGACTTTTAGTTTGACTTTCCTCATAGTAATCTCCACGTGCTCATTCATTTTCGATGCAAAGTGAATAAAAGCAAAAAGTAAAAAAAAAACTAACTAGTTTAGAAGCCAATATAAAAATGTGCAACTAATCATATTAAAATTGTCATAGTTGATATTTTGGACGCAATTGCAAGAGACTTGTTCCTTCTGTTTATCCAAAAAAGTACCTGTTAGCCGATTTATATTTAACATGTTGCCCCTTAGTCAAACCAGTAATGCTGCTTAATTTATTTGAATATGATGTTTAAACGACTTTTAGGGTCTAGTAATAAAAAGTCAAACTTTTCTTATTTTGCTTATATATAGCACAACATCCTCCCAATTCTTCATAACAAAGATACTCTCATAAGCCCCAAGTGCTTTTTCGTCTCACGTTTTCTAGGTAAACCAACCAAAACCTAAAATCTCTAGTTCGCTTTTTCGAGATACAACAACCCGAAAAAAAACATGAAGAGAGACAGGTCCGATTACGAAGAATCCATCAAGCATATAGACATAGTAAAAAGTCTAATGATGTTATCTCAAAGTTTCGTGGTAAAACAAATTGATGTAACGCAATCTACCGGAAGCAAAACCAATGATAACCGCTTCGAATGCAAAACGTGTAACCGGAAATTTGATTCTTTCCAAGCTCTCGGAGGTCATAGAGCCAGCCACAAGAAGCCTAAGCTGAGTGTTGATCATGAACAAATGAAGCATCCTAACATTGAGAATGATAAGCACAAGTGTTCTTTCTGTGGTCAAATGTTTGGGACAGGTCAAGCTCTAGGCGGTCACATGAGAAAGCACAGGGCGAGCATGATGACCGAACAATCGGGTATCTCTTCTGCGGTTTATACCAGACCGGTTTTGAATCGATGCAGTAGCAGCAAGAGGATTTTCAGCTTGGATTTGAATCTAACTCCATTGGAGAATGACATTGTATGTATCTTTGGGAAAAATTTAGTTCCACAAAATGATTTGAAGTTTGTAAATTAGTTTTTTTTTTGTGTTTGTGCGTTATCACTTAGGTTTGAAATTCTTTTTGTAATTTTATTGTAGTTTACATACATTCTTTTCATTCTTTCTGTCATGTATGTATACAAAAATTCATTATGTATTTCAATGCCAGCAACAATGAGTAATAAAATATTTGTAGTTAACTTTTTTTTTCATATTAAATCTGGACCATTTTCAAGTGTATATGAGCCTATGAGGAAGCCTTGAACGTATCCGATGAAGAGTGAAATAATTTTCCCTTTTGTCAGTTATGATTAATCATTCAAGAAACAGACTTCAGTTTTTTTTTTTTTTTTTGGGTTTAAGACTTTAAATATTTACGACTGAAACTTTTAATGTGGATTATATAATATAAAGTCGTACCAGTTTCACAGATGATCAAGTGGAAAGTGATTGGCGTGCGAGTGAGTGAGAATTTGTGACAAACTGATTTAGCATAACTAGAAAATATGTGTCGTTCACAAATCACATTATACCATTTAGGGGAAAGAGAGAAATTCAAAGAATACGTAGAAAACGCCATCTCGTCTAGAAAAGCATAGAAGATTTCCCTTTTTCTTTTCCTTTTCCAAAGGTTAAAGTATAACATGTTTCTCATCAGTAGCCATATTCTCTTCTCCTTTGATGGCGTCGTGGATCCGGTTTTTACGAACCGCAACACGCTGATTTCTGAGTGGCTTGAGATGTCCCTGCACCTTGGTCGGATTGGTTGATTCTGATTGTTTGTGGCTACAAAATGATAAGATAATCAACAAACGTTAAACCTGTTTGATACACATACTAAAATGTAGTTTTTACCTAATTATTGCAATGTACGATGATGGAAATAAATTATCGAAGTTGAAACGAACCTCAGCCCTTGCATCGGTATCTGCAAGTCTTTGCTTAATGTCTTTAGCAATTGAAAAGAAAACTTCCTCAACGTTTAAGTTAGTCTTGGCACTCTGCAAGAGCAAACTCATCAACGTTAACAGGGTGACAAGAATGGCCAAGTTTCCTATAGATATTGACGCATAACAAAATCTACAACCACAACGTACAGTCTCGAAAAACTTGATTCCATATTCATCTGCAAGAGCTTGGCCCTTAGATTTTGGCACAGCCTGAAGAAAAATACAAAACAAATCAGTGTATTAGCCAAACAAAATCATGTATTAAACGAATCATGACACATGGGAAGAGTAAAAGAGAGAGAGAGAGACTCTTTTGCTTTCATCCATATCAGCCTTGTTCCCCACTAGAATCTTGTTGACATTATCAGAAGCGTGCTGCTCAATGTTACGGATCCAATTCCTGATGTCTGAAAGTGAAGAAAACAAATGAGAGAAATGAACAAATTAGTTGATTAGTAGATAATCATGCAACAGATGGAAGAGTATGGACTTTAGAACTGTCTCAAAAGTAATTCAACAGCAAGTTAATAGTAAAGAAAGTATTTTACTGTTGAATGACGATTCATCGGTCACATCATACACAAGCAAAATGCCCATGGCACCACGGTAGTATGCTGCAGTAAGAACAAACCAGTTAAGTGAGTATCCCAGACTCCCACCAAAGTGAGGAAGCCAAGGATTGATAAATAACAGTAAAGAAAAATTGAAAAAGCAAAATGCATATTCTAAAAGCAATAAGTTGAAGAGAAACCAGTTGTGATTGTGCGGAACCGCTCCTGTCCTGCAGTATCCCATATCTGCAGCTTAATTCTCTTCCCATCCAGCTCTATAGTCCGTATCTTGAAATCAATTCTGCCAAATAACAAAAAATAAATCAACTTCTGACAACAAAACTACATAGTGCACATGATAACAGTGTCATGCAATGAAGAAATCATACCCAATAGTTGTAATGAAACTGGTGGTAAACGAGCCATCTGAAAAACGCAAGAGGAGGCAACTCTTACCCACACCTGACGAAGGAGATAGAGGAAAAAAAAGGTTAGATAAAGCAGAAACTCTTGAATGTTCCATAATCTGGAACGTAGTGGGAAAGTTAGAGCATTCAACAAAAGGAATTATTCAATCAATTTAGCTCAAAGAAAGGAATGTGGGCTACAGTTACGAAGTAAAGACTAGTCTAAAACATTTGTCCCCAAAACATCAAAGAGAGTTCATTACATCACTGTTGCAAATGATTCGTTCGTAGAATTTCCAGCCTAATACTAAACTATGAAGAGATGTAGTATGATGAACATCATATGCTCACAAGTGCAGAAAATGGAACGAAAAAATCTTAAAATCGTTTGAGCACACTAAATCTCAGGTCTCGGAATTCTCTATAAGGCTTAATTCGTACATGGAAGATCCAAACACTCAAATTCACTGATGCCTACCATCATTCAAACAAAACTTTAAGGCGCATCAACAAAGAGAAATCGCGAGAATCAACAAAAAGGAGAAGAAACAAATTGATTATAAAATGCAGGAAACTCGCCGAACGAAGCCAGTATTACGATCTGAATGAAGAAACGTACCGCTGTCTCCGATCAACAGGAGCTTTATGAGGTAATCGTAATCAGCCCGAGCTCTAGCAGGCGGAGCAGCCATCGCAAAAAATAATAATCAACCAAAATACTGGCAGGCAAAACAATCAACGTTACAAAGAAACTAAAAACTGAGCGAAAGGGATAGAAATTCAAATCGGAAGGGAGAAGTACCAGATCTGCTCGGAGAAGATGAATCGTCGAAACGGTGATATAGACAGTAACCAGACGGCCGTTGAATCTATTTTTCCTCCCGATCGGCTTTTCGATGACAAAGAAGAATTTTTTTTCAGAGAAGTACAGAAGAATGAGAAGGAGAGGGAATGGATCTGGACCGTTAGATCTTGATCGTGATGGAGATCTGTGTTAGCCAGGCGCGTGGTCTTCGGTTTCGGTTTGGTTAGATTGTGGTGGTACCAATACGTTGCCGTTAAAGTAAATTTGAACAATTTGGGGCGGAGCAGAATTAAGAGTCTACTAAAATTCTACCCGTGCATTTGCACGAGAACTATTTATAATTTATCATATTTTGTAATTTAATTTACGTTTTTGTTTAGATATATTATTCTAATAAGTGAAATCTTACTTTTTCTTTTTATATATAATTTCTTTCTATAAATTATTTTTTCTATTATATATATAACCGCGATAAAAAAAATATTATTCTAACATGTCCGTTCATATTAATCTGAAAATACAACGATTGTAAAAATGTTATTATAACATGTCTATTTATATTAATCCGAAAAAAACCGCAATTATTAAAACATAATAACCCATTCATTCATATTATTTATATTTTTTATATTTTTTAATAATTATACAATAATATATTATTTTATCTTTAATATTATTTAAATTTGAATATTAAATTTAATCTAAATTAATATCATACTTTTAATTTTTGTAAAAACATAATAATATTTTTTAATAATTTAAAGAAATCTATAATATAACCTATATATAAAGAAATCTATAACAAATCTAAATTCAAATTTAAAATTTTGAATTTATTTTAAAATATAAATAAATGTATATTATTTTATTAATATTATATTAAATTGATTTGTTTTGTAACATAAATATGAGTTATCTAAAAACAAAATAGTAAGAAACCAAGGAAAAATTCTGTTTGGACACAAAATACCCTTCTCTTTTAATAGTATAGATTAAATCCAGATTTTTGTGATTAAATTTAATTATTATAGATTTGAATAATTTAAAATTTAAATTAAAGATAATTTATATTTAAGAAAATCTAAAAATATCTAAATTAATAATTAATTTTCAAAATTAAATATAAATATAAAATAAAATATTTTAAAAATACTTTGAGAATGTTTGGAAGCATATACTAAAAGTGCTTCTATTTTAATATAATAGATAATAGATGATCCAAACCCAACAAAATCTTGTTTCATATATGGTGAAGAAAATACGATTCAACTCTATACGATATTTTGATGTCTTATTATTAACTTAGCTCTGCAACATTATATTAACATCAGTTTTGTGACTTTTGTCCAGTGTTGTTCATATAGTTTACCGTTTAACAATTGCGTTTAATATTTTTTACAAAAATTAGTTCTCGAATTCATTGTCTTGTTCCAATTTAAGGTGACTAAACTTTTAATTTAACCCATATATATTTATGATCCCTACTTCCACAGTGACCGATGGTGTTCATTCCATGTTACTTTGATGGTTTCGGTGGTGCTATTCACTGTCCAAGAGTTTAAAGACAGGATCACAAGCCAAATAATGACACTATCTAATACCACCAAAAGAACATAAATTTCAAATAAAAACCATATGATATTGAATATTGATACTGATCTCACAATAACATATGGATATATGTATTTAGTATTTACATCAGTATCTTTACATCGTTTGTATAATCATGAAATACTGATCTCATGGATATATGCATTTACATTAGTATCTAAAACCTTTACATCATTTGTATAATTATGAAATATTGCAAATTAATTATAGGGGACAAGACAAGTAACGTGGTGACTCTTGGTTATAACTTACACATTTGATTTTTGTTTCCGGTCTCAATAAAATCCTTGCATGTGATTAAGCTCTTACAATTTTTTTTACAATCTCCTCACTTGCAAATCAATTAAATTAAAAATCGAACTAGGAGAATTCTCCAACTAACTCCAAGGTGACGCAAAGGTGAAAAGCGTTACGATTGACAAATTGTTAAGATATAATAACTTTTTGTTGTTTGTTTTTGTGTGTCTTCGGTGTTAAGAAAATAATCATCTCAAGAATAAAGCGTGGATAGGAATATTCCTACAATGATCCAACGTAGCATCTATATGTCTTCTGCATGGAGCATTCGTTACTCAACCCCATCTACCGATCATCCCCTGCGGACGGGTCCACACCTTCATTTCTCACAGCCAATCAGAATTTATTCATTTCGAAATCACAGGATCCACATCCTTTTTACAAAATGGATATGAAGAGTGTATCCATTGACATTAATTAAAGGAAAGCTAACTTTAATTAATATCTTCCTTGAGATACGAAAAAGTTAAATCATATAATCCCAGATTTGTTTTGAATGCAGTAGATTGCGCGATTATTACGTGGAATGTAATGTAATTGTTTATCTCATTTAACTCTACTTTAGAAGATCCAAAAGTATTTTTAGACATCAATTATCCAATTTGTCGCCATAATAAAGAAATTTCATCCAACTTTTACTAGACAAAAAGTCAGAAACATATTATCCTACGCACGTGTTATATTAGTGAGACAAACATCTTGCGGAAAAAATCTTGTCTATGGCTTTGATTGGTAACTTTGCGAAATTACAAAAAAAATCATTGCGAAATAGATCAAGCGACTTATAAGTTGTTTTTTTTGAAATGATTTTTTCTTTGTATTTTTGTTAAACAAAAACGTAATCTGCATTTTTATGTGTATTTTTTCATTACGCGGATTTTTGTTGATTGGCAAAAAACTTGCGGAATTGTGTTTAAAACCACAATTCCACCCTTCCGCAGGTTACCAATCAGAGCCATAATAATCCTAAAAAATAAATCATAAAAAGTAGGTGCTGGTAACTTATCAATGGTCTGTAATGTAATCTGTACTAATGCTACTACGGAATCATTAGTTCAGATTTAGGAAGAGATAAATGTATAGTATTTCAACACAGTATTTTCTATAGAAGAATCTAATAACTTGAGCGATTCTTATCCTAGTAATAATAACATTATCATCAAAGCTATTATTATCTACAATTACTAACAACGCCATATTTTTGGATTGTGTTTATAAAAAAAGGAAAACGAATATTCACTTGACAGATTATATATATTCTTATAATTGCCGTTTGTAATCCACCGACAGAGAAATTGCCTGTCATAAACTTGAACACGAATTTTCGGTGCACTCGCTAACACCCGATACCTCGATCCAGCATATTCCCATCAACAGTAGTTAACGGAGACTTAACGTGGACTCCTCGCAATCCCATTTGGAGAGTGGAGAGACTCACCTTGACCCCACGGCCGTTAGGAATTCCGTCTATGTCTCTCCCTCGATCAGCCAATAATATCTTTACATGTGTGTACTTTCGGATAAGGACATATTCTTATGTTATAAATATTTTTTCAAAATTTCCAAAATTAAAGATATAAATATTTTTTGATAATTTAATAAAGCTTTTACGGTCTTGCTTTTTATTAATTTTCCTCGGATTTATTATATTCTTCTAAAATGGAGCCTTCAAATAGCAGAGAAGCAGAGAGGGAGCGAGCGGGAACGCGTATAGTTACAGCTACATTCTCCTTTAGCTTTCCTCTACTTATACTCTCTCTCTCTCCCTCTTTTTGAATCAGTGCTTCTTGGGTTTGTTCTTCCTTGAGATCTGTGCTTGTGTTTTCTTCTTCTTTCGACACATTTGCTCGGGAGATTGTGATTCGCTCAGGTACGGATTTCGAAGTTGTCTTTAATCGGATTTGTTTCTTCATCTCACCGAGTTTCTAGGGTTTGGTTGTCTCAATCTGCTTGCATCATCCATGAGCGATAGTTTTGTAGATTTTCGAGGGGGGCTTTGTGACCTGTAGTCTGTAGATCTGAGTTGGGTTTCCGATAGATTCACGCTTGTTGATGTTTACCTTTCTAGATATTGAAACTCCATAAAGGGAAAAAAATGTTTGCTCGTTTCTCACTACTAGTCCATTGCCGATTTTCTAAAAATGATTCAAGAGAGTGTCCTGTTTTTTTCTTTTTCTCATTTTATAGAAAACAACCGATTTTTGTTTTGTCCCTTTATGGACATGGTTCTTAAAACGTTTTTTGTCGGTAGATACATTTAAGGATTCATGAACTGCTGCAAAAACAAAAATTAATGCGTTTTTTGGACGTTTCTGTAACTTTCTTTTTAAAGATTTTAGATCTTGTATCTCTGTGTCAAGCATTGCGTTGTGTCTTCAATCGTGGAGACGTGTAGATCTTTGGTATAGCTCATGAACATATGGCTTTATCTTAAGCTTTTGAGGAAACTGAATTTTTTGTCGGACTATCACATCAGTAAAAAAATTGATCCCATAATTTGTGTTGGACAGATGCTTTTTTTCCGTGGTTTGTTGCTTCAGAGATGCATATATTTATGGTTTTATGTTTGCTATGTGCATTGTTTGCAGCAATGGCGCCACCGATTGAGGTTGCTACCAAAACTTATGTTGAGAAACAGAGGACAGGTTCTGCACTTCCTCCTCTTAATGAGAGGATACTTTCGTCCATGACACAGAGGTCAGTTGCTGCACACCCATGGCATGATCTGGAGATAGGTAAGCTATACGTAACGGTTTCTTTTCTTTCTCGGGCTCTATGGTGATTTCTTTGCTTCTAATATTAACTCTCTTCATTCTTTTTTTCTTATTTGCTTTTGTTTTATAGGTCCTGAAGCCCCAATAATCTTCAATTGTGTAAGTATTTTTACAAATGTTCTTGATAATTGGTCAGTAAAAGCTCTAAGCTTTGATATAACTTTTATTAGATTGTCACTAAAACCGCCATTATGTCTTTGGAGATGCTGCACTTGTTTAATGTTTCTATAGAAAATATGTAATTGTATTCGTAACTCAAAGAGATTATATATTTGTCTTGAGAATTGGAATGAGTCTGATGTAGGATATGGATGATGTCCATTGCCGGATTAGGAAACTAGATTACGGGTTTCATCTTGAGATATTTCTGTGGTAATCAATAACAAAGCATGTGGAGGTATGATTTCAGGTGGTTGAGATAGGAAAAGGGAGCAAGGTGAAGTATGAACTTGACAAAACTACCGGTCTCATTAAGGTAGCTTCATTGCAACAACTTCCTTCTCTGTCCCATTCACTCTTAAAGACCGTACTATATATAGTCGAAACCTCATTTATGTTCTCAGGTCGATCGTATCCTTTACTCATCTGTCGTATACCCACACAACTATGGGTTCATTCCGCGTACCCTTTGTGAGGACAATGACCCTATTGATGTTCTTGTCATTATGCAGGTAATCTATCTTTCTTTCCCTTACAATGTTGAGAACTTGTATAAGTCATCACATAATGTTTATTGTTTCATCTGATAAGCTTTGGAAAAGTTCAGCAGCTCAACTGTTAGCTATAGGCTCTACTGTGTAGCCTAGGATTAAATTTAGCAGATTAGAGATGTTGTGAAAGCTAGGTTTTTAGAAGTGTCTTATCACATTGTTTGAGAGTGTGGATTTTCTAGGGTTTGGTGGGCATTTGGTAAAGATTTTAGAGTCTCTCAGTAATTAAGTCTATTAGGTTTTGAGCAGTGGTTTTTGACAGTACCACTAGCCTCTTCTGAGTCTGACTTAATTGACCGATAAAAAAAAACACATCTCATGTGAATCATATTGAATATGCTCTACAGGAACCGGTGATCCCAGGATGCTTTCTTCGGGCCAAAGCTATTGGTCTGATGCCGATGATTGACCAGGTTAGAATAAAAAAAATTAACGTCTAATAATGTCCTTATAAAAGCAAAAGAAATTGACACCACCAGATGCTCTGTATGTTTATAAAGGGTGAGAAAGACGACAAGATCATTGCTGTGTGCGCTGACGATCCAGAGTATCGTCATTACAATGACATTAAGGAGCTTCCGCCTCATCGTCTGGCTGAGATCCGCCGGTTCTTTGAAGACTGTGCGTCTTCTTTCTTCAACTTATATCTTCAACTTTTGATATGAGATTAAGGGATACTAAATCCCATTCCTATATGAGAACTAATATTCTTTTGGGTTCTTGTTGCAGATAAGAAAAACGAGAACAAGGAAGTAGCCGTTAACGACTTCCTTCCTGCTACCGCAGCCTACGAAGCAGTTCAGCATTCCATGTAAGCCTTCATAAACCTAGAAGAACACTTTTTTCATTTGTGCGACCTAACATAACTAACTAATAAAAAATTGGATAATAACATGTAGGGATCTGTATGCGGATTACGTCATGGAAACCTTGAGACGGTGATATCTTTCACCACCCAAAGCAATAAAGAATGTCTTACAAGTGCATGTTCACATTTGTTTTCTTGACACATGTGAAGTGTATACTCTAGTATAAATACATACATATATGTTAGGGTTCTCAAAGGATATAGATTTGCGTATGTCCTTTTGTTGAATCCCGTTGATGATGCCGAAAAATCCAAGAAACTAAGAACGTTGGTATTTTACCCATTTTGTTTCTTCTTCACTTTTAGCTTCTGAGTCATTTTCCCATATTGATCAATTGTTGAAAGCTTTTCTTTTATTAAATCTATGAAAATCCGCAATTCACCAAAAACAAAAAAAAATCTATTTTCGTTTGCTATTTGGATTTACTAGGCAATTTTTACTAACCGATCCTATGTTTTAAGGATCTCAGATATTATTTTGAGGTTTGACATGGAAACTATTTTAGTTGTCCAAAAAAAAAAACATCCATTTACGAAACTTGAAATTTGATGATGCTTACAACATTTGAACCTTTCCTTATTTTCTGAAAAATTGCGGACTTACCCACATTTACATCTAAATTCTAAAGTGATCCTTTAATAACAAAAGTCTATCAGAAAGCAAAAACCCTTTCCTATCCCTAAAACCCGGCCTCTCCTTAGGGTAGAAGACGAGAACAAAGACGAAAAAGGAGGAGGAAGAACAAATATATCGATTCGCGATTAACCATGAGCTCCTTCAATGGAAGCAGCAATATCGACAACCTCCTTATCCAAACCCTACTTGGACGCCTCCAAATTCGTCCCCCTAACTCCCATTTTCTCTCTCAATCCCTAGACGACCTCCTCTTCAAGTCCGATGACAGCGACGGAGATGATGACGGAGATGGTCAGAACAATCTCGACCGAGAAGAAGCCAAGCTTGAGAAAGAGCTAATCCGTGTCATCGTCTCGGGTCGGATCGATTCTCTTAAGCCGAATTCAGGCCAGGCCGTGACAGTCAACGAGCACCACATCTGCGTTGGGTACCACGAGGATGAGGAATCGGATTATCGTGTCTGGGAGTGGCACGGACACATCATGCTGTTCGACGAAGAGAACGGGTACACGCCTGAGTATATCTACGGGAATTACTTCGAGAGGTTGCCGGTGAAGCTTCCGAACCGCCGTGTAGATAAGGAGAAGAAGAAGGAACCGAAAGAAGAGGAGGTGGAGAATTTGGGGCTGAGAGAGCTGATCGATGGCGGAGACGCTGCTCGTGGAAGGGTTCTTCACAGGAACATCAACATTGGCTCCTCAAGGTTGGTTTCCTTATAATTACCTTTGAAGTTTGATCATTCTTTGTTATGTTACATCCTGTGAATCTTTTTCATGCTGGGAATTTGTTAGGATTCAATAAGCTAGTTTCCCAGACAAGTTAGTTCGTGTTCTTGGTGATTTAAGAATTGGCGAATCGAAGTTTTGGGTTAGCAACAGACTCGGAGTTTAGTGAAAAATGTAACCGTGGTTCATGTTTTTGGGATGATTTAGTTTTCATTGGACAAATGTTGGCTAGTCAAAGTTTTGGATCATGTATAAAGTATGAATCCAGTGAGAAATATAACAAAGGCTCATATGTTTGGGATGATTTTTGCTGTTAGTTTTGGTAATAAGGCGGATACAAGCTTGGTTAGCTACCTGCCCTCAATGTTGTTTTTAAAATTTGATTCACTCTCATAGTCAAAAACTTTTAGCTTGCTTCAACAATTTCTCTTTCATTTCATGGGAGTTATAGTTGATAGAAAAAATTGGAACCTGATAGTGTTTGATCATTTCCGATAGTGAATTAGCACATGTTTTTTTCCTGAATGTAGTTACAGGGTAGGCCAACGTTTGGTTGTGGTCGTTGCATTTGTGACTCGATTACGGTCGCTAAAGATGATCCGTTAACTCCCTAATGAGAATTCTACGACGATGAACATTAAACTTGCGGTGTGATAAGCTACTACTCTAGAGTATTCGTAGTGGTAGATCTTATTCTTGCTGTTTCATATTACGTTTGCTTATCCATCTTTTTCCATGTATCGGTTAGATTTTACTCTTGTTTTACTTTGAATTCCAGTTGTAGCTTGACTATCTTGGATTAAAATCTTGCAAGAAAAGTTTGAATCAGTTACTGAATTTACGTGGTTCGTTATGAATTGGCAGGGTCTAAGTTCCTAGAAGTGGCTTGGCAGTGAGAGGTCACATTGTTCAAACAGTTTACAGATGTGTGTACAACTCGCGACAACAAAACAAAAACCAGCTGGTGGATTTGGGGGTTCTGTTCCGTTTTATTTAAACCAGTAAATCCAGGGGTTAATCTGTTTTTTTTTTAAAGAAATTCATCTGAAGTTATTTCTGATCCAGATTTACAATACATGTTGGTGAACAGAGCAGAGATTACAGGATTATGATCATTGAACCCAAAAGCTTTGAAATTTCCCCTATTTTGTTTATTTTATGTTTTGGCTTTGATAAATCACCATTTTCTAATACTGCTGCTGTAATGGAACTTCAGTTTCCGCCGTAACGCCACGGTGAAAATATGAATTTGACATGATCGAGAAGATAGTTTAATACTAAAAAAAATGTGGTACGTTCGTTAGTGCAACAGCGTTTATCCCTAGATTTTGACCGGCTATCACAAGCAAGTATTATAGATTTTGACAGTCATTAGATTTAATGGGATTTTTAATAAAATTCTTGTGAAATGTGACCGGATTATATCTCGGGACTAGGTACTCGGGACTATACACTAAAAATATATAAAACAAAAATAACAACACGAGTAAGGGGCCCGGCCAGGTCGTGGGACCTAATATAAAAAGCCCATTGAAATAGTGAATGGTTTAAACTTTAAATGAATAAAGCCATGAGAAATCCTGTCCGTTCACTTTAAAATCTTGGATTTACGCCACATCATCGATCCGTGTGATAAACAGATAACCAATGAGAACAAGTACCAGCCTCTATATAACAAAATCTGTTTCCCCATTATTATCAGAGACGCATAGAGTTTCATTGCCCAGTTTTCTTTCAACTCCCAAATCTCTTTTTTCGTTTGTTCTCTAATCTCTCAAATCATCGTCAATGGCTCCCAAGGCGGCAGAGAAGAAACCGGCGGAGAAGAAGCCAGCAGACAAAGCCCCGGCGGAGAAGCGTCCAAAGGCGGAGAAGAAGATCTCGAAGGAAGGAGGAAGCGATAAGAAGAAGAAGAAATCGAAGAAAAGCGTGGAGACATACAAGATCTACATCTTCAAGGTTCTGAAGCAGGTTCATCCCGATATCGGAATCTCCGGGAAGGCGATGGGGATCATGAACAGTTTCATCAACGACATCTTCGAGAAACTCGCTCAGGAATCTTCTAAGCTCGCTAGGTACAACAAGAAGCCGACGATTACTTCTCGGGAAATCCAGACGGCGGTTAGGCTTGTATTGCCCGGAGAGCTCGCTAAGCACGCCGTTTCTGAAGGCACCAAGGCGGTTACCAAATTCACAAGCACTTAGGGTTTTTTTTTCTTCTCTCAATTATCGTATGGATGATTAGATCGATGGCTTTGCTTTCTAGATCTTTGGTGGTCGATTGTTTGGAATAGTCTTTGATTATTGAATGAACAGGTTTTCGTGTTAATGAATTTCGAATTCTAATATCATCCTCAGTTTCGTTTACACAAGAACATACTTCTAAATTTCTCAATTTCCTTTGAATTATGGTGTCAAATTTTGCAGAGAATTGTATCATGTTGGGCATTATGTTAATCAGATCACTATAATTAATTTTGGGATTTCTGTGATTATGTAGATCCATGAAAGGGAATGTGAAATAATATTGAAACATAATTTAATGCTGGGATATTACAATTAGGGGATGATATCTCAAAATCTGTTCTTCCATGTACAATTACGGGTTTTAATCAATCGAAGAAAAAGATTGTGACATTTGTGGTGAGTTTCTCGGTGAGATCATACCCTCGATCTTCAAAGTTCCTATGGTCTAGGCTTGTGAATTGTTACCATGGCTATTCCACTGTTCCGTAGTTGGTTGAAACAAAACAGAACCAACCTTTGTGATGGCGGATTTATTTCTTAGATTAGTAGCCATATTCTTCATTAAGATATTTTTTTGGGCAGATATTTGTATCATTTTGGGCACTATGATTAATCAGATCATTGATTTAGTTAAATTGATGAATGGTTCTTTCGAACGAATTAGGTAGGTCGTGATTTTCTAACCGTGTTAGTAATTTAGTGACGATGTTGATCATTTTGATGTTTAAGGTTTTGTCAATGAGATGATTTGTAAACAAAACACACACATCAATACATCATCATCTTTCTACTGGGCCTTTTAGGTACCAACATGTTAAAATTACAACGGCCCATGAATAAGTGTACACGTGTAGATAGACGATTCGTGCCGAATAAGGTGGCCACGTCTTTCGCCTTTGATATTGTTGACCTTTCTTTTGGATACATTTCTGCTATAAAAATGTCGTACCTATCCGTCTTCTCAGATTAGCTTTTTTTTCTTTCTTTCTTCTTTCGTCCTCCTGGTTTTGCATAATCTCGTTTTGGATATGTTCTCTCTCTGATTCGGGTTTCCATGATCCGATCTTAGTGTTTTACTCCTCTGATTTTTTTCCCAAAGCATCGTGCTGCTACTGATTCCTACATAGCTCTGAGATCTCTGCAAGAATTGAAATTGGATTAGGTTTTGGTTTCATTCATAGCTCTTCGGTTCTAGGGTTTCGAAGAGCATAGATATAATGCGGCTGACCTCCGAGGCACTCCTTTCTTTGGTTCCTTCGTTGACTTTTTATCATTCTGGTTTATGTTCTAATCGTTTGAAACCTCTTCAAAAGAGTGATTGGCGTGGTAATCTTAGTTGAAAGTTTCTCTCTTTTCTTAATTTCTCTATCTCTTTACATCTTTTACCCTTTTTTTCTTCCCTCTTCGCCTTCGTCTTAGTATTCACGGTTTTCCTAGCTCGGTTTAAGCTAATTTAAGAAGAAGCTTGTGATCTCTCTTTGCGGACATTTAGTCAGTGATCGATCTTTCGGTCTTTTGACGTTTCGAGTGCTCGATTTGCGATAGACGAGGTATCTATGCATATGAATCTTTCTCCTTTTTGTCTTTCTTAGCTCAAGTGTTGTTCAAATCGTCTGATCCGTGGATCTCTTACTGATATGACTTTTTGAATCTGTTTATGGCAGTTACTTCTGGATATGAGCTCTGTCTGTGGTAGGTTGGAAAACAAAGATGCAGAGTCCCACCTTGAGAGCAGCTCTGCTTCGAGTCCCAAGAAATGTTCTAATGGGGCAAAGCATATCTCTTGTATCGGATCTGAAGATGCTCAAGAGTCTGATGGTGATGATAGTGGTTATATACACCAAAATGTGACTGAAGAATCCAAAGACGAGGCAGTGATCAAGTCTATACCGGAACCGGAGTCTGTACCTCTCAAATCTTTGGATGATGAAGGAGAAGACAAGAACCTTGCCACTGCATTGCAGGACATGTTCTCAGAGAGGGTAAGTTTTTGGCCGTCTTTTTGCACCTTTTAGAACCAAACTATATAGCATTTAGTCGTAGATGCATAAACATGATTGGAGAATTCGTCAAAACGTGACTTAACTATCCAGGAAAAATTCCATATCTCAGACATGAGAAACAGTACCATTCCTTGGACTTTGGCTGTGTTATATAATCTATCTCTCGGTGGTTGGAGCTTGGTCAATAGACTTTCAGTTTTTGAAGTATATAATAGTGGAATGCTTAATCTGGGTTTCCCTGTTTATGTTGGCTGCTTCTGACTTGTGTGTTTCTCTTGTAATCCAACAACAGATGAGTGTGGTTACTATCATCCCAGCCATAAAAGGCAGTCGAGAGAAGCATGGAAAGTCGGTTGAGAAGCTGAGCGTGTCATGGGCTGAAGATGTGTATGATCCTCCACCCTCCCTTGTCTCTCACACTAGAAGCAAGAAACAGCAACAGCCGAAATCAAAGAGCAGAGACAATTTGAAGAAGAATGGAAAGAAAGGACAAAAGGGAAGCAGCAATTCATCATCATCCCGTGGCAGCAAAGACAAGAAGCAGTCTTCTTCTTCTCGTAGCAAACACAGTCGTGATAAGTTTGGTTGGGCCACACAGATGCCTCTCGTAGCTGCATCTTCTTGAATGTCTTTGGCATGACCAAGGCGCTTGCGTCTTCCTTATTCTGTCTTTTATTCTGTCGCTTCCCTCTTTCTCTCTCTCTCTCTCGCTCTCTCTCGCTATCTTGTGTTTATATATAAAATAACATATGTTGTGAAAACTTTTCTTGAGTTTGAGAATGACTTTTTGTTCCTGTTCGGACGGTATTGTATCGATTTTGATTTCACACGAATTAGTAATTACCACTGCTTCTGTGAAGCTTTTCCTCCCAAAGCTTTACTTTTTTTACTGTGTATCTGATATAAAGATGCTTTGTTTATTTGATATAATGGTTGAGATGATTGATGATAAGTGTACTATAATCTGAAAAAGTTGTACCATTGAGTTGATTGATGATAAGATCTCCTTTCGATGCTATATTGTTTTGCTCCATGTGAATTCATCATCTCTCCGATCACTGTGCTTATATAGTTATGTGAGCCGTGGCTCTGTTGTCTCTGCGAGATTTCCTTTCTGAGGTCACCATCGTTATTATTCAGCTCCACGTCACAGTTCACACGGTAACTCGACCGTGTTCTGGTAACCAAGTGAATGGAGAAAAAGCGCTTCCAGTGGCATAAGGTGGTCAAGATTCACCGAGGAGAATCTAAGGAAGCTTCTTTAGTCATAAATCGTTTTTGTGTGTCTGTCTTTAATTTTTCTTTCCCGTTTGTTAGATGTTGAATTATTGTTTCAGTTTCACTGTTTCAGAAAAACCTTTTACATACATAGCACAGAAAGGAACAACATATTGGTGGTTATGTATAATATTTGCTTTAGACCAACCTATATTTAGTTTCTTTCCTTTACAAAAAACATCTCATCAGGTCTGAAACCCTCCTGTGTCAACCCTAAATTCTAATGTTCTTTTGTTAAAAGTTTGTACAAAAAATAACAGAGGTACACAAGAAATGACCCTTCTGCAAAAAAAAAAAAAAGAAAAAAAGAAGTGGGTTTTAAAGGAGCGAGATAGACCCCCAAAAAAACGGAAAGATCCCAAATACCAAAATCCAGATGAAGCTTTCAAAAAAATCTTCCAAGCGAGATGGTATTATCAGATGAGTGAAGCTGATTCTGAAAATCTCGCCACTTTCTTCTCCAGCATCGATGTTCCCTTGAACATTGTAAGTTGCACTTCTCTCTGATACTTCCGCAACTGCAAACACAAACACCATTGTTAGTCTTCTTTCATCATTTTGTAATAGATTATGATTGTGCCAGGTAACAAGTACTCGTAACTATTATTGAAAGTTGTTTAAGACCAAACTTTACATACTTGCGGTTCAGTCATCTTTGTGAAGCCAAATTTCTTCGTCCAGATAGACTCGGCCTCTTCAGCTGCTGGGAGAAGCAAGTTCTCAACATTCAGAGAAGAAAGAAGATTTTCAACGCAAGCAAACAGCCCTTGAAAGTAGCCCTAAGGAACCATAGCCAAATTAGTTTTGTTACGAGTTATTAAAGAAAAGGGATAGAACAAGCAAATCCAACTCAGTAAAGAAACAGGTACAAAAAGCTTACCCTTCCTTGATACTCTCGGCTTGTAGCTACAATAGGAAGCTCAGCAACTTTCTGACCAAATACCCTAAGCAGCCCAGCAGAAACAACAAGGGAACTAAAGGTGCATCATAAAAAAAAAAAAAAAAAAAAAAAAAAAAGAGGAAACAATTAGGATCCTGATCGACGTATTCACAAGTGCTTAAAGAAAAAAGGAGAATGCATCATACTTCACCATCAGGACCAAGCAGTACACTCCTCCAAACTCCTGGCCTGATATATTTCTCCTGTAAAGTTGTTGGAAGAATGACCAGGAATGATCAACTACCATCAAAATATGAATCAACGGGGAAATTGGAACTGATTTAACGCAGTACAGCTTACCCATAGACCATGACAGGAATGAGATCACGACCAGACACTGCCACTATGGGATCGAAACACTCCTGGAAAGTATAAAGGCAAACATGTTTGCTACATATGTGTTCATTAAGTAAATTTACAAGCCAGATAGTATATCAAAATGATTGGAGCACATTTATAAGTCCAGGCATACCCTGAAGATAGCAGCCGCTTGTGAAAGCAAGTGTTGATGCTCTGTGTATCGGCTTTTTCCACTAAGCATCCTCCATTCCACAGTATCTCCATCGTCGGTATATATTCCTTTTTCTCTGTACTTTCTGCTTATCGTGTCTAACAAAGGCGTGGGAATAGTTTGTGGCCCACAGGAAACACAACTCTGAAGAGCCGTGTGAATCCTGCTGCAGTCACTACAGCAGAACCATTTGTCTTGGGGGATTCCCTACAAAATCAGGAAAGAGGTTGAGACAGGTTCAATGACCTCATGAACATAGACCACGTAAAGCCTTACAGAACTTACTTTCAAATCACAAAGCTGATTCTCCCTGAGACAACCGACATGGTACTCTTTCTCACACTTAAAGAGAAAGGATGAAAATGACCATTAGTCAAGATAGAACATTTTAAAGGAAAACTTGAATAAAAGAGACCAGAAATAAGAAGAGCACCTGGTCACAGAGAATAACTGTCCTATCATCAAATTTCCCGACACTAAAATCATGGGACCTGCAGAACATGCAACCACCAATTTCACTTTCTGACGGAAGTGAAATGACTAAACAGAGCGGAGAACAAATATATGACGGACACACTCAAACTGGGTAGACAACCAACCTGCAGAACACGCAACCACCAATTTCACTTTCTGGTGCTTTAACAACTCTTCTCGGTCTTATAACTATCGGTTTCATGTTAGAATCAGTAGCAATAGTCGTTTTACTAGAGACAGGTCCATCATTGCAGCTTGAACAGTACCAAGTACCTTTGGGCATAGATTGAAATTTCAAGCATGCTGCATATGAAAAGGGTCATGAAATATTAGAATCGAAGAACAACCAGGAGCTGATATCAAAGCACTGCTGATTTTGAAAAAGTCGTCTCTGAAGAACTCAATTTAGAACTTGGATGGAAAGAGAAATAGGCATCTATCAGTAATTTCTTTCACGTTATGCTTGAAATTTTTTTCCATGAAATCTTGCTTAAAAGTTCTTACTAAAACAAAGACGTTATATATTCGCAATAGCAAAATGAAAGAGCAAGCCCACCTGTATGAAATGCTTGAGGACATCCAGCACAGAGTAGCAAATCTCCGCCATCGTCACAAATAGAACACATGTCATCACTCTCACCAGTTGTAATCACATGGCCATCCGCCAGTGACAGGGCTATGTCATGCAAAGACATTCCAGAAGATATGCAGATTTGACGATATCTGCAAGAGAATCAGATACTTCAGACAAGCCTTACAACATTAGTGCAAGAACAACTTGTTACAAGATAACTCACGGTTGTCGCCTAATCGCCATTCCAGCATGCGATTCGAATTGTGAAGGGCTAATCTGTTGTTAAAGAAACACAATGAAATATGTATCATTATACATAGAAAAGAAAACAAGTATGACGGCCAATTTACAGAGTCACAGCATCCAGAATTTTACCTCTCTGTCGCAGCAGCTACATACTATACCACTTCCTTGCTTGTAACCACGCAGTAGATTCTGTAAGAAAAGCAAGTCTTAGCAAAGCCAGCCAAACTTAAATTTGCCCTAAGAATAAACAGAATAATTCATTTCGCCTACGATAACAAACCTGTCCTTTCATATAGTAAGCCAATTCAGTCCCATCTGGTAGCCCATTTGGCAAAAACAGCAACCGGTGTAAATCATTGTCCCTAACATATGATTGCAATTTTTTTATCATCACCGAGGGATTTCAACTGAAGAATGAATGCGAAAAGGTCCTGAGTAATAAGATTCAAAATCGCAATACATACCTCTTCTTATTGCCGCGTTCAGAAACTTTCTTCCGGCAACTCAAACCGAACTTCTGAGAGGTAAGCCTACAGGATCAACAACCAAGTAAATTACCTATTTTCTTTACACAAATTGTTCATGGGTAATAATACAACAGTAACCGATATCAAAGCAAGAAAATTGAGGAACGTACTTCTTTACTTTTGGCTTCTGTTCTTCTGTACATATTTTCTTTCTAAAATAACTGCTCTCTGGGAAACATGGAGTAGAGCTTTGACTCTCATCAAAAGATCGACCAGTAGCAGGATAACTGCAACTTTCATAGTAGTAACTTTAACCTCGATAAATAAAGATCCAAATACAAATCTGTGATAAAATCCAGAACAAGTAATAACAAAAGTAGGAAGAGCTCAAAGTACCTGACAAGGGATTGAAACGGATTCTCCATGGTATGATTCCGATCATCTTCAGTCACGAAACTATCCTGCTGGAAACTTTCTGAAGAACAGAACAGCAAGTCAGCGATCTTTCAGAATAGTCAATCTATGGACCAGTGGGATACAGCAAAACTTTTCAGAAAGTAAAGAATACACACGAAACCACCAGGCGATTTAGATACCTTTCCACGCCTGAAAGCCCTCCTCACTCAGAGCAGAACCCACCACTTTCCTTATACACTCCTCAAGAACATCAGCAGGAGCAATCTTCAGCTCTTGAATTATGCTATAAACCGACCTTCCATTCTCCAAAAATATGTGATTATTAGGGTGCTTCGTTTTTCTATCAGCATGCTTCTCGAACTCATAGGCACCTAGAACCTTCCCACAAAACAAGATACAACATAGTTATTGACAAGTTCACGCAGTACAGCCACACAAGAAAACTATAAATAATCGCAAAGAAAAAACTTACTTTCGTGAAATTGCACGCAGTACAGCCACACAAGTACCCACCCGAGTGGATGATCCCGTCAAGCTCATACTAGTGACCATTAAAAGTAATATAAGAACAGATATCACCTACAAATAATCGTAACAAAATGAGAATATCCAAACCTATATCACGAGAAAACACAAAGAAAGCAAACTTACCACAGGTGAGGTTGAAATGTACTTCACCCGAGCACCTTCGAGAATACCCGTCAACAATAGCTTCTTCACATTAGATGGGAAGTTGCTAGAGACGATCTTCTTCGAAGTTTTCACACCTAAAGTTGAAGAAGCACCCTCCCATGACGCAGGCTCCTTGATCATAGGCAAATCACGGAGATTCTCTTCCTTTGGTTTACTGAGCTTAAACGTGATTTTCGTTATACCAGTTGTGCTAAGATGCTTCGGAATCTCCAATACGAAATTAGACGATACCGCATCACTAGGTTGCCATTGCTCCGACGGAGAGCTATCTGCTAGCGACGTGCCGTATTCACTGTGTTTCTCGTCACTTATAGTCTCATCGGAACCATAATCATTGCCGGAACAAGACCCAACGCGATCATCTAAATTCGAATTAGCCGGATGGCTAGTGATATCCCGAAAACAGGAAGTAGAATCCACCGGAGACGCGACGGGGTTGGATATTTCCGACCTGATGTCATCGTATGAAGCCTCCTTCGCTTGTCTCTTGTTGGAATAAAGCTCTCCTTCTACATTATCTTCTTCAATACACAGACGGTCTCTCTTCAATTCGTGCTTCGTTGACGGATTCTCTTCAGCCATGTCTTCTTCCATTGGCATATCCAGACAAACTGCTTCTTCTCCCATTGTAGAAATTCTGGGCTTCACAAGATGGCATTCAAAAAGTTAGCCTTTACACTGTGACTGAGACTGGTAAGGCTTGAAACAATTCCAACTTTAAGTCTGGGGGTACATTGATATTGAAAATCCGATCCAGAAAACACGTATACTGGTTCCAATCCAAATCGGAGAAGAAACTTTCTGGTGATTTTGGACTCTTTTTTTAGTTTCTGAAACCCAAAAATCGAGTGGAGAAAAAAAAAAAAAAATTCAAGCCTGAGTGTATGGATTTAGTAACCCTATTTCACATCTGTATATGGGAAAATCAAAATATTCACAGCGATACTCGTAAGAACAAGACGGGTGGAAACCCTAAGCTCGAATCGAGACAGTTCTGAAGAATTTAGGAAAAAAATCGTGTGGATCTCAGATCTGCAGAAAACAATTGAAAAAACGAATTCGCAAGAAAAAAGTAAGATAAGACGAACCAAGGGCAACGAATTAGGGTTAGGGTTCGGAAGTGAGATAAGAGGGAATAGAGAGAAAGAAGCAGAGAGAACGTGCAACGCGGCAACGAACCAGAGGGAAAGCTTTATTAGCGGGTCTCTTTAGAACTATGAACAAACACCAAAAAAAAAACAGTCAAAGGTCTAAATTTCAAGAAAGTCAAAAGACTCTGCCAGATGGAGAGTTTTTCTAATCCGAAAGAGGGAACTAGCGAACCGCCACTTAATCGGTCGGTTCGGTTTTGCTAAAAGAAAGAAAAAACTTCTCTAACCCAAATCCTTAAACCCCTTTGATTGTCTCTCTCTCCTTCATCTCAGAAACTCCCATCATCTACTACTCCCAACAATGGCGTTCTCCTCTTGTCTCAAATTCTATCCCTTTTCTATCTCCCAGGCCACAAGCCTAACTCACCTATCCCTCTCTCTCAAACTCACTCTTCCTTCTTCCTCTGTATCCTTCGCTTCGCCTCACTCCGCCGCTCTCTCTTCCCCTGACGCCAAGCTTCTCGACTCCCTCCGTAGCCAGCCCGACAATTCCGCCGCTCTCCGCCTCTTCAATTTGGCCTCCAAGCAGCCCAATTTCTCCCCTGACCCCGCCCTCTACGAGGAGATTCTCCTCCGGCTAGGCCGGTCCGGTTCGTTCGATGAAATGAGGAAATTTCTCAAAGATATGAAGAACTCGGCCTGCGAAATGGGTACTTCCCCTTTCTTGATTTTAATCGAGAGTTATGCTCAGTTCGACTTGCACGATGAGATTCTAGCTGCTGCTCATTGGATGATTGACGAATTCGGATTGAAACCCGATACCCATTTTTATAACCGGATGCTGAATCTCCTCGTTGATGGGAATAATCTGAAACTTGTGGAGATTGCTCACGCCGAGATGAGTTTTTGGGAGATAAAACCTGATGTCTCCACGTTTAATGTTCTGATCAAGGCTCTGTGTAGAGCTCATCAGCTTAGACCTGCGATTTTGATGATGGAGGATATGCCCAGTTACGGTCTGGTTCCTGATGAGAAGACGTTTACCACCATTATGCAAGGCCACATCGAAGAAGGTGACTTGGATGGAGCTTTGAGAATCAGGGAACAGATGGTTGAGTTTGGTTGCTCTTGGTCTAATGTGAGTGTTAATGTTATTGTTCATGGTTTCTGCAAGGAAGGGAGAGTCGAAGACGCTCTTAATTTCATTCAGGATATGTCGAATCAAGGCGGGTTTTTCCCGGATCAGTACACGTTTAACACGCTAGTTAACGGTTTGTGTAAAGCAGGGCATGTGAAGCATGCTATTGAGATCATGGATGTGATGCTTCAAGAAGGGTATGATCCAGATGTGTATACTTATAACTCGGTGATCTCGGGTTTGTGTAGATTGGGAGAGGTGAAAGAAGCCGTGGAGGTTCTTGATCAGATGATCAGTAGAGATTGTTCTCCAAACACTGTTACTTACAACACTTTGATCAGCACATTGTGCAAGGAGAATCAAGTCGAGGAAGCCACGGAGCTTGCTCGTGTTCTCACCAGCAAAGGGATTCTTCCGGACGTTTGTACATTTAACTCTCTGATCCAAGGTTTGTGTTTGACTAGGAATCACCGGGTCGCGATGGAGCTGTTCGAAGAGATGAGGAGCAAAGGTTGTGAGCCAGACGAGTTTACATACAATATGCTGATTGATAGCTTATGTTCTAAAGGGAAGCTTGATGAAGCTCTAAACATGCTTAAACAAATGGAATCGAGTGGTTGTGCACGGAGTGTGATAACTTACAACACATTGATTGATGGGTTTTGCAAAGCCAACAAGATTAGAGAAGCCGAGGAGATATTCGATGAGATGGAAGTGCATGGGGTTTCAAGAAACTCTGTGACATACAACACACTCATTGATGGGCTTTGTAAAAGCAGGCGAGTAGAAGACGCAGCTCAGCTCATGGATCAAATGATAATGGAAGGACAGAAACCTGACAAGTTCACATACAATTCACTTCTAACACATTTCTGCAGAGGAGGTGACATAAAGAAAGCTGCGGACATCGTCCAAGCCATGACCTCAAACGGGTGCGAACCAGATATCGTGACATATGGAACCTTGATAAGCGGTTTGTGTAAAGCTGGTAGAGTTGAAGTTGCAAGTAAACTTTTGAGATCTATTCAGATGAAAGGGATTGTTTTGACACCGCACGCTTATAACCCGGTGATTCAAGGGCTGTTTAGAAAGAGGAAAACAACGGAAGCTGTAAATTTGTTTAGGGAAATGCTTGAAAAGAGTGAAGCAGGACCGGACGCAGTATCTTACAGAATCGTTTTCCGTGGGCTATGTAATGGAGGCGGACCAATCCGTGAAGCAGTGGACTTTCTTGTTGAGCTGTTAGAGAAAGGGTTTGTGCCCGAGTTTTCTTCTTTGTACATGTTGGCTGAAGGTCTTCTCACACTGTCAATGGAGGAGACACTGGTCAAGTTAATGAACATGGTGATGCAGAAAGCGAAATTCTCAGAGGAAGAAGTTTCTATGGTGAAGGGTTTGCTCAAAATCAGGAAATTTCAGGACGCTTTGGCTACTCTTGGTGGCGTCTTGGACAGTCGCCAGCCGAGGAGAACCTTCCGCTCAAGATGATACATTCGAGAAACATTCTCACTTCCAAATTTGTAGACAGTATGCACAATGTTATAAAATATGATTTTCTGTAAAATATTTGGAGTAATTCATCGGGTAGCTTGACTGTTTTGAGGTTTAACAATATGCCTTAGGGAAGAACCGAGAGAATGAATCAGGATCTTTCTCCTCTCTGACTCACTGGTTAAACCGGCCAGATCCTGTGGTTCTACAGAGTTGGCTACTTAGCCCTGATATTTAGAAGGTGTTGTCGTGGTTCGATTTTTGCGGGCCAGTCCAGTCCACTGTATTCGCTCAATAACCATCCTAGATCGTATTTTTAACCACAAGCAAGTGTAGTGCCTGAACAATCATCCATATATGCTTTGTTGTTTGTTCAGTGGGATACAAACAAAATATATCTGCAATTTCCACATCTTTTCCACTAAAAACTTGCAGATCCTTTCTCATAGTAGTGCACAATTGTGGACACATACGTTATCAGCAGTAGAGGATGGTATCGTCATTCGTATCGTGGATAAATTATTAAAACCACACAACTAGAGGATACACTCCACGTCAAAACAGCAATATTCTTTCTTTGATACTTTCTGTTACTCTTGCTTGCAGAACAAATTAATGAAATTTATACGTTTTGAAAATTAACGTAAACAAGAAAGACAATTTAGGGGAATAAAAAGAATGGTTTAGTTATGTTTACAGTTGAAAATAATTTAAAATTGTGAAAGACTAACTGAGAGAATCTTTAGCAAAACAGTCGGCTATGGATCTTATACAAATACGTAATTTCTTACCAAAAAAAAAAACACCGACCTGTGGTAATGGATGAAAATGGTTTTAAAGATGATGACCAATCTTCATCTTATATTCAAACCACAACGATCCCAGTCTTAATTAATTATACACTTCTCACCAGCACTTGCCTTTAGAGAAAACCTCCACCAGTCCAAGCGGTGTCTGATTTCCCGTTGTGACCAACAGATTTCTTGTCGCCAGCACTTTGGTAATAACCATCAAACCCATCATCATCTTTGGGATCATGATCATCCCAACCGGTCCAGCCATCATCATCATTAGAAGCTGATGACGCCTTTGGAGCTACTGCTTCCTTCTTCTTACTCTCATCCTCTCCCCAATCATCCCAAGAATTTGACTTGTGAGAATTGTTGTCATGACCACTTGATGATGACTCTTGCCGCCCTCCTCCTCCAACAGATGAATTAGCTGCTTTGTTCCCATTTCCAAAGTTCTGGTAGTAACCATTGCTCTCGTTTTCATTCTGTTGATTCCAGCTTGTTGTTCCTTCTTTAGTGTACTCTTCGACCTTCTGTGTCGCAATTGCCATTACTCCTTTCATAATTCCCCATGTTCTCTGTCCTATCTCTGTTGTCTTATGCGCTACTACATTTACAGTTTCACTCACCTTGTGATCATACCCACCTTCCTTAACCTACAATAACATCAATAAAATGATTTTGACTTCACTTTTACCAAAACTCTATCGTCAGCAGTATTATGGTAAACAGGAAATGTATAGAGAGCATCCAAGAGCTGTGCTCTATACATAGTTACAACGAATCTCACTAGACAGGACACTAAATCTATTACATAACAATGTCGAAGATGAGAGATTAAGCTAAACAACAACTTATGTAAATCAGCATAAATAACAAAAAGATACTAGATAAGGAGATTACACACATTCACCACGAACTCCATGTTGACCCAGCCAAGATAAGGAGATTACACAGATTGCAGCCTAGGAAACCAAGCAGAATGAAAGTGTTTAAAGTACCTTTGATGTAAACTCCTTGGTTCCTGTTTGAACAACACTTGCAGCTGACTGAGCTGCAGATGCGGCAACGAGAGACAATCTTCCCAAACCCTAAACCAATATTTAAGAACGAGAACGAATTCATCACGTGAAAACGGAATTCACTCAATACATATCATTAACCCATTCAAAAAGAAATTGAAAATGCACCCAAAATCACCTGAGACACGACAGAGAAAACATCATCCTGTTGATTGTTTCTCGGTGGTGGAGCAGAGCTTGATCCAAACCCTACATACTTGCCGCCTTGCGATGGAGGAAGCCCTTCAGGCTTAGACTCATTCTCCGCCATTCTCCTCGCGAAGAAACTCTCCTTCCCCGCAGCGGAAGCCTCAAGCTGCGATCGCGTGTAGATATCTTCCGATGACTTCGACTTAACCGGTGCACCTCCTCCGCCGCCGGGACGAGTTCCCGATGCCCTAAAATCATTCGCTGATTGATTCCGTCTCATATCGGTTGAAGATCTGGAGGAATCATCGTTATCCCAACTATCCCATCCTCCGTTACTGTTTCCGTAACCTCCCTGAGCCAACGGAGGCTTCTTATTCATCATCCCCACACCTCCTCCTCCTCCTGCGCCGCCGCTAATCGTTTCCTTGACGACTGGCGGATCCCTCCACGGCCTACCTTCGGCTAAAGCCTGGATCCGGTCACGATACACCGAAGCAGCGTTGGAATTGTACTTGGAAATGATATCTGTCTCTTTACGGATTCCGTATTGCGCGAGGAATTTGTTGAGCCGTTCGTTGCCTCCAGCTTCCATTTTCTTGATCTGGATCTCTGACCATGAATCCATGGTGACGGATCTGACGAAGGAGATGTGGACGCCTAAGCCTCGGTGCTTCCCTGAGCACTCCAAGCACATGAAGATTCCGTAAGAAACCGACGCCCATTGCGGATTCTTCTGAGCGCAGTCGACGCATACCTTGTTATCCGGCTGAGATTGGAGAGTGCGTAACTGTCTCGCCGCCGCCATTTTTCCCGGAGCTCCGAACAGCGATCAGTCTGACCTGAGCAGATCTGATCTAAAACGCAGACTTGTGCTGAGAGATTGATGCGTTATTTTTTTGTTTTTCCTCTTCTTCCTAATAAATGTTTCAGTAACTCGGAATTTATTTGGCACGTGTGTTTGGCACGGGCGAGATATCAAGCAAAACGACTGAAAATTATCCAATATCTTTTTCTTTTTTTGGGTAAAAAATTATCCAATTATCTTTTCTTTTCATAACTTAACACAGTTATATCATTTGGGTTTAGTTTGATAATAATCGATAATTAGCATTGACGAAAAAATTACAAAAACTCGATAGATAGATATATGGAGTTATTGATGGTAGAAATGTAGCATTCATAGGTATTTGAACAAAAAAAAAAAATTGAATAGTCTTATGTTTAAAGACTTGTAAAGCTATGCTGTCCAAATGGTGTATGGTTGTTGTGTGATTGCGGATAAAGAAGGTTAAATAACTGTGACGTTTTTTTTTAAAAAAAAAAGAGAAATAACTGTATGTATGTGTGTACAGGCTTTGAAAAAAAGAAGTTGAAATCTGCTGACCTGTGTCCAACAGGCTTAATAGTTTGTCACTTGCATCATTCTTTTCCTTGACACTTGCATGTAAAGCCAAACCATATATCGAGCATCTCCAACTATGGAATGTTAACAAGAGTTCTTAAAACAATAATATAAAATGAAATCATGTAAAAACTGAAGAAAAGAGTCTTTTAAATGTATAAAGAAAGATTCTGAAACAATAAACTTTGGATACCCTCTCTCCTATTTTAAAAACCTCTATAATATTTAATTATTATTTTCTATACATACAATATATGAAGAATTTCTTCTAAAATCCTTCCATTGGAGGTGGTCTTAGTTTATTTTAGTGAAAGATTAGCAGGCAAATACTTTTTTCTTTTTTAAGCGATCTACAAGAGTTTCTTACATCTAGTCATCTAGCCCGTTAATTATTTTTTCTTTATAAATCTTGATATTTGATTTTGTTTACATCGTCTTCCATCTTCTCATAAAGTATCAATGGTAGGAAATAAAAGTCTTCGTCTTTTCCCTTTATTATTTGAATGAAAACTTGTTTGTTGTTTCACACACTCGGCGTCTTTACCAGTTTTCAGTAACATAAAATGTTTTACATATATAAAGTACTCTTTTTTTTTTGTATAAATATGTTTTGGAATAAGAACAGTGTACTGTTCTAGTTCAGACAAACAACCCAGGGTTCGAAATTGTGAATTCTCATATTTGACACATTACAAATTTACAACTACCAAATTTACTAGTCGTAAATCTCACGAGATGGTGTGGTGCGATACCCAATCATATATGGTACGGTTATTATTTATATGTAGAACGCATGTATCTTCTACAATTCTTACGTAGATGGAAGCTACATCGTTTTTTGGGTATAATGTTAATTGGATATACCTCATCTTTACTTTAACCGCTTAGCTAGTAAGGTAAAGTTCAGTTTTTGTATCATACATTTGTGTCTCCATCAATACTTAGAGAAGACTCATTGACAATTTTGGAAACCGTAATCTCCTCTACATGAGCTTTGGTGTGTTGTTGAACTACAAGGATTGATGGGATGATGTGGTTGACCGAAGCGGCAAGCACGTCCCCGATAGGACCTAACTCAGGATGTTCTGCCTGACGCTCGGCTAGTTGCGCCACCTCCGCCGACGGTAACCTCCCTCTCCCGACCACTATAAGGTCAAAGTCTTGACTTTGTCCTATTGACAATGTTTCCTCAATTATGTTGTTTGGTTCTTTTTCTTTGTATTCCACCATTTCTTTCCATTTGCTCTTGAAATCCTCCAATGCTCCTTCGTCTAGTTCCTAATTTTGTTTTTTGCAACAAATAAAATAAATTTAACGACTAAAGCCTCGATTTTTGGTTTCGTCACATAACCAAAACTGAGCCGTACTACCAAAAAATAAAAAGTCTGATTAAAACCTCAATTTCTTTGAAAATAATTGATATTTTCGATCCAAACAAAAAACTATATTGAGCCAAAACAGCTAAATCGATTAAAAAAAAAAAAACGATTCTAATCGAGTATTCAGTTTCCATTCTTTGCTTCAATACTTTATAAACCGGAAAAATCTGAACCGAGAACCGGATTTAACAGTACTCCTATATATATAATCCTATTATTAAAATACTATAACCAACAAAAATTAGATATTTCATATTACGTACCTTTTCTTTTTCGGGATCCACGTTGGTGGTCAAGAAGGCATAATTCTTCTCCTTGCATTTAGACGGTGCCGGCCGTAACGTGACGGCGTTACTCCTCAACGTTTCTCTTACCAAAAACCGAATAACCGTAACTTTAACGGCAGGATGCTCCGCCATCCTCCCGCCGAGCTCTAAAGCCTCACGATCATCAGGCCCACCAAAGAAAATCACACAAACCCTTTCAACCACATTCGACCCATCAAGATTCGAACTTCGTGCCTCAATAGACCCAAGCCCACGGTCCACAAGAACCGCCACAGAACACGGGGCGTTCTTCAAAACCCTCTGGTTAACCAATCTCCAACCATGACCAATGTTTTCCGGTACGTTTCCATCTCCTCCGTCTTGGTGGTTGTGGTGGTGACCACGACCATGATCAACGTTCCATCGTTTGTGGAAAGGTAAAATGATCATTGTGACCCTCTTGGTCTCTGCCATGTGGCATATGTCTTCGTGCATCGAGGGTAAAGGAGAGACTGCAGTAATGGGCCGGACCGCGACTCGGCCCAATTGACGATAGGCTTGGAAGCCTCCTATGACGCTGCTGTGGCACTCGCCGTGACGGTAACGGTGGACAAAAGGAAAGCCGTTTTTACGGGCTTTTTGCACCATTATGATTGACGAGGATCGTTCCGTTAGTTCCATGAGGTGCATCACGAACAGTTTTAGCTGCAGTATCTGCCAAAACAAATATGATGTTAATCAAGATTAGATGTAACCATGTAACCATGTGTGTATCTAGACGTAGATATGATACATATACGCATAGAGATATGATTAAAGAAAAGTAACCTTGGTGGTTCGGATGGACTCGATGAGAGAGATGAGAGATGATACATTGGCTGGACCGTGGAGGCAGGCGAGGATGCGAAGCTCTTCCTTGGTTGAGTCTTCACTCGCGGACAAGTCCTTTAGTTTGCGGTGAGTGTCACGTGCTGGCTTGTAAATGGCCATTACACTCGGAGTCGTTATGAACGTTGTGAAGAGTGCCATTAGCACGAGTATCGCAAATGTCTCGTCATTTAGTACCTACAGTAATTATCAAACCCAACCCCACGCACGCACGTATGGTTTTATTAGTAACCACATAACAGTCATTAATGGGTAATCATTATTGTTCCATTATTCTGTTGATGCAAATGTTATTTATTTTCTTTTTCAGATCGAAGAAGATAATATAAAAATGTTTTAGCCATTAAAAAATCATATATATAATATGTGGTGCCAAAAATGGATCTGTACGAGGTGAATGATTACGTAAACATTGGCCCATTCGAAAAGGTAATCGCACTTTTCATGCATATTTAGTCCTTAATTTGACCGGTTTCTCTAATTAACTACCCCTCAAAATGGGAAACGAAACAGCCAATGATATTACTACGCTGTGGTTCCGTGGATTTGTTACCTCAATAATTAAATGTCAGACTAAAACTACTCGAATTCAAAAATAAAATGTTGAAACGTATCTTCCAACAGATATCTTGTAGTTAAAGCCGGTCTTTGATAAAAATGAAAGCTGCTTGTAGAAGTAAATAAGAGCCGTTAACGATTATTACCATGGGACCAAATACATTTTTTATTGAAAATTTGACCTTTGAGAATACTAATAAGGATAAGAAGCTTTTTTTAATGGCGTCCATACTTGTCTTCTTTCTACCAAAGACAGACTCTGATTATAGATTGGTTCTCCCTACATATTTACTAAAATATTTTTTTTGTGTGTGCTATTTTCTTTATTTTTCTTAATGGTATTCACTGATGTATTTATATAGATTTATTTTGTGTAGGCCAATGCCTTAATTGTATTTAAACTTCATCATATAGTGAGGAGATGGAATTGATGCCACGGAAGCACGTCAGATGAAAGAGATGGTGGGAACCACTTGTCCCTGGTGCTCTAGAGTCTAGGCTAGTTATTTTAAAACAATAGCTTTTTTTTTTGCTCAAACATATACCATATATTAACAAAGCGTTTAGCAACATTTTATCTTTCTCCACTAGAGAATTTATCCATTTTGGAACTACTGAATACAACTTAGGAACGCAATTCAAGATTGAAAAAGTTTTCTTCGCTATCCGGTTAGCCACTTCATTTAAACCAATAGTTTGGACCTTTCACTAAACGGTTAATTAATCCAATAACTTGCCAAGAGAAGAAAAGAAAAAAATTTCAATAACTTTTGACGGGACTATTCATTTAAAAAGCGTAACTAGCTTACTATCTTGAACTATCAACCAGCCTAAGTACCTAACAACAAGATAAAATGTTGGATCGGACCGGACCCGTTTTCGACATGGAGTTCGAACCTAAACGATACATTTCTTTTTTTTGGTGCATGCAACTAACTAATATGTCTACACACTTAGAAATAAAGGTAAAACAAACGTGTGTTGTTTTTATATTCTGTCCCCATTTAAAAATCTATCGAACAACTTTAATGATTAAGGATGGCCCAAATGTCCATATAATGTTAGTAGGTTTTAGTTTTTAGTTATTAGGTTTTAGTTTTTAGTTATTAAAATAATTATTATATAACTAAAAGCGAAAACAAGAACCTTAAATCAAACAGAAAATGAAACAGTTATAAAATAAAGAAAATTGAAAAAGGGTTAAAGAAAAGCTAACCTTTTTCTCCTTGCCAATATTGAGTACAATGAGCTCCACCAAACCTTTCGTGTTCATCAAGAAACCAAGTGTCAAAGCCTCTCTCGCCGGAACTTTAACCATCACCGCCACAGCAAATGTTCCGACGATCTTTCCGACGCAAGCCGTAACGACCACAAGACCCAACATCCCCCACGACTCAGCTCCTCTG